TCCATCACCTCTTGAAGCAAGCCGGGCACAGTGACGTCTCGATAGACACATTAGAGACTATCTCTAAGTTCTGTCACCACTGTCAAATGCACTCACAAGCCCCACGCCGCTTCAAGTTCACCCTTAACGATGATCAAGAGTTCAACTACGAAATCATCGTTGATGTGATGCACCTAGGAACACCACAACGCCCTGTTCTACACGTTGTGGACTCAGCTACTGCTTTCCAAGGAGCCAGATTTTTACCGTCAATGTCAGCTAAAGATACATGGGAGACCCTCCGGACCCTCTGGATCGACACGTATCTTGGACCTCCTGATACCCTCCGTCATGATGCAGGAACTAACTTTGCTTCTCTCGAATTCCGGAACGAAGCAAAGATTATGGGAATCAAATGCTCTCAAGTACCTGTTGAGACGCATTGGTCCATTGGAAAGATTGAACGCTATCACGCACCCTCCGACGCGCCTTTAACATCCTCCATGCTGAGATTGGCCACACCACTTCCGCCGAAACAGTCCTTCAAATGGCTGTTAAAGCAATCAATGATACGGCAGGACCTGACGGTCTTGTGCCTACGTTGCTTGTTTTCGGCGCATACCCTCGCGTATCTACAGACTCGCCCCCTTCCGCTTCTACCCTCAAAAGATCGGAAGCTATGCAGAAAGCGATGAAAATGCTCCGCCAACTCTCGGCAGAAAGACGAGTTAAGGATGCCCTCCATGCACGCAACGGCCCGAGCACGACAGAAGTGCTATCCTCCCGCTGCAAAGTGAAGTTCGCGTTTGGAGAGAAAGACGGTTGGCAAGGACCCTTCAAGATTGCATCGATTGATACCCATAACATCACCATTGACACAGTCAACGGCCCCAAGTCTTTCGATCGACCCTTGTACAACCGTATCTGCGTGATGATACCACTCTTTCCGACCCTACACACGACACAGACCCTCAGGCATTCGTTCAGATCTTAATGAACAACCGGCTCAAGACCCCGTTAAGACCCTAACGGACCTGCCTGCCCGACCCGAACCCCCGCCCCCGCAGAGAGGACGCCCACCAGGATCAAAGAACAAGCCAAAGGATTTGATCATGATGGCCCAAGCCGTAGACCAGAGCTTCTTGACCCAAAAGGAGGAAGATGCACAAGCTCTTTCCTCAAGCTACGGTCTGATGGCATAATCACCTCTCCTGGTGACCCCTTCGAAGAATCCGATAACAAAGAGATTACTGACCTCGTTGGCCGCGGTGTATTCCAATTTGAACGATACGATCAAATGAGTCATGGAAACTATAGAATCTTTCGCTCTCGAATGGTTCGTGAAGTCAAAGGAATCAACACTAAGCCCTACGAAAAGTCTCGACTTGTTATTCAAGGACATAACGACTTTGAGAAGACCACCCTCCTGACGCAATCTCCGACAATTCAACGCGTTAGCCAGAGACTCATCCTCGCTATTGCCCCGGACTTCTTCAAAACTACGGCATAACCCTCTCCCTCCGTGATATCACTCAGGCATACCCGCAATCCCAGACCAAGCTTTCCGGACCATTCTTACGTATTTGCCCACGGAACTACAAGGCAAATACCCTAACGGAACAATTATTCGTGTTATTAAGCCCCTGTACGGTATCGCAGAAGCCGGAGTCCATTGGTTCCGCACATATCAGCAGCATCACCTCGAAAAGCTGGATATGTCTACCTCCACCTATGACTCCTGCCTACTGATTTCGAATACTGGCCCTGACACGCTCGGTATTGTTGGAATGCAAACTGATGACACCCTCATCCTTGGAACGAACAACTTTTCTACCCGTGAAGAAGAAGAGCTACAAAGGCAGAATTTCGTTCCAAGCCCAAGACTGACATCACATACGGAACAACGGTTGACTTTAATGGTGCAAGACTGACGTTGCTGAATAATAACCCCTTAAGAAAGGATCCCTTTACTTCAACAGAAGGGACAAGCAGCAAAATGACCACCATTGACCCTAAAGCAATTGATCGTCACCAGCGCTACGTTGAGGAACGAGCGCGAGCCTCATACATTGCTTCAATTGCTCAACCGGAAGCTTCTTTCGATGTTTCAGTCGCCGCCCAAGTACAGACCCTGAGGATAAAGATTACGCAATTTTGAACAAGCGACTGCAATGGCAAATGGATCACCAACTACGTGGCCTCACGTACAAACCAATTGATCTAGCTACTGCAAAGCTGATGGTTTTCACCGATGGTTCTTTCGCAAACAACAAGGACTTATCCTCCCAACTAGGATTCGTCATTACCCTCGTTAACGAGACAAACCACAAAGAAAAACAGTTCGAGATTAGTGGTAACATCGTACACTGGAGTTCAACAAAGTGCAAACGTGTTACCCGTAGCGTCCTAGCATCAGAGATCTACGGTATGGCCAACGGATTCGACATAGGCATCTCCTTGCGATGACTATGAAGATAATTACGGAACGACTCAACCTTCCTCCTATCCCTCTCATCGTCTGTACGGATTCGTACTCTCTCTACGAATGCCTAGTCAAGCTCGGTACGACGAAGGAAAAACGATTGATGATTGATATCATGGCCCTTCGCCAGTCATACGAGAAGAGAGAGATAACAGATATTCGTTGGATCAACGGCGCAGACAACCCAGCAGATGCAATGACGAAAGCATCACCAAACCGAGCCCTGGAACGCTTCATCGATACCAATAGTCTGACAATTCGAGTCGAAGGATACGTACAACGTTCCTAACCGCTCCTTATCCCTATGATCAAATGATTGCTCCTATCAGGAAGACCCTTCACTTCTTCCCCGATATCTACAGCTAAGAACAAGACGTCGGACCCACTTTTTCGCAATAATGACACACGCCCTCACGGCACATTCCTTCACGGCCTTAACGCTACTATCCTTTAGACCCGTTCAAGGTGTTGCTGTGCTTCTCACAGCAAAAGAAGAGTTGCCTGTGTAGGAATGTATCTATCTAGTGGTGTGACCAACCATGGTTGGCACGTGACCCGTACGGTCACGTGTGCGGCTGAGGGCAGCGTGCCCCCTTTCTCCACGCTGGCCTCTGCCTCCTTAGATAGAGAATCAAGACGAATACAACATCAGGTTAACCCTAGTACCGTCTCATTGCAGCAGCTGCCGCAGGTGCCTACCCACACTATCCATTGATTGCCTTCAAGATGATGTGGCATTTCTTGAGCAAATGTTAACGACATGTAACTATCGAGGGTTATATCATCCGAACGAGAAAATCCAGAACATTCGAGCGGCACTACATTTAAATCATGTGCATTATAAAATGGCACTGTTCATGAGCTTCATGGTGTTTTTTAATACTCCGTATAGGGTGGCAAGATTGCTGAAACGGTGGCGTATCAGGCACTGTTAGGGTCGTTATACCACAATATATGGACGCCCTAACTGCCGTCCTTCGCCTCGATTTCCCCAGCGACGCCCCCGCCAGACGCGGGCGGCGCGGGACTAGGATTTTGCCAGTGGAGTGTGGACGGTGGAATCCAACTGAAACACGCACAACAGACTTTTAAATACGCAGAGCGTCATCACAAGCGCGGCCGAACTCGAAGTTACCGTGTCCGCGCGGGCAAACCCTTAATGATGGGGTCAAAGCAGCTTGTTTATTGATGTGTATGTGAGCCTGCCGAGGAAGAACAGGGAAGAGGCCCTTGGTGGGTGGCTTCGGGTATTGACCCTTTCCTCCCTGTATGTCCCTTGGCCGCGAAGCGGTGATAATTTTTTCGCCTTACGTTTCGACCATATCGCCATTCATTCACAATTTTTATGAATGAATTGAATGAAGACTCCTGATTTTTGATTCGTCGAATTTGAAGACCTTACCCGATTCGGCTTCATTCAATTCAAGGGTCCCGAGGCCGATTCGACTTCAAAATCTTCAAATATCAGCCCTAGTTCTTCCCTACTGACGACCCAGGGGCGCGTTGTGAGAGGAGTAGATCGGCCATCCTTCGTACGAATGGAAGGGTCGGCGAAAACCCACGCCCATCGAGTGAAATAATCCGATTAAGGAGCGCCTGCTCTTCCGTTGCTGTCAATTTGCGATTGTTAATGTTGGAAGACGCTCGTAGTCTCTAGAAGGTTCTATGATCATGTCGACATTTGTCAGCTATGTCTATATAAGACCTAGCCTTCCACTCCTTCTGTAGCTAGAGATATCAATAGGATATCCACCCTTGTCCACGGTCGGCCGGACGGCCGACCGCCGCCCGGAACGCCGCGTCTTGAAGGGCTCTCAAGGCTCGACGAGCTCGTCAAATTACGAGGGGGAGGGGAAACAAAAATAGTGTATTTCTACCTCTTTAGTTGTACAACTTTTGCCTTTCTGTTGGCTCGAGCTGTTTGCAAAATAAGTCCAGCGAGCAGCCGGTTTGCTGCTGTTGTAAGTTGACAATGTGCATCGCGGCCTCCTCGCTACACCTGTGGGCCTTCGCCACCTTGCGAATCTCCTTATAACCTCGAGCCGTAACGAATACCACTGCAATTCATTTTGTCGCCCGGCGCGCCACCGGCTTCCCCATCTACCGTCGAGGTCGGCAATGGCTGGCCCGCCTCGAAGGCCAACCGTCCACTCGCTCCAGAGCGCCTCGACCATTTTTACTGCTCGGCACATCTGATACCGTGGCGGTGGCTCTGTCTTAACCGTGATCGTATCTGTCGCCGTCGGGCTCGTGGCACGGCTATCAACAATGCTCGACTGAGCCGAGACGAATCGGCTTCCATCTCCTCGTCCTCCCTGCCCAACGACATCAACCACGGCCGGGGCCGTGGTGGCAGTGGTGGTCGTCGCGGCTGTAACGGAAGTTGAAACCATTCGAAAAAGGGACGACTGGGCTACCGCAAGACGTTCTTCGGTGGCTCGAAGCTGCTCGCTTAGCTCTGTTTTAAGCTGGATCGTCCTTGCTTCGTTCCGCGCGTCGATGGATTTAAGATAGTCCGCGAGGACCGGCATCGCCTGGACTAGGACTGCAAGCTGGCTTGGACGCTCCTCTTCAAGGACGAAGTCCGATAGCTGGTGCGCGAACGGGGCGTAGGCCGGATGCCGGAAGACCGGGTGGTTCCAAACGGGGCTGCCGGGGTATTTCTTCATCAGGACAACGGAATCCTGCAAGACAACCTCCCGTAAATAGAAGATGAGGTTCGTCGAACCCATCGCTGCCAGGTCGTTCTCCTGCTCGGTACCGGGACCGAACCGGCCTCGCCAACTGTCCAGCTCGGGCCAGATCATCGAGAGCAGGACCTCCGGCGGCGTCACGCCGGCACGGCGTATCTCGAAGCATCCGGCCTGCGGCGGGTGCCCGGCCATCGTACGCATGAACTTGCGAGGCAACGAGTTCAGGTAACAGCCGACCATCTGCTCCTGGTTCCAACGACCCGCGCGACGGATCTGGTCTTCGCTAATCCCCTTTAGTTCAGCCGTCCTCGCCCCCGAGCTGCGGCCGACATGCGTCTTCTTCTGCGACGTGACGCCGGCGTAGGCGAAGGCCTTGACAACCCACTCGCGCTGTGAGTTGTACGAGAAAGCCGCCGTCCGGCCGGTGCCGTTACCCTTGATTAGCCGGATGTCGTACCACGAGGACCGCCTGCTGAAATCGGGAAACGGCTCACTACCGAGATCCCAACGATACAAGAGGTAGAACGAGAGGCCACCCAAGATGCAGATTAGCGGGTTCCTATTCCGATACGCGCCGGCGGTCTCGAGGCGGCCGTGCTGGTTCTGCTTGCCGGCTCGTGTCGTAAAGATGAGCGGCATGCACCGGGTCGAGCCCTCCCCGGCAAACTCAAAGGTGAATAGGTCTGAGATCTCTGCAGCCCGACGATCGCCGCCACGGGTGAGAAGATAATGGCCAAAGAGGAGATCCACGAGGGTCCGAAAATGACACTCGGGCGATGTGCCGCTGTGGGCCCACAGCTCGTGGCATACTCGTTCGAACTCGGACTCCGAGTAACCATCGAGCAGAGTATCGCGGCCTTTATCGGCATAGTTCTCCCTGTCTCGTTGGGCGTCCCGGCGCTGTAGGGACTTGAGGTACTCTCGTACGTTGTCCTCGCGCGGCGACGGGTGCGTATTCATTCCGAGGGCCTTCTGCGTCCGGTAAAGATCCGTGATTGCGGTGACATAAGTTCGGACCGACCGCCAGGCCAGGCGGGTCTCGTCCTGCGGAGTATCAGTGGCGGCCTTGCGGCTCCTGACCTTCAAGGGCCGACCGGCCACCTCCTCGACGAGGAAGAGGAGGAGCTTCTCCTCTGTGACCGTAGCGCCGTCACAGTACTGTTTGTGGCGGCAGAATTGCTCGAATTCCTCTTGCTTCGGTGCGTACGCCGAGGTCGTATTCCTTGGCCGAGACTCGTGGATCGCAGAGAGGATCGTCTGCGCATTGGCGCGTAGCTCCGCGTCGTTTATCGCGTTCTGCCGGATGCGTTGGTCCACTCGTACGCTCGACGGCTTTGCGCGACTCCTGCCCTGCCCTGCCCCGGCCGCTGCTCCTGCGAGCTTCGGCTTGGGCCCCGCTTTTGTCTTCGCCTTCCGTCGATTTGGCGTCCGGGCCATGGGATATATCGTGACGGGGAAGACCAAGGCAAGCCTGCGAGTGACCACCAGTCCGGGTTGGAGCGGGGTGGCGCGCGGCGACGAGAGATGCCCTATCTAGCGATCACGATGCGCACCGCCTGGTCGGGTCGCCCGCTAAAATTCCAGTGGACAGGGCGCCGTAGCGAACGTGAATAGCGGCTTCTCCATCGAATCAGCGACGCAATCAGCGGGGGGCACCGATATCTGCGTATATCCACGGCGCGCGCCGTTCGGGTGGGGTGGATATCCGCAGATACGATTGGCCCGCCTGGTCGCTGATTCTCGGATTGCCCCACCCGACCAGATCAGCGGCGCTCAGCAAACCCTCGGATACCAGCCACTACTACGCGACGGTGGAAACGAACGAGCGAGGCAGCCTCCACTTGCATGGACTCCTCTGGCTGGACGGCAACATGCGATTGCCGAACCTGATAGACGACATGGCCAACCCCGCGGAAGAAGCATATCGTCCCCAGGTGATCCGATACGTAGACTCCGTCCTTCATGAGTGTCTAGAGGAAGATGCCGGAAAAGCCGTGCGACAGGAGAGGAAGCCCATCGATCCCGTGGAGGAGGTCATGACCAGCACCTCGGCTCGCACTGCGGCCTTTGAAGACGAATCCAATTTCATCGCATACTGTTGCCAAGTGCACTCCCACACATACACCTGCCTTAAGTATTCTCTGAAGGGGGTCGTCGATCTGGGGGCATGTCAACAGAGACGGACAGCCTGCCGCTTCAAAGCACCGTGGAAGATCGTCGAGGAGACAGGGTTCACAGAGGATGGCCTGCTTCAGATCCGGCGCAACCATCCACTCGTCAACCGGTACAACAAGTCGTTAGCGGTCGGCCTTCGCCACAATCACGACGTCTCGATGATCTTTACCAAAACCAAGGGCTTGGCCATGGTGTACTACATCACGAACTACGCCACCAAGCTGGATACGCCGATGTGGAAGCGCATTGCTCTCGCCGCCGAGGTTGCCCGCCAACTTCGCGAAGCCGGTCGTCCGACGTCTCGCGCACCAGGTCCCGCCCTGCCCGACGACAGGCAGCAGGCAGTATTGAACGAAAGCCGTCAATTCCTGATGAGAACGGCAAATCGTATCTTCTCCGAGCGGCAACTCTCGGCTGTGGAGGTCTGTTACCACCTCCTTGGATATGACACCGACTTTACCAACGTGCCGCATTGGTCCTTCCTGAACTTGACGGCCCTCTACTGGACAATCTTTCGACTGTGGGCGCATCTCCGCCATCAGGCCGGCGAGCTGACGGACGCCGAACAGCCCCCGGAGACAATCCCTCTGAGGCAAGGAGGGCGAACCCTTCTATGCCTAGAAGCGTACGCCTACCGCGGTCATGTTCTACAAGACTTATGCCTGTATGACTACATGTCAATGATTCACTTGGTGCGTCGAAATGGTAGGAGTGAAGATGAGTCTCACATTTTTCTCGATGGCCAGGATTCCGACTGTGACGGCTGGATGCAAAAGCTTCGACGGCCCGACCAGTACGCTGTCCCGATCTTCCAAGGATACATCAGCGACCACCATGAGGACGATCACCCAGTCTATATTAAGCGGTACGCTCTAACCCCCCGGCACCGTTTTGGCTCCGTCTGACGGCCTGTGCAGAAATTCTGTCCTACATTTGGCGTTATTCGTCCCTTGGGAAAACTTCATTTCTGAGAGTCTGGGCGATATAACCGACATATGGACGAGGCATCGAGCAGGGCTTTGTCCCCGCCTCCGTTTCTACGTCTCCAACATTTGTCTTTTGAGAAAGTCTGCTGAGGATGCGCGTAAGGACGCGAAGCTCTGGGCCACTCGATCGGAGGGTGACGACACAATTGACGTCGAGTACCCACTTGACGATGGCCGCTACGAAGAGGAGCCTCCAACAATGGCTCATCGTCAGGCCTACAGAGCTCTACTCCAGATTTTTCGAAATGCCGTGCAAGATACAGACGCCACGAAAGACTCCCCCGTCCTTGGAGGTTTAATACGCGACCTATGCGAAGAGAACCCGGCTGAAGAAGAACAGCCTTTTGTGCAACGTCAGGACGATCTATACCGGAATATACCCCAAAATCAAGTTGACGCCTTGTGCCAATTTCGAATATCTCGAGACGATGTCCAAGCAGCGGCCAAGGCCCAACAACTATTGCATCTTCGGATGCTGGACGATATTGAGGGTGGTTCTCAGGGCACCGTACTATCCACGAATGGCGCCGGCATTGACGATACCCTAGCTCGCTACGGCGATATGGAGTCCGCCGCTGCGCTCCCAGGTAGTGACCTCAATGAACAAGGGCCTCGGATGCTTGTCGACGTTAGTCCGGTCACTAGCTTCGTGGAGATGGGACGCACCACCGCGGCTAGCTTTACACTGAACTATCTACAGACCATGGCCCTTCAACTCGTTTGCGTATTTCTGGACAAGTATACTGCCAATCCGGACTCAGCTGGTCAACATCTCCAGTATACCGGCGGGCCAGGTGGCACAGGAAAGTCGAGGATCGTCGATGCCCTGAAGGACGTGTTCGCGGCGAGGAACCAGCCACACCTTCTGCAGATAACCGGCACATCAGGCAGTTCGGCGGCCCATATTGGTGGCACGACCATCCACTCGGCCTGTGGGTTAGATTCCCATCGCGATCCAAACAAACCGCCTCCCCCCTTCTCGGAGGCCAAGAAGTGGATATGGAAACAGAAGCTGGTACTCGTGATTGACGAGGTCAGTATGCTGGGAGGAGCCACTCTGCACAACGTCAGTCGTCACCTGCAGGCACTCCGTGACTGTCCGGACGAACCGTTTGGCGGGATGCCCGTCGTTCTACTGATGGGAGACTTCTACCAGTTCGCCCCCGTGCGGGAAACAAGCCTACTGATCATCAGACCGCCGGACCGAACAGAGACCCCCCTGCGACAAGCGACCATCCCTCACCACAGCGGCTGCAGATTGTGGCATCTGTTCAAAACCGTGGTGCTCCTCGAAGACCAAGTCCGCGCACGCAACGATCCCCAGCTCCGCGCACTCCTGGACCGAGTCCGTAACGGGCGCCAGACACAGCAAGACCTGGACTTGCTCAACGCCAACATCGTAGGACGCTCCCAAATCACCTTCCACGATGGTTTGCGTGCTATAACGCCGCTGAACCGCACCCGGTGGGCCCTCAGCATGGAAGCTGTCGTGGGCTGGGCGCGCTTCAACAAGCGCCATATCCGTATCTTTGTCTCGACTCACACCTGGCGCAACGGCACGCTTTCTCCAAACATCGTAGCGCGAACCATAGGACAAGGTGATGACTCCGCCTGCAAGGTCCCCGGCGTCTTCTTCTACGCTCAGGGCATGCCTGTAGTTGTGAACAAGAACATCTACACTGGCTTGAAAGTTGTGAATGGGGCCGACTTTACTGCCGTGGACGTAATACTCGATCCCAGTCACCCAGGATACCACTTGGCGGATGACGTGACCATTCACTTCGGGCCACCGCTCGGCATTCTTCTGCAGTCCGAGGAGGCGAAAAGCTTGGCTATACCGTCCCTCCCGGTGGGGACAGTGCTCATCCGCCCCATGTCGCATACGCTCGATTCGACCAACTCTCACTTCAAATTCTTGTCGGCAAGATGCACACGACGTGGATTACCCGTTGTACCAGCGTTCGTCCTCACTGACTATAAATCCCAGGGCAAAACGTTTGTAGAAGTACTCTTGGAGCTGCGCGGCAATCGCGTAACCAATGGCGAGCCCTCCAAATGCGATTTCACGAGCCTCTATGTTCAACTGTCCAGGTGTACTACGCTTCATGGCATCAAGCTCCTCAGTCCCGTGAGATACCAGGATTTTATTGACAATACGCTAGATCGAGCCATGGTTGATGGAATGCGCAGACTCACAAACTTGGCGGCGCAAACGAGACGGGCATATGAGGGTGGCGATGCAGAAAAGCGGTGACACTGGTCAATCTGATCGTTCATGTAGCCTTTTCGTGCGTAGAAGAGTTACACCTGATAAGGTGATCGGACCGCACGCCAATCGTCTGGATCTCGCTCCCCTCCCTTCCCAGGACGTAAGCGCTTTTGCTCCTCACAATAATTTACCCACCATTTCTCGAACGCCTGTCGGCTGTAAAGCCATCTCGGCGGCCCTTCTCCTTCCCCGAACAGGTCCAGGATATGGTCGCAGAACATCCACACTCCTTCAAGATGCTGCGGATAAAATGGCCTCCTGTCCTTGCGCGCGACCACGACGGTGCCAACTTGTGACTGCCATTCTGGAGGTGCAAACCCGGAGTCGGCATCAATGTTGAGATACGTAGCAATCTGGTTGTCGAGGTCTGCCTCATTGGCGGACTGAGTCCCCGTCCGATAGAGGACCAGCGGGACCTCGATGAGCGCTGGAACGGACGGCACCGACTGCGAAAACATGTCATGATTCGCAGGGATTGTAGTGGCAGACCAAAGGGGAAACTTGCGTTTCTCGGCCTCGCATCGGACAATGACAGCTTCGACATGCCCCGACTTGCTGTGCGTTTCCCTCAAACCTGATGTACCCATCGGCGGGGAGGCATGCGTGGGCGGCTGGGTGGGTTTTGCCGCTGGCGCCTGTGGCGATGCCTCTGGCTCCGAATCGGTGTCGATGTTGTCCCACTTTGAGTAATCAATCGGAGGCATTGGGTCAATTCGTGACAAATTGTTACACTTTACTGCATGATTCGCGAACAGTTCAGACTCCTTTGCCCTTCGAGATGATGGCCCCTTAGAAGTTTCCTCCACGTTCTTACCCCGCCCGCCCTCAACCCACCTTGTTGTGGCGGGGTAGAATGGCGTCAAGCAGCCACACTGCCGGGAGCAAGCCTCATCGTCTCAGCAGACCTGCCAGTGTGGAACCAAACTGAATGCTTCAGTCCCGTTCCTCAAGGCATTGGCGGACCCTGGAAGGGGCCGGTCTCCTGTTTGCCTTCCCCGCCAACGCCCTGCTGCCCGCTCCGGGCCCACTTCCCAGGCGGCCTTCCTGCTGCCCGCTCCGGCCCCACTCCCGGCGGCCCCTGACCGCCTTCGAGGAGAGGGGGCAGTTTGCTTCCTTGCTCCTCTCTTCGTGACCGCCCTCCCCTGCTAGCAGGATCAAACCGTCTTGACCTTAACCTAATCGCTCCGCGAGCTCTCTAACTCTCCTTCCTCCTAGCACACTCGTTGGCAGCCATCCACTTGCACCATGCCGCGAGAACACCCTGTCACCGTCTCACCCGAGGAGGTTCGCCGCACCTTGAGTGATCTTGAGTCGCAGAGATCCCAGCAGCGCCGTTCCTATCAACGCCCTTCACCGCTTGTCAGAGTTCCCCACGACGAGATCCTCCGCGTCTTGCACGATATGGACCGCCGGCGCGCGGAAGACCGAAGCCGCCGCCGTGAAGCTCAATACCAATATGCCGCACACGCCCAACCGCCGACCAATCCACCACCGAGGCGACTTGGGGAAGAGCAAGCGCCTTCCACTCCACCCCCCACGCAGCCGAAGCGTCCCCCTTAGAGCGGAGCAAACGCCTCGTTCTCCGCCGCCCACGCTACCTACAGTGGGGTGACATTAAAATCGCCTAATCCACATCGCGTTTCGCGTCTCCTCATAAAAGGACGAAGATTGCAACAGCACTAAGTTTGGGCGTGCCGGCTGCCGTGATCGCCCAAAAAATGGACTTTCTCCCCAAGCCGTGTACGCGATCAAGAAGCGTTACGCGAAGCAATCTTCCGCGAAAAGTTTGCCACGCTCTGGGAGACCCAAGATCATCAAGGAAAACGACAAAAGGCATATCCTCCGATGCGTCAAGAACGACCCTTTCATCTCATGCAAAGAGCTTCTCGAACAGACGGGTCTACGTTGCTCTACAACGACTCTCCGTCGGTACCTCCGATCACAGGGCATAGAACACCAACGCGCACTCCGGCGGCCAAAGCTCAGCGAGGAAGCGGCGCGAAGTCGATTAGAGTGGGCCACTAGATACGCCGAGAAGCCGGCTTCATTTTGGTGCTCTTGGATTTTCTCTGACGAGACGACAGTCGCCCGAGATGACTCGAAGAAAACTAAGTGGGTTTTCTGCCCACGTGTAAGTCGGTGCCCTACTTTTTGAAATGGCGATTTTGACCGCCCTAGGGCTCGCGGCTAGAAAGAAATCACGTACAACCTAAATCAAAGCCTAGTCGACACTCTCAGATGTTTTTCGCCGGATTCTCCTACTATCGACGGACTTCTCTTACACCATTGCTCGGCGACCCGAACTCAAAGCGTGGTGGCGTTACTGGACGAGTTATCCAGAGCTGTCTTAAAGAGCAGTTGCCAACAATTGCAGAGCCCGGTTCCGTATTCGCCCAAGATAACGCCTCTACACATACGGCTGCGGTTGTGCAAGACTGGCTTGTGCCATGGTGCGAAGAAAACGGGGTGCGTTTGGCCGACTGGCCGGCTTATTCGCCGGACTTAAATCCGATTGAGAATATATGGAAAGTCTTAAAGGAAAAAATTATAGAAAACCACCCCGACCTTGTTGACCTCCCAAAAAATGACTGTGCAAAGCGGAAGCTATGCGAAGCAGCGGTTGAGGCGTGGGAGCAGATTGAAGAGAGGGTGTTGGAAAACCTCGTGGATTCGATGCCTCGGCGTTGTGCCGCTGTTGTGGCCGCGCGGGGTTGGTATACTAAATACTGAGAAGAGCCTCAAAAACTTCTAACTTCAGCTAAATAAGATATATCCAACGGCTAGTCAATTGCCCTTAAATTGGCTGTGTTTTGCGCCTCTAAAGTTGGTGCGTTGCCGTACCAAATTTGGGTCGGATTTGGATTAGGCGGAACTTTTGGAAGGTCTCACGAAGAGAGCATGCAAGTGGGCATTGATTGTTTTAATAATAGGTGTGTTTTTGTTGTATTCCGTCGTGTCTCCCTCTTGCAATGCCCTCTTCTAGGCTCCCTATTTATATCCCTTTTTCAGTTGTATAGGTACAATATCTAGGAGGCTGGGCTCCTTTCCCCAGCCCCCCCTTTGCATACTGGCTTTCCCTAGTCGCCGAGGGCTCTTTCAGCTTCCCCCGTATATGCAGTCTCTCTACAGCCTGTGTGGCTGCCTAATGCGGTCTCCTAATAGCTTTCTGCAGCCTCAGAACTCTCTGCAGGCTGCCTTTCTGTCTAGCCCGTCGGGGCCCTTAGCTGTATGCCCCTTATGGTCACCCCGAGCTCAAGATCTCAGACGTGCTTCGCGACAGAAGGTGACTGTAGGCGCTCCCCCACGAGGGCCCGACCCCCGCGAGAATCCATTCAAGATCAACGAGACTCTGTCAGGTCTACTCTATATCACTATAACGCCGCTTTCCGCGCCAAAGAGCAGGCGTCACAAGATCCTGGTGCGACGAAGTTCCACTTGCCCTTCAGGTAGCGGCTACCAAATCGTTCTACCAAGCGTTCACGGACGAGAGGACGTTGCCGATTTCCCACTGCGTCTTCTGCTACAGGAAGACCCCGCCTTGCGAGCTCTCAGCCATGCAGTGGAGAGGTCGTTTGTCGCCCTCCCTGCTGCGGGCGACCAGGGCTATCCAGAAGTGTGACGCTTGCCTTCCGCCGCACGAGCGCGCAGGAGTTGACGTGTGCCGCGAGTGTCGCGTCAGCTTCGACAGTGGACGGCTGCCCAAAGCCTGCTCGGTCAACAACATGGCCATCGGTTGTGAGCATCGGTACCCCGAAGAGCTTGATGACCTCTCTCCCGTCGAAGAGAGACTGGTTGCCCTGCATGCGCCTTTGGCTATATCACCAAGTTCACGGTCGACAACAAGACCCGTTCGGGAATCAGTTACCGCAAGCACGTGAAGGGACATATCGTCGTCTTTCCGAACAAGGTGGACGATCTTGTGGCCACGGTTCTTCCTCATCCCTTGCTGCAGGCCATTGAGAACATCCACGTCTCTTGGAGCGGTTCGGGCAAGCCTGGCTCCGCAGACGTCAGACACCTGCTTCAGGTGCGCAAATCTCGAGTGGCAGCTGCCCTGGCATGGCTGCAGAGGAACAACCCGCTTTACGAAATTACGAAAATATCGCAATCAACCAAGCAGAGATGGATGGCTGGCAGTATGCCGACGGCTCTACTGTTCCGACCGTTATCATGGACCGCATGCAAAGAGAGGAACCGTCGACCATTGAGAAGACACAAACGGACCATATAGTCCCGGACTCTGATCGAGGTTTAGAGGAAAACAGCTTCAGAAGCATCGATGAACTGGTGAACTCGATCAATCCCACTTCTGCGGCTGAATCTTGCGATTTGGACTGTACTCTGTCGACTGAGCAGACTCAACCCTCTCCTGGTGAGGCGGCGACTCTTCTTGTCCCCGACTCGGCTGCCATCGGCCAGGAAGTGGAGACTGTCTGTGAGACGTCTACTTCCGGCATGTTTCCTCTTGATGGACCGGCTGCCTTCTCCGAGACCGATAAACTGTCGTTTCTGGCCGACATTATCAACGCCAATCCGGATCGACATGGCACCTCTGTGCCGTGCGTTATGCAGGTCCAAACTACGGGAGACCAGCCGTTTGTCCGAGTAGAGCGTGGTGCGGATTTTGCAGACAACTTGCACGAAGATTTCTTCCCTCGAACGTTTCCGAAGCTTTTCCCGTGGGGAAAGGGGGGGCCGAAATCGAAGGGCGACTCCAGTCGCAGCTCACAAAGCGATGTTGCCGACCGTCGTCCGAATCACTCGCTTAATTACTGGGCCAGACACGTATTGAAACGGCATGGAGGCCGATTTGCCACCCATCCTGTCTTTTGTTTCTTAGTATTCAACACCCTCCTTCGCTCCTCCAACCGCCGCATCAGCATGGCCCGTGTCTCTAAAGATTCCTTCCACAGACTTGAGCAAGCCTATGCGAACTTGACCGAGGACCGACTGAAGAGAGCCGAGGCGTAGATGCGGGAGACAAGGACTACGTCGGACCCCGACATATCGCTCTTGCTTCGCGAGCTGTCGATCTTTGGCCATGCGCAGCCGCTCTCGAACGAATCCCGTTTGCTTATGCGGAGGAAGATCCAAGCTCTGGACATCCGCGCCGGTATGCCTGCAATCTGGATTACCATCAGTCCTAACGACATTAATAATCCGGTAAAGTTGAAGCTTGCCATTCATAGGCTCCACGATTATGACTCTGCAAAGGAACTTTTGGCCGATCTCCGTGAAAAGTACGACAGGATCGCCCTCAGCACCATGGATCCGGTCAGCTCGGCCATTTTCTTCCACCGAGAAGTATCCCTATTCTTTGACAAGTACGTGAACACAGGCCGGGAATCAATCTTCGGAAGATCAGCCACTACTACGCAACGGTGGAAACGAACGAACGGGGCAGCCTCCACTTGCATGGACTCCTCTGGCTGGACGGGAACATGCGATTACCGAACCTGATGGATGACATGGGCAACCCCGCGGAAGAAGCATATCGTGCCCAAGTGATCCGATACGTAGACTCTGTCTTTCACGAGTGTTTAGATGAAGATGCCGGAAAAGCCGTGCGACAACATCATTGATGACTCGGGAGCAAGCAATCACACCTTTAACGACCTAAAATGGTTTAAGGATATTAAGGAATTGCCACAGGAACTCTCGTTCACGTCAGCCAACGGGGGGGATCTAGTAGCCAAGTCGATAGGCACAGCTTACATACGGGCCAAACGGTCAGACGGACTGGTGACCGAGATGAATCTCGGCCGCTCAGTCTATTGTCCCACCGCGCCAATCAACCTTCTTAGCTCAGGTCAGCTGAGAGCTGATGGAGCGATTCGCGACGGCTTCAAAGACTGCATCATCCACAAGGACTCCAAGACGGAGATGGCCATGATCGATTGGATCAACAATGTGGCAGTCATCCGATCGGAAACGCCGACGACTCGACAACAAAACCAGGGCAACATGCTCCTGGCAGTATCTTATCAAGTCATGCACGAGCGATTGATGCATGCATCGCTAGAAATCGTTCTCAAGGCCTGTGAACAGGCAGGGATCAAAATCTCAAACAGGGAAGCAAAGGAACACCATTGCAGGACATGCCACCTCGCAAAGTCTGCCCTAATCGTCAGTCGTACGCCGCCTGTGCGACCAGCCCGACCGCTGAGTCTCGTTCGGATCGACCTCATCGAGAACAAGCCACTAGGTCATCGCCAATTTCGCTATACATGGCACGCAGTAGATGCCCATTGTGGATACCATTGGGTTCGATTTCTTCGACACAAAGACGAGCTCTTTCAAGCTACGAAAGATTTTGATGCTTACATTCAACGAACAACTGGATATCAGGTCCAAGAATATGGCATGGACAATGATGTGTCTTTCAACTGGACAACAGAGTTGATACCCTGGGCCCGGGCAAACGGAATCAGTCTCAAACCGACCGTGCCTGGTACACCCAGACAGAATGGATTGACAGAGAGGGCTGGATCGAAGATCACACAGCTCGCTCGATGCATCATGATTCACTCAAGCTTCCGGAATTCTTGTGGCCCTATGCTCAAGAATCCGTCGTCAAAGTTCTTAACCTGCTTCCGTGCAAATCTAATCAAGGACTCTCACCTCATGAGGTCTTTGCCAGTTTCTCCGAGTTAACGAGGAACTTCACAAACCCTACATTCGCCACCTACGCACGTTTGGTTGTGTTGCATACGTACACATCAAGAAAGAACGGCGCGTACAGGCCAGGAAGATGGCTCCAAGAGCTGAAGAAGGAAAGTTAGTTGGCTGGGAAGGCATTCATGGCAAATTTACCACATTTACGTGCCAGCTCGGAATCGAATCGTCCGGGCATGTGATGTTCGCTTTACGAGAAACTCCCAGGAACCACAAAAGTCGGCAAGCGCCGAAGAAGTCGATACAATTGAGTACGAAGCTACGCTTCTCGACGAAGTTCAAGAAGAAGAAGCTGGAGCAACCATCGTTGAGCGAATATCTGATTCGCTGTCAACCATCGTTGAGCGAATATCTGATTCGCTGTCAACCATCGAACCGGGAGGAAGGACGACTGATAAGGGTCCGTCCATCGAAGAAACGCAAGACCATCATCTGCCAACGCCGGAGATAACGCAAGAGCTGGATGAATCCCACGATTCTTCTGTGAATACTCTGTCAGACTCCGAAGACAGCCAGGAAATTGACGGACTGGCTGATGAACGGCCAATCCTCCAGAAACAAGCGAGACTTACACCACGCCGGTCGTGAGTTTACCTCGACCGAGTCGTCAAAACGCGGAGCGACCCGCAGGGTACTATCAAAAGCTTCATCGCGGCAATTCGGGAGATCAGGCTTTAGCTTTGTTACCCCCAGACGTAGTCTCTCCGATAAACCGTCTAGAAACACTTTGTTTGACAGCAATGAAGGCGGAAAGCCTTGCAAACTCGCTGCAAAGGCTACCCGTTCCTAAGTCATACAGAAAGGCTCGAGTGTCCCCAGATTGGGAGACGAAGTGGAAACCAGCATTTGACAAGCAGTACAAGTACCTCCAAGATCGAAGTGTATGGACACTAGAAGAATTACCCACGATGCAAAACTACTTCCCGGAAAATGGGTTCTCGACGAGAAGAAACTTCCGACAGGAGAACTGGTCGGCAGAGCCCGCTGGGTTGTCTGTGGGAATTTTGAGGAACACGACAGCTGGGCAGTCCAGGATGTGTATGCTGCCGTTGCAAGCACGACATCAGTCAAAATATTCTTCTTCGACCTATCCGGCCCAAGGAGCCGGTATTCGAAAACCCAAGACGAAGCGAGCAATTAGCAGCATCGATTGCATGGGGTTTGCCCAAGCGCCATCGGGGACGGAGTTGGCGGGTAAAGGGAGTACCAGATCGGGGTATGGACGATGGCGCGGCAGGGCTAGCGGACGCTGAGCCGAGCGGACAGAGGCAGCCCAGGAGGCGGGAGAAGAGAGCCCGTCTTCGTAGCCGGGACGAGCGCCCGACAAAACAGGTTCGAAGTGGAATCGGAAGGCAGAGGAGACGGGAGCTGCAGGCCGAGGACCTGGCGAGTGTGCTGGGCTTTTTGGAGGAAGACTTTGCCATAAAGGAGAGATTGTCTAACGATCAGACGTGGTGTACGCCAATATCGCTCGAGAGGAAGGTGTCGACGGTGCGAGACTTTTACCGGGTGTTTCACGATGCGAGCACGTTGCCGATACGGACGTGCATGCTGTGCTACCGCAAGCGTACGAGAGAGGAGCTGAGGGAGATCACATGGGATCGATGGCTGTCGAGCTGCGTCCCAAAGGGAGGCCGCTCACCATTCTCATGCCGGAGCTGCTTTCCCGAGGGCGAGTCCGTGTCGGTGTGCGCCGAGTGTGGCCGATGCCTGGCGCGCGGGAGTCTGTCGCCGGCCGTCCACCTTCATAGTCGCCTTGGCTGCGAGCACATGTTCCCCGATGAGCTCAAGGGACTCACGCCGGTCGAAGAGAAGCTCGTCTCGCTGAACTCGTGTTATGGGTTTGTCACGAGGTATAGCATTCCGGGCGGCCAGAGGCAGGCCGTGAGATACCCGAGGCACGTCAAGGGCCACATCACAGTGTTTCCGAACAATGTGCAGGAGCTGGCGACCAAAGTGCTCCCGCACCCCCTTTTGCAAGCACTGGATGAGATCCACGTCTCGTGGCAGGGCGCGGAGAAGCCGGCACCGAGCGACCTGTCGAGTCTCTTGTCGGTGAGGCGGCGGGTGGTCGAGAGGGCCCTTGTCTGGCTGAAGAGGAACAATCCCCACTACGCCGAGATCGAGATCGACGCGGCGGAGATGGAGAGCTGGGGAGATCCGATAGACGGGGTGCCGTCGTCGGTGTACGATCGCATGGAGCGGAACGAGCCATCTGCGTGGGAGAAGGCGCGGACGGCGCACGTTGTGCCTCCCACGGAGCGTGCCATGGACGACGAGGGGTCGGTGGAGATCGAGGAGCTCTTCGCCCTGCTCAACCATGGGCAAGAAGCAGGGGGCCAGGGTGAAGGCCACGGGCCCAACGGAGAAGGTGAGGTTCGCGATGGAATTGAACGTGGCCCCGATCAGAACGTTCCAGCGATCAACGAGGCGACGTCTTCTGGCATGTTTGCGCTCGACGGACCGCCAGACGTCGCGGACGTGGAGAAGCTGCGGTTTGCCTGCGACGCTGTTGGTGAAGGTGCCGACGATGGCCGTGCGGGCCCGAGAGCGTGGGTCGGGTCCTCGGCGGGGGGGGTTCGAGCGCGTGGCGACGATGGTTGTGAGCCATACATCCGGGTTTCGCGGGGGGCCGAATTTGCCAATTCCTTTGAGGCGTCCTTCTTCGCCAGGACGTTCCCGACCCTGTTCCCATTTGGCGTTGGGGGACCAAGGCTGGTTGAAGAGACCATGGTCGACGCGGGGACGGCCACGGCCAACTTGCGAGGTAGGGCTGTCGAGGCAGAGGCGGCCGCGGGAGAGCTCGTATCCTCTCGAAGCTTGAACCTTCGGATGTGGGCCGACATCGTGCTCCGGCGCCATGGTGGTCGATTCGCGCTGCACCACATCTTCGCATTTCTCGTCTTCAACATGGGGGTGCGGTCGAGGAACCGCCGGGTCAGCATGTTGAGTGTGGCGAGGAAGAACTTCCGCAAGGTAGAGCGCATGGTGCGTTCGATGACCGCAGAAAGGTTGGGGGCGGCGAGGGTCGAGTTGGAGAGCTCGGGCAAGACGACGGATGGTGGCGTGAAGGAGCTTCTCAGGAGCCTCTCGCTTTACGGCCACCAACAGCCCATGTCGAGAGAGGTCCGCCTCAATATGCGGCGGAAAATCCAGTCGCTCATCGTCGGCTATGGCGTGCCGGCCATCTGGTTCACCATCAACCCGAATGACATTACGAACCCGGTGAAGCTGCGACTGGCGGCATACCGCACACGCGATCCCGACGCGGCCGAGGAGTTCCTGGAAGGCCTTGGAAATGCGTACAAACGGGCACGGCTGGCCATATCGGACCCCATGAGCTCCGCCGTATTCTTCCACCGGGAGATGAAGCTGTTCTTCGATCATTACGTGAAAGTCGGCGAAGAGTCGGTATTCGGGCGCATCAGCAAGTACTATGGCGCCGTGGAGACCAACGAACGAGGGGCGCTTCATGTTCACGGCTTGCTCTGGTTGCAAGGAAACGCACATCTCAGCTCGATGCTTGCCGACATCCACGGGGAGGATCAGGCGGCGTATCGCGAACGAATCATCCAATACGTCGATAGTGTCTTCTCCGAGGTAAGAATGCCCAAGGTGCGTCGCTGGCGGCCTGAAGTGCTCTTCCGATGGACAAACGGGGTTGGGCTGACGTGCAAGGCAGGATCTGGACCAGGAAGGGTTCCGCGCCGTGCAAGCGGAGCGATCTGTGACGTCCGATATTGGTTCCCTGCTAGACAACACCGAGCAGTTCTCGGACGCGTTTGACGAGGAGGCCAACTTCTGTGCCGGCGCTACACAGGTTCACACGCATAGCCCGACCTGTGTCAAGTATTCCTTGGGCAAAGGAGCGCGGAAAGGGAATCTCTGCCGGTTTAAGTCTCCATGGAGGTTGGTCGACAAGACCGCCATCACGGCAGACGGGGTGTTGCAGATCCGGAGGACTCACAGCATGGTCAATCGATGGAACAAGGCTATCGCTGTTGGGCTCCGGCACAACCACGACATTTCCTTCATTGCGACGCAGCGCAAGGCCATGGCCCTTATGTATTATGTCACGAACTACGCGACGAAGGTGGAGGACCCGGTGTGGAAGCGTGTGGCGGCCGCGGCCGATCTCCTGGCCGCCTCAACGGGTGACGGCACGGCCAACGGAGGACAGGACGACGGTGGAGGTGCTGTTGGCGATGACGCCGCCAAGGGGAACAGGACGCGACAGTTCTTGATGAGGGTGGCGAATCGTGTGTTCACGGAGCGTCCGCTGTCTCAGGTCGAGGTCATCGCTCATCTTCTGGGATATCCGGCCGAGTTCACCAACAGCAGCGCCTGGGCGTACCTGAACACATCTCTGCTGTACTGGGAAGTCTTTCGACGGTGGCCGTATCTCCGACGAGCAAATGGCGCGGCGGCCATAGATGATGCTCTGAATGAGTCGGTCGTTGTCGAAGAAGCAGGCCTGAGGATCTCCACGTTGAGGCGTACCAGCACCGGGAGAGCTCCTGCGAGGGCTATGCTTATACGACTACATATCGCTCGTTAGACTAAAACGCACCAGTAAGGATGAGAGCTGTGCGGCCTGGGGGGAGGTGCCCTTCGAGGATGGATGGGCGCCAGGGAGACGCTGGGTCCAGGTGCTCAGGCGGCCGGGCAAGCATGCTACCGTCTGCCTCGATGGCTACCTGAGCAAGGACTTCGGCCACAACGACGACGAGGAGTCGTGCCACCGGAGGTGTGTATAGCAACCGCCCTGCCGGCAGGCATCATCAGAGTGGCTAACCTCCCCTCCCCTTAAAGGGCAGCCGTGCAGCATCTTGCGCTATTTGTGCCGTGGGAGTCCTTTCTGTGCGAAGAAACAGGTGAGATCAATAGCATCTGGGAGCGGGCGCGAGAGGCGCTGGCCCCGAGAATATCATGTCTCGTCGACAACGTGCAGCTGCTTCGACGATCAGCCGAAGACGCAAAGCGCGACGCCAAGCAATGGGCGGCCTCATCCGGCGATGGCGATTCCACGGTCGCCCACGTCGAGGAGGGCGAGACAGGCGAGGCGGGCGCAGAATTTGCAGCGACGTATCGGTCCAACAACATCGGAGACGCAACGCGCCTGATCGACGTCGTCCGAGGCGCAGTGGGCACGAATCAGGTGACGGCCAAGTCGCCGGAGCTCATGGCAATGATGCGGCAGCTCTGTCGATTCCAGCAATCGGCGCTCTGCTCAACGGCCGAGCTCGAGGCCATCGCGATTCCCGAACAAGGGTTGAGGTGCATAAGCATGCCAGGGCGGGTATTTTCCGGGGCCGCACTACCGCCGCAGGATCAGGTCAAGGCTATCAAGTCGCAGCAGATAAGTGCGTCGAGGGAAAGGGAGAGAATGATCCAAGGCGTACAAACCACAGTCGCAGTCCGGGAAAGCGATCGCCGAGCTGCGTTGCGGAGGGTGATGACCGGCTTCGGGGAGGACGACGTCGAAATGACGACAGCCGACTCCGACGACACGGCTAGCGACGCAGAAGCGGGAATGCGCGTCCAGCTTGGCCCATCGACCTCCTTCTTCGCGGCGGGCAAGGAGTTGTCAACACGGCTAACGCTGAACAAGAGGCAGTCGATCGCTTTCCTAATAATATGCCGCCAGCTCGATTTGATGCGACAAACGAATAGGGCGATGCCGGCCAGCTCTGCCAGTTCGTCGGCGGCGAGGGGGGCACCGGCAAGTCGCGGATCATTGGGGCACTCGTCGAGCTGTTCAGTGGGAAGAGCCTTTCGAATCGTCTGCTGATCACGGCGACGTCAGGGACTGCCGCGGCGCAGATCAACGGCATCACGATCCACTCCGCCTGCGGGTTCACTAAAGACCGAGGGGCGGGCGGCGCGAACACAGCCAAGGACCTTGACGGGGTGCGGCTGGCAAAACGGGCGGAGCGGTTCATCCACGGCCAGTCTCGGATGGACTGGCAGGAGAAGGACGTGCTTGTCATCGACGAGGTGAGCATGCTCGGAGCGCGGACGCTGCACGCCATAAACGAGCGACTCTGTCGGCTTCGCGGATCGCAGAAAGATTTCGGGGGGATCCCCATCGTCCTCTTCTGCGGAGACTTTCAGCAGTTCCGGCCGGTCCAAGAGAGGTCGATCGTCCTGCCGAGCGCGGCCATCTCGTGGGACGTAGACAACTCGTTCAAGGCCGAGCAGCGGCACCAGCACGACAAAGCGCACGCGCTGTGGAAGAGATTCACGACGGTCGTCATGTTGAACGAGCAAATGCGCGCCGCCGGTGATCCGGAATTGCAGGGGCTGCTGAAGCGGATCCGGCAGGGTGTGCAGGACCGCACGGATCTGGACCTCCTCAACTCAAGGTGCTACCGCGAGGGCAGGCGGATCCCTTGGGAGACTGGCATCACCGTGGTGACGCCGCTGAACAGGAATCGGTGGAACCTAAACATGGAGGCAAGCTTGGCGTTCCGGGTCCAGCAGCGGTCGACGATGCGCATCTTCATCTCCGAGCACAAGTGGAAGGAGGGCCTGCCGACCGAGGAAGAAGCGATCATGGTACTCAATCAAGGCGACGATAGCGCGATCCCGTGCCGGCCGTCTTCATGTTCGTGGCCGGGATGCCGGTCGTCGTGAACCACAACACCCATCAGGGGCTGAAGCTGGTGAACGGCGCCGGCTACTCGGCGGTGGAGGTCATTGTCGACAAGGCGTCCCCAGGGCATCGAATCTCGTCCGACATGACGATCCACTTCGGGCCGCCGGCGGGGATATTACTGGAATCGGCGACGACAAAGGACCTCCACTTCGTCGGGATGCCGCCGGGCACGATCTTGTTAACGCCGATGAGCGTCAGGATACACTGCCAACGAAAGCGGCCGTGGCAGCAGAACGACGTCAGCCGGAAGGGATTGCCGTGCGCAGCAGCCTTCGCCTGCACGGACTACAAGGTGCAGGGCAGAACGCCAGAGCGCGTGGCCCTGGAGCTGCGGGGACACGGACGACGAAAGTCGATGGAAGGGCCGTGCCTCGCAATGCGACCCGTACAGCTTATATGTGCAGCTATCGCGCTGTCGAACGCTAGACGGCATCACGCTCGTGTCCAAGGTGCGGAGAGAGACTTGGTGGGCAACCGAGTCCCCGAAGAGATGACCGCCGCGCAGGCCAGGCTGGAGGTGCTAAGCGAGAGGACTGTCGAGGAAGCTTTGCGTCGGTCGGATGGCGACGCTGAAGAGTCAAGGAGAGTTGTCAGGGTGAGGTGACGAGGGGAGAAGACGGAGGAGCGCCGGCGGGCAAGAAGACAAGGGCACTGGGCAGCAGCGATCAACGAGGGCGACTTTAGACTTGAAGGAAGAACCCGCTAGAAAGGCATGAACGAAAGGGCAAAGACAAAAGACGCAAGTTTTAGACACAATAAGAAAACCGGCGGACGAAAGGAAAAGGTTGGCATTGGCATTGGCATTGGCAAGGGGGTAAACAGGAGTATAAACGGGGGGGAAACAGGGCAAGGCATGAGAGGGGCAAGAAAAGGCGGCAGCGACCAATGATGAGGGAGGGACGGAAGGGTCGGCGACCAATCACACGGGATCTTTTATTCCGAAAGAGGAAATAAATCAGCCAATCAGAGGCGGAGGATGTGGGGGTGAAGCAGTCTGGGGCCTTTTTTCCCCGCGCGCTAATGAAGTCCTTTCGTTCCTCAAGGCACAAGGCAAAGACTTGCGGTTGGAAAGACTTGCGGTTGGAAGGGGAGGTTTGGAAAGACTCAAGCTAAAAGATCCAAGCTCAGAAAGGGAAGCTAGGAAGATTTAAGATTAGTTAAGAGGGGGAAGTTAGAAAGAAAAGACTTTAAGTTAAGGTTGGAAAGTTAGGAAGACTCAAGGTAGGAAAGGGGAGGCAGGAAAGACTCAAAGTTGGGAGGGTGATAGGAAGTTAGGACGATATACGAAGGGACGAGGTTTAGTTTGGTAGGTGTAAGTGACGATTCACGACATAATGTGCCAGGTCAAGGCCTCTATCAAGTAATATAAGAGTAGATAAAATAAAGGTCAACTAACATGAGCTGTTCAAGAAATCCCAGCCGACAGTAAACTTGCCTTATTATTCTATATCTATCGTTCTCTTAGCTGGGTGACGGTTTCGAGGCGGGCGGGCCGGTGAGGCTACGGGTGGGCGACAATCGAATCAAGGGGCGGGTTTCCGAGGCGGGACCCTGTTTAGATGATACATCCGGGTCGGGAATGGATGAGACAGCCGAGACCGAGAAGGATTGAGTAGCCAAGGGGCCAGGGATAGGGGAAGAAGAAGGCACAGAGGCCTGTTGCGTCAGGCACGGTCGCTTCGTCGGCGTATCGGCAGGTTCAGGATAATGGCGCTTTTGGGGCGGCGTGGGGGAGCAAGTCGAAGGCGCAGCCGCGGCTAAGGACGGAGGACTAATTGGGAGAGTGCTAGGGATAACCACGGACATAGAGGCAGCGCGCATATTATGAAAAGCGGCAGAAGCGGAGGACTGTTGTCGTTTTGGTGGCGTAGAGGGTAGCGGTGTCATCGCAGCCATAGAGGTGGACGACTTGTCGAGAAAAGTCCAGGAATCCGGGACGACTATAAAAACAAAGTCACGGTCAGAGCCCGGCGGGTGAACCATGACGCCGTGGTCCAGCAGGCCAGCGACCTTGCCTGTGCAGGTAAAGGGGACATTAGGCTGAAAGGAAGAGTTTCGCCTCTCGGCCATCTTCTTACATAGGACGGCCCAGGGGTTGGCGTGAATAGGAAGATGACGAAGGCCTGGAAGGGTGGAAGCCCTTAAAGGGGATCTTATCCGGGTTCCCCGGGCGACGTAGGTAGATAGGAGGACGAAGCCGCAACATCTAAGTTGGGCGGTGTCTAGGCCTGGCAGCAGGTCCCTCCGCAGCAGGAGTGGCCGGTGCCGACGACGAGGCCGGTGAAGGAAACAACAGGCGGGACGTGGGGAAGTCGTCCATAGAGGCAAAGAGCCTAGGAAGAACGCTTTAGGACAGATTTAGCTACCCATTTCCTCGCTGCCACGCGCGGGGAATGGGACCCGCCTACGGCTGGTAGCCCTGGTCGCGGACGACGAGGGCGGGCATGGTATAGAGAACGGTGCCGCCCGTGTCAGACTCCAGGCCGTCGCGCTGTTCGACCTCCCACGCAAGGGCGTAGGGGTGGACGCGGCCGTTCATAAAGAACCACTGCTCGGTCCAGTCGGTGTCAAGAATCGACTGGCCGTAAATCGAGAGGTTAAGGCTAAAGAAGACGGAGGTTGGGGAATTGTCGGCACCCGACCGCAGGGGCGCATATTCCGCTGTGAGCAGCCACGCGGGCGGAGGCAGCAAGACGCGGGCTGTTACGGCCAGGCACATACGAGCCTTGACGGCTATAAAGATGTATTGGCACTATGAACGAAGACTCAAAGCTAAGGAGCAAGAAAGAAAGACTAGACTACACGACCGAGCTGGCCCTTATGTGCATATGCACGAGGTTACCTCAGCAGCGCTCAGGTAAGCACGAGGTCGCACGTGGGCACGTGATGCTGCTTGGGCACGTGACACTGGTGAGGTTCTGCGCTGGTGTCTCTACGCTGGCGCGCAGGGTCGTGACACTACCCCCCGTCTAAGGCCTTGATATGCGTATCAAGGTAGTCAGTCGTGGCGGCGGGTTCTTGGTTTCACGGCTTTCTCTGCTGTGTCATCATCGTCTCGTTCCTCGCAGCCCTCCTCCGCTGCAGCACATTCGATCCAGTATTGCAGGTTGACGGGTGGGCCTGCTGCGTCCGGATGTTCATCGTGGAATACCTTCAATGCTATTGGTGCGTTACGGAAATTCCTAGCCGGGTACCAGGTCTCATCAGGTCACATCCCTTCCATAAGACCTGGTATTCCAGTCGTCGACTCCTACCGGTTACTCGAGACTGCTGGACTTGATCAACCTCCCACTCGGGTTCTCCGTTGATCTCCTCGGGTGGCGGAGGTGTCTGGATCTGCTGGGGCAAGGGTTATCGGCTGCTTTTCGAAGACGGTCGGCGTGGAATAGGTTCTTCATTTTGTACGACTCGGGCAGCTGCAGTACGTAGCTATGACCGCGTTCTTCCAGGATTACGAACGGACCTGACCATTGGTTATCTAGCCGAGTAGTCGGAGCGTTCGTGGCGAAGCCTTTCCTGCTGAGAAAACTCGGTCACCGATGGCAAAGTCGGTTGGTCGTCGTTTCCTATTAGCCTGTTCCTTCTGACGTTCTTGAGCGGCGGTGGCAGCATTCCTGGCGTCTTCCTGGGTTTCCTGGGCGGTCTGCACAAGTTCCCTAGCTCTGGCGGCGGGTCCGGTGGCAGCGGTCTTGTCAGTCGGGGCAGTGACAGGGGTTCGTATATCTCGGCCTAGGGCTACTTTTAACGGTGCCATGTCGATGGAAGAGTGCCAAGACGAGTTATGGGCGAAGTCGAGGGCGGGCAGCAGGGAACTCCAGTTATCTTGATGCTTCGTCACGTAGAATCGTAGCTTTTGATCTAGGTATTGATTTGTAACTTCTACACCCCTTGGGTCTGAGGGTGTAGGAGCTTCCATGACGATGCTTCGTTCCCGTGAGCCGGTTAATCTCTGCGAGGAAGGCAGAAATAAACTGTCCAGCGTTGTCAGAAATCCATACGAGGGCATACCGAAGAAACGATAGAGGTAGCGGAAGTAGCGGCTAGCTAAGACTTCTGCCGTATCGTTTTTCTTTCCTGGGAGCGTGGCGATAATCCGGCTTAGCTTGCAGACGAAGGTCCAAACATAGTCATATCCGTAACGGTCTTTCGGCATATCCTTCCCGTCACATTCGACGTGCTCCCAAACAGAGGTCGGTACGGGCAGTGGATGGAGCAGTCCAGGGGTCTTGTCTCGAGGGGTTTTGTTGCGGCGGCAGTCGTGGCAGTTCCGAATATAACGACGGATATCCTCCTTCATCCTTGGCCAGTAGAAGTCTCGTTGGAGCAGCTTGATCACCTTGTTCTGTCCGGCGTGAGCGAAGATCTGGGGCTCGTGGGCTTCGCGAATGAGCGCGGTCTGAAGAAACGTCTGCTTGTCTGAGGTCTGGGCTGGTACGATCAGGTGTGTTCCATGGGTGCCGAGGTCTTGGAGGAGGTTCTCTTGGCGGATCAACGAAACGAGTTCGGCTCCCTTCGGGACCGAGTTCGGGTCTAGTTCTGGGCGGTCTTGATCGGGCGTCTGCTGTATCCTCGGTCTTCTGGGGTCTGTAGGGCACTCGTGGCCCTCAGAACTAATGGTCTAGTAGGCTTAGGTTCGGGACTAAAGTTCTGAGGGGCAGGTTGCCGGCGGCCGTAGGGTCTAGAGAGTCGGTCGCGAAGCCTAGCCTTTCCGGAGGATCAGGGTCACCGTGCGTTCCTCGGCTTCCCGGGCCTTTACGGTAGGGAGCTCCGCTGTCTTCCTGGAGAGGGCATCGGCGACTACGTTCAGTCGACCGGGGCGGTAGAGGAAACGGATGTCGAACTGGGCGAGAAAGTCGGACCATCTGATCTGTCGTACCGAGAGCAGGCGCTTCGTAGAGAAATGGACTAAGGCTTCGTGATCGGTGATCACATCGAACTTCTGGCCTAAGAGCTCTGGGTAGAAGTGCTCTAGACTCTGTACGACGGCGAGGAGCTCTCGATCTTGGATTGGGTAGGCTCGCTCGGCCGGGGTCATGGTCTTAGAGAAGAATCCAACGGGCTTCCAGGTCTGATCAGGCTGTTCCTGCCATAGAACACCAGCTGTGGCATTCCGGGAGGCATCGGTCTCCAGTCGGGTCGGCAGTTCTGGTCTAAAGAAGGCGAGGACCGGGGCTTCGATAGCCAGGCGCTTGAGTTGATCAAATGCTTCGCGTTGCTCCGGGCCCATCACAAAGGCAACATCCTTCTTAAGCAACCGGTTCAAGGGTTCTGCCACTCCGGAGGCGTGGTAGCAGAAAACACGGATGAAGTTGCATAGGCCAACGAATGATCGGATCGCGGTGCGGTCTCGGAGGTCTTCAAACTTCCAGTCTTGTATCGATCGAACTTTCCGAGGGTCGACACTAAGGCCCACACCGGCTTCAAGCAGAACGCCGAGGTAGTCAACCTTGGTCACGTTAAATCTAGACTTCTTGATGTCTCCCTGGAGGTTGGCCTGATGGAGTCGCCAGATCACTTCTTGACAGTCTTTCCAGTGGTCTTCTTCTTTATCCGAGTAGATCAGGACGTCATCTGCGTAGGCGCTGGCGCACCGGTCGAGGAGATCGTGAAGCTGCGCGTTGATAAACTGCTGGAACCAGGCGGGACCTACCTTCAGACCGAACGGGAGGACTTTCCAGCGGAAAGTTCCGAAACGGGTGCGAAAGGCGGTCAAATACTCGGAGTCAGGGTCCATGCGGAGACGGTGGAAGGCCTGGATCACATCGATCTTCGTAAAGCGTTGAGCTTCACGGCAACCGAAAGCAGTACCTTCGAGGGACGGAGCGGGCGTGATGCGACTTTTAAGATGATCGTTCATCCAACGGTAGTCGATGCAGAAGCGGCGGGCGGTCGTGTTCGGTTTCGGAGCGAAGAGGACGGATGCGGCGTGCGGACTCGGATCGGGCTCGATGAAGTCTATCTCCGGAGGTGATCGACAGTCTCTTTCTCTAGAGGCAGATACTTAACGGGCGTGCGGTACGATGGGGTCCTGTCGGCGAAAGAGGCTTCTCAAGCTCTAGGACTACATCGTGACCGGGTCGGCTCGAAGGTAGGGTGTGGGCCTCTTTCTTCGAGAAGAATCCTCTAGATGGGTGAGCTGGGGCGGTAGACGACTACGGACACAAGCAACATGCTCAGGTCTTCTCCTGAGGAACGGAATGCTTTGTCCCTGGTAGGTCTTCTGATCCGGGAGACTTTAGCAATGGTTCGAGCACTAGGGACGGTCTGGTCAAGGCCGGAGCTTGGCTCGAGCTGGACTGGATCCCGGGCATCAACGGTTCGAGTTCGTTCCACTGTTCGAATCTCTCGTGAGACTCTACTTGGCAGACCAGAGCGTTAATCAGGGCTTGATCTTCGGAGGCTTGGACCGAGGCGACGGAGACGAAGTCGGTAGCAGGGGCGGTCGTGAGCTGAAAACGGACAGACTTCTTGGCAGACGGAGACTTGGACTGAAACGACGGAGACGGAGTCGGTAACGGGGTCGGGACAGAGGCCGGAGGAGCTTGATCAGAGCGGCGCCAGTTCTTGTGGAGGATCCGGTAGCGTTTCTCCTCTTTCTCGAGCAGGCGGTTCCGCCTCTCAGCGTCGGCCTGGATCTTAGGGTCGATCCGACCCGAGAGCGGGGCTTGACGAGAGAGCTGGATCGTCGGGGAGAACTTGGCGAGGCAGGAAGATCATCTGGCCAGATGATCTGTCGGGCGGCGCAGTCAAGCAGGAGGCGCTTCTCCCGCATCCAGAAAAGACCGATAAAGATATCATGGCCACACTCAGCTATATCAAATGTCTCGTTTGCGAACGAACGGCCATCGATGACGAAAGTGGCGACCAGCTGTTTCTGGATATAGCCGGCTGGCTTTCCACGGAAGTCTTGGAGGGGAATCCGACTCGGGAGCTCCTTAATCTGGGCTCCGAGTCTTTGGGCGGCGGACTGGGCGAAGGTTGGGCTAACCAGCAAACGGGTTTCGGCTCCGGTATCACAGAGGGAGCGGGCAGGTAGGCTCACACCATCCACTTGGACTTGACTTGGCTGAGTGAATGACTTGCTAGACCTACTCGCTATCTGTGACACCTTAGGGACCATCAAGGAGACTTGTGATGGTCCTATTCGTTTCGAATCTTGATCAGAGTCGTTGGCAGGGACAGGGACGAAGGCGACACGGGAGACAGCATGGGTGCGGTCGGGACACTCGCGAGAGAGGTGCCCTGTTTTTCCACAAATAAAGCAGGTGCCATTATCCCAATGGGCCCTTTTCTCATCGTCGGTCAAGGCTCTGCCAGCATCACGCGAGGTGATAGGGGTCGAGCCGGTCTTGTTCGGAGTCTTGGCGGTAGTCGGAGCAGTCTTAGTCGGCGCGCGGCGAGATCGGTCGGAAGAGCGGGAGTCCTGTGTCTGCCTCATACTCCTCTTCTGGCAGTGGACAGCGTCCTTAATGAACCCACAGAAAACCTCGTAGGTCACGGACTCGTCACGGGTCTTGGTCAAGAGGCTGTTATCTAGGTTGGCCGGGATGTGCTGCCACAAGGTATGCTTCATCTGGTCCTCGGGCACACGACCGGTCGCAGTTAAGTAGTCAAATTCCGCAAGAAAGTCCACAATGTCGGTCTTCCCATTCACGGTAAACTGGAGGCGTTGCAGGCGGTCAAGAGCCTCGGAAAGCTCATTCGGATTGCCATAGGCGGACTCAAGGGCTTGGATCATCTCTGCCACTCCAGAGAAGGGTCGAGTGTCAGAGGAGAAGCGGGTTTCAAGTGCTCGGCGGGCTTTTCCTCGAGCAGGTTATACAGACAGACCATCCGGCTGTTCTCAGTCCGGAAGGTTCGTACGTCTTCGTCAAATTTGTTCTTTATGCTCGGATGAAGGAATGGAACTCGTCCTTCTTCCTGAGAACGTCGCGAGACCTTGATGCGCGATTTGGCGGCGTCGCTGTACTCGGGGTTCTTGCCCTCTGGGAAGGGGCCAAAACAGGGCCGGGAAGCTTGCCTGTTGGTCGGAAGGCCGGGCCATTTGGGCCGGCAAAAGCAGTCGAGGGCTCCCGGTGCTGTCGATTTGATTCAACAGACGGAGAGCGTTCATTTAGACGGGCCGTTAAGGCCGCAATCTGTCCCCTCATCTCGCGGATGAGAGCGTCTTGGGGGCTCGGGGCAGCCATGGCTGCTATTTCGGATTCAGTGGCTTGGCCAGCAAGCCGGGCAGAACGGCGAGGCTGATCAGAGGCAGGGCTTCCTCGGATATCATAGTCTCGAGGTCAGAGTCTAGGGTCGGAAATGATACCACGCGGAATCACGGTCAGATGCCTGCACGAGCAGGGACGGTCGGAGGTCAGACGGGACGAATCCCTTGGTCGGAACGGTTGGTCGGACGACTACACACACGCGTAGTCTTGGTCGGAACGGACGTGATCTCAGCCTTGAGGATCACTTGGTCGGTGGTCGGAGTCTTGGTCGGAACGGTCAGAACGGATGCGCTGGATTTACGTCAGGCGCGTGTGACGTGAAAGCTCGGTGCCTATTTGCTTAATCGCTGGCAAGCGATCTTATTGAGCTTTGAGTAGTGTTACGGCCAGGCACATACGAGCCTTGACGGCTATAAAGATGTATTGGCACTATGAACGAAGACTCAAAGCTAAGGAGCAAGAAAGAAAGACTAGACTACACGACCGAGCTGGCCCTTATGTGCATATGCACGAGGTTACCTCAGCAGCGCTCAGGTAAGCACGAGGTCGCACGTGGGCACGTGATGCTGCTTGGGCACGTGACACTGGTGAGGTTCTGCGCTGGTGTCTCTACGCTGGCGCGCAGGGTCGTGACACGGGCCATGGCTTCGGCGTTAAGTCCCTTGATGCGGTGTTCGTCCAGGTGGGCAAACCTGGCGGGGCAGTCGGTTTGGACGAAAAGCATCACGGACATATCACCGCCAGCGCCGGTTTGGCTATCGAGCGGCTTCGGAGGTGCGGTGCGGGCAGGTCGGTAGGATGTAGAGAGGAAGACATCGTGCACCTGGGCAGGTCGATAGACTCGTCGCGCCCGTAGAACGACCGCTGCCTAGCGTTAAGAGCGGAGTAAGGAGGAGATCGAGCGTAAACGTGCGTAGAATGAACCAAGGGTGATATAGATTGGCCGGGAAATGTGAGGAGTTTTGCCACGGCAAGTGTTTGCCTAGATGTCGAAGGGATACGCAGTGGTGTCGCGAAGCTGGGCTCCAGTCAGGCACCAAGGGTGACGCGGACTCAAGAGTCCGGCAGGGCTGTCGGCAGACTCGTCTGCCGATAGGTCTAGAGGAAGCCCGGAAAGTCCGGGAGAATAGAGGCCCAATGCATAAAGGGGGACATTATTGCGGAAGGACATGCACAAGGGGCGTGTTGGAAGGCCGAAAGATAGGGGGATAAAGCAAGCCAGGTCGACACACGGAACCGAGTCCCGGCCTTCCTCGCCTTGCCGTATGATGACTAGCATGCCGTCTTCAGTAGGGGTAGAAGAAGTCGACCGAACATCATATAATATAAACAAGCGCACGGAGAGCGGCTATAAGGAAGGTCGCGGATAGGGTTGACAGGGAAGGTCGGGCAAGACGGACCTAAAAACCACCGTGCTAGGCGAGCGGAGCCGGATGGCAGGGCGATTCCTGGTTTCGGCGCGGCGGGGATGGTAAGAGATACCAAGGAAGGAGAATGTCTTAGTATAATGCCCGATTGGACGCCCTTTGGCAACGGTCAAATAGGAGCTGCCAGGAGAGTCGACCAGGAGAAGGCCGCGCTAGATAGAGCTGCAGCATCAGTGCCTGGGCTAGGGCTGGTCAAGGCCGTCCGTAGGGATAGACACATGGCGGTAAGGTAGGGAAGGAGGGGGAGAAGGGGGAAAAGATGGGGAGGGGGGGCCTCTCCCGGACCAGGTACTGCCGTGTTGCCTGCATGGTATCGAGACCATAAGGTTGCCATCGCTTGCAAGCGGGGTGGCCTTGGATCACACCTCGGGCGAAGGCTTCGTAATTCCTCGCTTGTTCGCAGACCCTTACCGTAAGGGAAATATAAGTTTGGGGAGAATCCTAGGGCGACGTTAGGTCGGTGGTAGGAGAGGGTGAACCGGAGACAGTGGAGCTGCCGCTGCTGCAACGAGGATCATTGCGGAGGCGAGGATGATCGCAACGGACACAGGGCCGAATCGGGGGTCGGGCGACGAAAGTCAAGCGGGCGCGGCACCTAGGTTGCGGCCTATCGAGGCGAAGAAGGCGCCGGCGTCCGAGGAACTCACGAGGGGCAGCAGAAGCACTCAAAAGATTGTTGCCTCAGCGAAGTCGGCGAGGCGGTCAGCTGGGAAAAGGCTGCCGCACGTCGATGGTGCCACTTCAGAGGAGGGCAAGCATCACGTTTAATAAGATTTCGGCTGAAGGGCGTAGCAGGCACTCGCCCCAACCCATCCGGCCCAAAGGGATCGGGGACGCGGCCGGACACATAGCTCCACCGGACGAGGGCGGGTCTAACGTCGGGCCAGCGGCAGTCGCTATAACGAGGAGCATTGCGGAGGCGAGACCGAGCGCAACGAAGGAAGGGCCGAGGCGGGCGTTAGGCCATGAGAGTCAAGCTGGCGGGGCACTTGGGCTGCGGCCAATCGAGGCGAAGCCGGTGCCGGCGTCCGAGGAAGGCTCGCGAAGGGAACAAGCGGAAGGAGTGAAAAGAGCGATGCCTAAGGGAAGTCGGAGAGGCGGTTGGCCGCGGAAGAAAACGACGCGCGGCGATGGGGCCCCCTTGGGGGGGGGGCAAACGCCACGTTCAGCATCGATAAACGTGCGGGGCAGGCCGGGGGCCTTTGTCAGGGGGAACGAAGGGTCAGGCATCGGTGAATCGTCCGTTGCGGTTGGGGGTGGCTTCGAGACGGTCAGGCCCAGGTCACCGAGCGATGGCGCACAGATAACCCTGAGAGGTCTTGTCGAGCGGGCAGCGGGCGTGGCGGGGGAGCATAGGAGGGGAAGACCGACTGTCAGGCTAAGATTTCGGCCGGAAGACGCATGCCAGCACTCACCCCAACCCATACAGCCTAAAGAGATCGGGGACGCGGCCGGAAATATGCCACCCCTTGACGGACACTCAACTGGCCCAGGAGGACAGGATCGGCTGGCGGGTGCTGCTGGGGGTTCGCCTAGAGTCGTCAGGGAGCCCTTCATCCAGCCAAGTCAAGCCAAAGTGACGAAAGATGGAGTAGGGGACGCGGAGTCATCCGGATGGTCATCACCACGTCCGTCACGCCAGGCAGGGCAGGATTGGCCGGCAATGACGGTCGGGATTTCATCCACGGCCGCCAAGGAGCCCTTCGTTCAGCCAATCCAACCCAAAGAGACGGAAGATGAAGCAGGAGATGGACAGTCATCCGGACGCTTGGCATCACGGCCACCACGCCAGGCAGCGGCGGGAGAAGAGGATCGGCCGAGGCGAGTCGAGCCGGCGGCGACGTCTTCGCCGCCCGTGGAACAGAGGAAGCGGATCCGCCAGCCCGACCGAGACCAGCTCCCGCCGAAACGTAGCCGAGTCGGTCATCGGAGGCAGAGGAGGAGTGAGCTGCAGGCGGAAGATTTGGCCAGCGTCTTACGTTACCTTGAAGAGGAATTCGCCGTCAAGGAGAGGCTATCCAACGAGCAAACCTGGTGCATACCAGTATCGGACGAGAGGAGGGTATCAACGGTGCGAGGCTTCTATCGGGCATTCCATGACGTAGACACGCTGCCGATACGGACGTGCATGCTATGCTACCGGAAGCGCGCAAGAGAAGAGCTGAGGGAGATATCATGGGACCGGTGGCGGTCAAGTCCCATCTGCAAGGGCGGGAGCTCGCCGTTTGCGTGCCGTGGCTGCTTTCGCGAGGGTGAATCTGTCCCGGTCTGCGCGGAGTGTTTTCGACAATTGGCGCGCGGCGGGCTGTCGCCGGCGGCGCGTCTTCATAGCTGCCTCGGTTGCGAGCACATGTTCCCGGATGAGCTCAAGGGCCTGACGCCGGTGGAGGAGAAGCTGATCGCGCTGAACTCGTGCTATGGGTTCGTCACAAGGTACAACGTCTCAGGCGGCCCGAAGCAGACGTTGAGATATCCCAAGCACGTCAAGGGCCACATCACGGTGTTCCCGAACAACGTGCAGGAATTGCTGACGAAGGTGCTGCCGCACCCATTCTTCCGGGTAATGGACGAGATCCACGTCTCGTGGCAGGGTGCGGTAAGGCCGACACCGAGTGACTTGTCGGGTCTGCTGTCGGTGAGGCGGCGTGTCGTCGAGAGGGCCCTCATCTGGTTGAAGAGGAACAACCCACACTACGCCGAGATCGAGATCGACGTGGCGGAGATGGAGAGTTGGGGAGACCCGGCCCACGGGGTGCCGCCGTTGGTGTACGGGCGCCTGGAGCGGAACGAGCCGTCGGCGTGGGAGAAGACGAGGACGGCGCACGTCGTGCCGCCCACGGAGCGGGCCATGGACGACGAGGGGGCGGTAGAGATCGAAGAAGTCCTCGCTCTGCTGAACCAAGGGGAAAGCAGGACGAGTCGCGAGGCCGGCGAGCCAGGGTCAAACGAGGCGCACGAGGCGCACGGCCAGAGCGACGGCGAGACCGGTGATGATGCGAAGACGATCAACGAGGTGACCTCGTCGGGAATGTTTGCGCTGGACGGACCGCCCGACGTAGCCGACGTCGACAAATTGCGCTTCGCATGCGATGCCGTCCGCGACGGCGCAGCCGACGGCGGCACGGACCCGAGAACGGGGTCGAATCCTCGGCAAGGGGGCAGCCGGGGCATGCCGATGGTTCTGAACCGTACATTCATATTCGCCGTGGGGATGAATTCGCCGACTCGTTCGAGGCCTGCTTCTTTGCAAAGACCTTCCCCACGCTGTTACCATTTGGCGTCGGAGGGCCGCGATCGGTCGATGAAGCGACCCTACATCTGGGCAGAGGCGGCGCCAACACGCGCGAGCCGGAGGTGGGGACGCAGGACCTCGTGTCGTCCCGGAACATGAGCCTTCGGACGTGGGCCGACACGGTGCTGCGACGCCACGGCGGCCGGTTCGCGACGCACCACATCTTCGCGTTCCTCGCCTTCAACATGGGCGTGCGGTCGAGAAACCGTCGAGTCAGCATGCTGAGCGTGACGAGGAAGAACTTCGGCAACGTGGAGCGCATCGTACGGTCGCTGACCGCAGACGGATTAGCGGCAGCCAGGGCCGAGCTGGAGAGCACAGGCAAGACGACCGACGACGCCGTGAAGGAGCTCCTCAGGAGCCTTTCGCTGTATGGTTATCGCCAGCCCATGTCCCGAGAGCTCCGTCTCAGCATGCGGCACAAGATCCTGGCGCTCATCGTCCGCTACGGCGTGCCCGCGATCTGGTTCACGATCAACCCAAATGACATTACGAACCCAGTGAAGCTCCGGCTGGCAGCGTACCGCACGCGCGACCCCGAGGCGGCCGAGGCGTTCCTGCGAAGCCTCGATATGTCGTTCAAACGGGTCCGGCTATCCGTCTCCGACCCGATGAGCTCGGCCATGTTCTTCCATCGCGAGATGGCGCTGTTCTTCGAGCATTACGTAAATGCAGGGGGGGAGTCGGTGTTCGGGCGCATCAGCCAGTATTACGGTGCCGTGGAGACCAACGAACGAGGCTCCCTTCACGTCCACGGGCTGCTCTGGCTACACGGGAACGCGCACCTGGGCTCGATGCTCGCCGACGCCCACGGCGAGGAACAGGCGGCGTACCGCGAGCGGATCGTCCGCTATGTCGATAGCGTCTTCTGCGAGGTAAGGGGCGGGGCGTCGCGGTCATGGGCCAAGAGGATGCAGGCTGACACACGGAAAGCAGGACCTGGACCAGGAGGGTTTTGCGCCGTCCACGCGGAGCGTTCGGTGACGTCCGATGTCTCGTCCCTGCTGGACAGTGCCGAGCGGTTCTCGGCCGCATTCGAAGAGGAAGCCAACTTCTGCGCCGGCGCGACGCAGATCCACACCCATAGTCCGACATGCGTCAAGTACTCCCTGGGCGACAAGGGACGAAAGGGCGACCTCTGTCGCTTCAAGGCGCCATGGAAGCTGGTGGAGAAGACGGCCTTCTCGCCGGACGGCGTGCTGCGGATCCGTAGGACGCATCCCATGGTGAATCGATGGAATAAGGCCATCGCCGTGGGGCTCCGCCACAACCACGACATCTCCTTCATAGCGACGCAGCGGAAGACCACGGCGCTCGTCTACTACGTCACGAACTACGCGACCAAGGTAGAGGACCCGACGTGGAAGCGCGTCGCCGCCGCCGCGGATCTACTGCCCGTCGTCTCGGCCGGGGAGGACGCCGGAAGTGGCGTCGTGGGCGGTGATGATGGAACCAAGAACAAGACACGGCAGTTTCTGATGAGAGTGGCGAACCGTGTCTTCACGGAGCGGGCTCTGTCCCAAGTCGAGGTCGTCGCCCATCTGCTAGGGTACCCAAGCGAGTTCACGAGCAGCAGCGCCTGGGCGTACCTAAACGTGTCGGTGCTCTACTGGCACGTCTCGAGACGGTGGCGACACCTTCGACAGGAGAGCGGCACCGCGGTCGCTGACGTGTCCGTAGATGAGTCGGTCGTCGTGGAAGAAGCGGGCGAACGGATCAGCTTCGCCGAGGCGTACCATCATCGCGGAAACGTCCTACGAGGCTTATGCCTATACGACTACGTTTCGCTCGTCAGGCTCCAACGCGTCGGCAAGGACGGGTGTTCCGGTGCCTGGGGAGAGGTGGCGTTCGAGAGCGGCTGGGTGGCGGGTAAAGACTGGGTGCAGGTATTGAGGCGGCCGGGGAAGCATGCCGTCGTCTGCCTTGACGGGTACCTAAGCAAGGATTTTGAAGAGGACGACGAGGATCATGCCATCGCAGGTAAGCACGGTAAACGGGCGGTTGAAAGGGATCGCAACGCGTCGCAACTAAACCGTTCTGTTCGTTATAGGGCAGCCGTGCAGCATCTTGCACTGTTCACCCCGTGGGAGGCCTTTCTTAGCGAGGAGCGAGGCGACATCAACGACATATGGAGGCGCGCGCGGGAGCAGCTTCCGCCGAGAACCTCGTGCCTCGTCGACAACGTTCAATTGCTCAGGCGTTCCGCCGAGGACGCCAAGCGAGACGCCAAGCAATGGGCAGCCTCGTCCGGCGACGGGGAGGGAGGGCAGGGCCAGGGCCAAGCGGATCACGAGGCGGCATCGGCGTACCAGTCGGACGACGTCGGAATGGCGACGCGACTGATTGACGTCGTGCGAAGCGCGGCCGGGGCGAACCAGATCACGGCGGGATCGCAGGAGCTTTCGGGAATGATGCAGCAGCTCTGCCGCTTCCAACAATCCGCACTAGCCTCGACGGCCGAGCTCCAGGCCACCATGGTGACCGAACGGGGTGGGAGGTACATCAACATGCCCGGCCAGGTGTTCTCCGGGGCCGCCGTGCCGCCGCAGGATCAGGTCAGGGCCATCAAGTCGCAGCAGACTTGCGCCTCCAGGAGAGGGTGAAGATGATCCAGGGCATACAAAGCATGGCCCCGGCCCACGGCACCGATCGCGGCGCAGCGGCGCGGAGCGTGCTGACCGGCTTCGGGAGGAAGACGTGCAGATGACGGGAGCGGCAGCCGAGGAGACGGCAGGTAACGCGCAGGCCGGCATGGAAATCCGCCTCGGCCCGTCGACCTCCTTCGTCGAGGCTGGGAAGGCTTAAGAACACGGTTGACGCTGAACAAGAAACAGGCGATCGCCTTCTCGATAATATGCCGCCACCTGGACTCGATGCGGGAAAGAGACGGAGGCGACGTCAGCCAGCTCTGCCAGTTCGTCGGCGGCGAGGGCGGCACCGGCAAGTCGCGCGTCATCGAAGCACTCGTGGGCCTCTTCGCCGCCAAGGGTATCTCGAGTCGCCTGCTGGTCACGGCGACGTCGGGGACCGCCGCCGCGCGGTCAACGGCATCACCATCCACTCCGCCTGCGGCTTCACCAGGACCAAGGGCCGGGCGAGAACACGGCGAGGAACGTCGACGGCGTGCGGCTGCCGAAGCAGGCGGAGCGGTTCGTCAACGGCCAGTCCCGGATGGACTGGCGGGACAGACGTGCTCGTCATCGACGAGGTGAGCATGCTCGGCGCGCGGACGCTGCACGCCGTCAACGAGCGGCTCTGCCAGCTCCGGGGATCGCGGCGGGACTTCGGCGGCATCCCCATCGTCCTCTTCTGCGGGGACTTCCACCAGTTCCGCCCGGTCCAGGAGCGGTCGATCCTGCTGCCGAGCGCCGCCGTCTCGTGGGACGAGGACAGCTCGTTCAGGGCCGAGCAGCGCCACCAGCACGACAGGGCGCACGCGCTGTGGAGGCGGTTCACGACCGTCGTCATGCTGGACGAGCAGATGCGCGCCGCCGGCGACCCGGAGCTGCAGGGGCTCCTGCGGCGGATCCGACGGGGCGTGCAGGACCACGCGGACCTGGATCTCCTCAACTCGAGGTGCCACCGGGAAGGCAGGCGGATCCCGTGGGAAACGGGCATCACGGTGGTGACGCCGCTCAACAGGAACCGGTGGAACCTCAACATGGAGGCGAGCCTGGCGTTCCAGATCCAGCAGCGGTCGACGGTGCGCATCTTCCTCTCCGAACACAAGTGGAAGGACGGCCTGCCGACCGAGGAAGAGGCCATCACGATGCTGAACCAGGGCGACGACAGCGCGATCCCGGTGCCGGCCGTCTTCATGTTCGTGCCGGGGATGCCGGTCGTCGTGAACCACAACACTCACCAGGGGCTGAAGCTGGTGAACGGCGCCGGCTACACGGCGGCGGAGGTCATCATCGACAAGGCGTACCCGGGGCATCGGATCTCGGCCGACATGACGATCCACTTCGGGCCGCCGGCGGCGATCATACTGGGGTCGGAGACGACCAGGACTTCCACTTCGTCGGGATGCCGGCCGGCACCATCCTGCTGACGCCCATGAGCGTCAGGGTCCAGCGTCAGCGGAAGCGACCGTGGCAGCAGAACGACGTCAGCCGCAAGGGCCTGCCGTGCGCCGCCGCCTTCGCGTGCACCGATTACAAAGTGCAGGGGGGGACGCTGGAGCGCGTGGCGCTCGAGCTGCGGGGGACGAGGACGACCAACGTCGGCGGACGCGCCGTCCCGTCGCAGTGCGACCCGTACAGCCTGTACGTGCAGCTATCGCGGTGCCCGACGCTGGACGGCATCATGCTCGTGTCGAAGGTGCGGGAGAGGGACCTGGTGGGAAACCGGGTCCCCGGGGAGATGACCGCCGCACAGGCGAGACTGGAGGAACTAAGCGACAGAAGCGTTCGGGAGGCGCTGTGCTGGCTCGGCGACGACTTGGACGCCGCGAGGCAAGAGAGGGAAGGCTTGGTAGGCACGACGTCGTCGGACGCCGCGGGAACGGCTGACCGCGGGAACGGCTGACGTGAGCAAGGAGGCCAAAACGAAAGAGGCTATTTTCAGCCCAATCGGGTTGAGAACGAGGCGGCTAAGTCAAAAGAGGCAGATTTTACGGAACGCCGGCGGGCGAGAGCCAACGAAAAGCTGACCAATCAGGCACGCGGATTTTGGGGGGAAGGTCCGCGGGTGGGGCATAGGGGAAGGTCCGCGGGTGGGGCATAAGTCCTTTCGTTCCTCAAGGCATTTTTTTTCTCCCCGGGGAGGAACCCTAAGAACCTTTCGTCACTCGTTCCTCGTTCCTCAAGGCATGGCGAATTTTTTTTCTCCCCGGGGAGGAACCCTAAGAACCTTTCGTCACTCGTTCCTCGTTCCTCAAGGCATAAGTCCTTTCGTTCCTCAAGGCAAATCAGCCAATCAGAGGCGGAGGATGTGGGGGTGAAGCAGTCTGGGGCCTTTTTTCCCCGCGCGCTAATGAAGTCCTTTCGTTCCTCAAGGCACAGGTAAGGCAACCCCTCATGGGTTGCGCAAAAAGCCTTGAGGAACGAAGACTGAGGATTGAGACAAACAAGACGAAGACAGAGGGCGAGAGCAAAGAACGCAAGCAGGCGGTAGCGCCAGGAACTAATGCATGCAAGAAGGTAGGCAAATAAATCGGCCATTCGGGCACCATCCGCAGCGGGAAGAGGAGAAAAAGCAAGAAGGCAAATACAGCGATGATAACGGTTGCGGGGTAGAGAGAGGGGAGTATAAGAGAGGCACCAAGGCACGAATAGGAGAGCAGAAGCGTCTACCCTAGCTACCGATCGAGCAGTTAGGAAAACAACTACAGCATGGCCACTTGCAACGTTTCCGTGGAGTTCTGGTGCGAATTCGGGCCACGGGCTCAAGTACAAGCATAGCATCCCGAAGACGCTCGTGACGCAGGTAGGCCAGGCGAGGCCGAACCACGAAGCCAGCGCACTGTTCCTACAGTGGATAAGGCCGATCCTACGGGAGCACGAGGCGGCGTGTCGGAAGGCAGCAGGGCGCGCTGCGAGTTGCGGCGAAGTCGCAAAGGACATTCTACAGAGCCCGATATCGTACCTACATGCAGAGGCCGTTTGTGCTCGTGGTCGTGTCGTCATTCTGCGGTCAAGAAGGATGCGAAATAAGGGCGAGGCAGGAAATGCAGGACACGATGGCAGAGGCGGGGCAGGCGGACGGAAGCATGGGCGCAAAGCAAATGCAAGGGCAGGATGCACAGAGCACAGAGGAAGGTCTGCCGGGTTTGTGGAGAGATGGCGGGGCGAGGAGGTGCAGCCGATGCCTGGCGGTCGCGTATTGCAGCAGGCAACACCAAAAGGAGGACTGGAAGGTACACAAGAAGGGATGCAAGCCAAAGGCAAGCTAGGGAGCTAGGGGAAGCAAGCAACGCCGTCGAGGCGGCCTTAAGGCCAGCCTCACACGCCGCAACGGCCTTTGTAGAACCAACCGCCGATTTCGGCGACCCTCGTCCCTATGACTTGCACAACTAAGGAACGGAATGTAAGATAACAAAGACGCCCCTTTGCGAGGCGCAACTACAGGGCCCCCGTCGCCGCTAAACGCAACTGAGAGGTGCGGCGGCAAGCTGGCAAGGAGAGAGAAGGGAATGGGAAGGAAGGGAAAGAGAAGGGGCGAGGCGCAACGCATGGGACATTAACGAGGTCACGGAGAACGTCTAGAGGCAGGCAGTGTTGTAAGAAACGGGTTCGCAAGCCAAAACTGTCCTTTAATAAAGGGAGAAACGTGGCAATGCGTAGAGTAATAGTAATTTTGCAGCGACAAGCTGTGTTAGGAATAGTATCCCGTTCCATTTTAGTAAAGGCAGGAGGCGTAAGAGAGCGATTGGTTTATAGTAGGCAGCTTATTTCTGCATGCGATAGCGGAGAGGGCGAGCGGGCGGGTCGGAGGTGCTCGCGACGATAGAGTCGAGAAGGGAAGGCGGGGGGGCCGGAGCGGGAGCGGGCGGGATGCCGTCCAGTCGAGACGAAGAAGCGGCTGGCGGGGGACAGGAGGAGGGGGCGGCGGGACCGACGGTGTCCGAAGACGAAGAAGGCGGCGAATGCTGCAGCTGTAGTAAGCGCGCCCTCTTCATGGGCGTATCGGCAAGGGCCGGGTGGGAGCGCTTAGGCGGCGGCGTGACGGGGTCGGGGGCGGTCGGGGCCGAGGCCGAGGAAGGGGGCCCCGACGTGGCCGAGGCCGGCGCGGCAACGGAGTACAAGGCGGCGCGGACGGAATCGAAGGCAGAGGAGGCGGATGGGGTCTGGCGCCTAAGGGGCGTAGCGAGGGGAAGCCGAGGCGGCGGCGGCGGCCGAGGGCCTATCGACAAAGGTCCAGCTGTCCGGGACGATGATAAAGACGTAATCGCGCTCCGAGCCCGGGGGGGAGAGCATAACGCGGTGGTCGAGAAGGCCGACGACCTTTCCGGTGCAGGTAAAGGGGACGCCGGGCAGGAAGGAAGAGTTAGACTTTTCGGCGATTTTCTTGCATAGCACGGCCCAAGGGTTAACGTAGACGGGAAAGATAACAAAGACCTCGAAGGGGTGGTAGCCCTTGAATGGAATCCTGTCCGGCAGGCCAGGGGCGATGTAGGTCGTGAGCCGGACGAAGCCGCAGCAGCGGAGCTGGTCGGGCCCGAGACCGGGCAGGAAGTCTCGACGCAGGAGGTCGAGGCCGGGCCCGGCTACGACGCCATGGAAGGAGACAACGGGAGGCGTAGACGGGAACTGGCCGCTAGAGGCCAAGGAGCGCGGCAGGACGCTAGGGGGCAAAGTCAGCGGGGCGGTGGGTGAGGAGGCGCATTACAATTTGGGGAGGGGGCGCACGGCTGGTAACCTTGGTCGCGGACGATAAGGGCGGGCACGGTGTGAGAATAGCATCGTCCGGGCCGGCCTCGAGGCCGTCGCGGCGCTCCACCTCCCAGGAGAGGGCGTAGGGGTGAACGCGGCCGCTCATAAAGAACCACTGCTCGGACCAGTCGGTATCGACGACCGGCTGGCCGTAGATGGAGAGGTTTAGACTAAAGAAGAGGGAGGGCCCTAGATCGTCGCCCTCGGCCCGGAGGGGTGCATACTCCGACTCTAGCAGCCACGAGGGCACCGGCAGGAGGACTCGGGCGATGGCCTCGGCGTTAAGGCCCCTGATGCGGTGCTCGTCTTGGTGGGCAAACCTCGCGGGGCAGTCGGGCTGGGCGAAGAACATCATGGACATGTCGCCGCCCGCGCCCTTGCTAGTGGCAAGGGGCTTGCGGAGGTGCGGGGCAGAGCTGTCCGCCGACGGAGACGAAGACATGGCGAGGCCGTGTGGTGGAAGAGCAACGTTGCCGGAGCGAAGCTAGAAGCGGCGAGGAATAGGGGCAGGAGTGCTCCCTACCAATATGCCGTCTTAAGAGTTTAGTGTAGTAGGGAAGGGCTGGTGGCCGTGGTGTATAAGAGAAGTCAAAGGATCCTAAACGAAGACGCAACGTAGCGTTAGCGGTAGGCTAAGATAAGGAGCCTATATAAAGGAGGTCTATAAGATGCGTATAGAAAAATGCGACAAGAGGAGAAGAGGAAACCTCGAAAGGCGGTCTAGTAAGACGTAGAGGGTTTTAAGACAAGCAGGACGCGCGAGGCTATGTTCGAGGAGAAGGAGGCAGACTTATTCGCAACACGTGTAAGACATGGGTTCAAAATTCAGCAGGCGAGCGTCTAGGGGCGTACTGAGGCTTTGACCGACAAGACCTAGATGACAAGAAGGAAAGTGTACCATGCAAAGCACAGGCAAGAAGAGGCCGTCTCGGCGACCTACACGTAAGGACCGGCCGAGGCCGTATAGCCCGCCGCCTTTAGCGGCGGGCAATGGCGGGGGGGCTCGATAGCAAGGCGGCGCCGGTATAATGTAAAGAGCAGCGGCACGCCTGTAGACGTACTAGAGAGCTACGAGTAAGATATAAGATATATAGACTTTCCTAGAGGATCCTGCACCCACAGGAGGGGTGCCAGTTGCACCCACAGGAGGGGTGCCAGTTGCACCCACAGGAGGGGTGCCAGTCAGCAAGACAAGTGCAGGACGAATGGTCGAGGCAAGGACTTATACGCCGTTATTACACTTACGAGGATCAACGCCGGGGGCCCAGTAGCACCGCAAGTAGGCGGGGCCGAAGAGGCAGCGCAAGAGAGGAAGACAAGAGGTCCGCGGGGGCCTCGGTAGACCGGTGTCGCGATGAAGCCAGCTAACGGGAGGGCCCAGTCCGGAGCGGGTGACAGGGTAAGCCCGGCGCCAGAAGCCCGAGCAGCGCCGTACACAGGACCAGAGATCCGGCCGATCACAGCAGCGCCGGCACTCGGTCGCGGCGCCTCTCGCGCCTCCGAGGCGAGGGCGGGAAGACCGCCAGGACTAGGGAAATGGAGGATCAGCGCAGGCCGAGTCGCGCCACGGGATATCCAGCCTCAGCCGACACCGAGTGCGGCGGGGCAGTGGCTGCCGCTGGGCCGGCCCAGCGCCGTCTCGGCCTCAGGGAAAAGCCAGCGCGCACCGAGAGAAATCCGGCCTCTGCCGTCGGCAGAGGCCGCCGGGCCTTCGCCGCCGCTGACGAGAAGTTCGGACGCTCCACGGGACATTCGGCCCCAGCCGACATGGAGGCCGCCGGTCCTTCACTGCCGTCAAACGGGATAGGTTTAGCTGCAGCCTCGGCCGGAAGCCAGGGGCTCCGCAGGATACCCGGCCCCAGCCGACATGGAGGGCCGCCGGGCCTTGGCCGCCGGCGACGAAGTTCGGTCGCCCGCGGGACATTCGGCCTCAGCCGACATGGAGGCCGCCGCTCCTTCACCGCCGTCGAGCAGGATAGGTTTGGCTTCAGCCTTGGCCGGAAGGCGGGGCTCCGCAGGATGCCCGGCCCCAGAGGAGAGCCGCCGGCCCGTCGCCCCGAGCCATCCAGTCCTGGCCGGCCAGTAGGGCCGAGGCTCTTGCCACAACTCCCGCCGCAGCCGGGCCGCTTGTTTCAGCATTGGCCGGAAGCCGGGGGGCTCCCCTCGGCCACAGCCGACATGCAGGGCCGCCGGTCCTTCACCGCCGTCGAGCGGGATAGGCTTGGCTTCAGCCTTGGCCGGAAGCCAGCACCCGCCGCGAGCCATCCAGTCCCGGCCGGCCAGCAGGGCCGAGGCTTCTGCCACAACTCCCGCCGCAGCCGGGCCGCTTGTTTCAGCCTTGGCCGGAAGCCCGGGGGCTCCGCAGGATATCCGGTCCCAACCGATATGGAGGGCCGCCGGGTCTTCGCCGCCGGCGACGAGAAGTTCGGACGTTCCGCGGAACATTCGGCCACAGCCGACATGGAAGGCCGCCGGCCCTTCACCGCCGTCGAGCGGGATAGGTTTAGGTTCAGCCTTGGCCGGAAACCGGATGTCTCCGCAGGATATCCGGCCCCAGCCGACATGGAGGGCCGCCGGGCCTTCGCCGCCGTCGAGCGGGACTAGCCCGGCCGTAGTCTCGGCCGGAAGCCAGCACTCGCCGCGAGCCATCCAGTCCCGGCCGGCCAGCAGGGCCGAGGCTTCTACCACAACTCCCGCCGCAGCCGGGCCGCCTGTTAGCGGCAGAGATAGCGCACCGGCAGGTACGGCCGTAGAGCGAGGTGAAGGTGTATGGCGGCGATAGCTAACAGGACGCAGGCAGAGCGGCGATAAGACGGCAGGCGAGAGAAGAGCAGAAGAGGAAACGCCATCTTGGTAGTGGGCAGGCCGGGCGGAAACGCGCCAGGGTGGGTGACAAGATGCCAAGACGAAGGGAGCTGCAGGCCGAGGACCTAGCCAGCGCGCTACGGCACCTCGACGAGGAGTTCGAGGCGGGCGAGAGGCTGGCCAACGAACAGACGTGGTGCGCGCCGGTGCCGCGCGAGAGGCAGGTGAGGACGGTGCGGAGGTTCTACCGGGCGTTCCACGACGCAGGCACGCTGCCGATCGCGACCTGCACGCTATGCTACCGGAAGCGGGCCAAGGGGGAGCTGAGGGAGACGGCGTGGGAGGGGTGGTCGCGGAGCAGCGTTGCGGGAGGCGGGCGGTCCCCGTTCGGGTGCCAAACCTGCTTCCCGGAGGGCAGGCCGGTGCCGGTCTGCGCAGAGTGCGCGCGATGGGCCGGGCGCGAGGGGGCGTCGCCGGCCATGCATCTCCACGGGCGTCTCGGCTGCGAGCACGCGCACCCCGACGAGCTGAAGGACCTTACGCCGCTCGAGGAGAAGCTCATCTCGCTCAACTCGTGCTACGGCTTCGTGACGAAGTATAGCATCCCTGGCGGCCATCGGCAGAGCGTAAGGTACCCGAGGCATGTCAAGGGCCACATTACCGTGTTCCCAAACGACGTGCAGGGCCTCGCCGCTAACGTGCTGCCACACCCGCTGCTGCGGGTCATGGACGAGATCCACGTCTCGTGGCAGGGCGCCGAGAGACCTGGGCCGCGGGACCTATCTGTCACGACCCTGGGCGCCAGCGTAGAGCCGCCAGCGCAGCACCTCACCAGTGTCACGTGCCCAAGCAGCATCACGTGCCCACGCGCGACCTCGTGTCTATATAAGGGCCCGCTCGGTCGTGTAGTCTAGTCTTCCTTTCTTGCTCCTTAGCTTTGAGTCTTTGTTCATAGTGCCAATACATCTTTATAGCCGTCAAGGCTCGTATGTGCCTGGCCGTAACACTATCGAGCCTGCTGTCGGTAAGGCGGTCGGCGGTCGAGAGGGCGCTAGCCTGGCTTAAAGAGAACAATCCGCTCTACGGCGAGGTCGAGATCGACACGGCGGAGATGGCCAGCTGGGGGGCGCCGCCGCACGGGGTGCCGCCGGTGGTGTGCGAGCGGCTAGAGCGAAACGAGCCGTCGGCGCGGGAGAGGACGCGGACGGCGCAGGTAGTGCCACCGTCGGAGCGGGCCATGGACGAAGGGGGAGCGGCCGAGATCGAGGAGATCCTCGCGATGCTAAGGCAGGGGCGGGACCCCGCCGAGGGGAGCCGCGACGTCGGGGTCACATGCGAGGACGACTTACACGATGACAGGGACGGCGCTAGGCCTGAAGAGGACGGGGTCGTAATCAACGAGGTGACGTCTTCCGGCATGTTCCCGTTGGACGGGGCGCCGGATGTGGCAGACGCCGAGAAGATTTGCTTCGCCCGCGACGCCGTCAGGCCCGAGGGAGCGCGCGCCGGCCCGAGGACGTGGGTAGGGACCGCGGCCCGAGGGGCGGCGGGCGATGGCGGCGACGGCGAGCCGTACATACAGGTGCGGCGCGGCGATGATTTCGCCGACTCGGCGGACGCCTCGTTCTTCGCAAAGGCCTTTCCGACCCTGTTCCCCTTTGGCTTGGGCGGGCCGAGGCTCGCCGACGAGGACGCCACAGGAGAGAGCGCGTGCCCTAGCGTCGGGAACCAGGGTACGCAGGCGGAGCGGGTCGCGGAGGGCCTTATGTCGACGCGGAACATGAAGCTCCAAGCATGGGCCGACGTCGTGCTGCGGCGCCACGGCGGCCGGTTCGCGACGCACCCTATCTTCGCCTTCCTCGTCTTTAACATGGGCGTGCGGTCTAGGAACCGCCAGGCCAGCATGCTAGGCGTCGCGAGGAAGAACTTCGCAAGGGTCGAGGGCCTGCTAAAGTCGTTAACGGCGCAGAGGCTCGAGGCGGCCAGGGTCGAGCTCGAGGCCACGGGCAAGACTAGCGACGACGGGGTAAAGGAGCTCATCCGGTCCCTCTCCGTGTTCGGCTACCGGCAGCCGATGTCGAGGGAGAGCCGGCTTAGTATGCGGAAGAAGATACTCTCCCTCATCATAAGGCACGGGGTGCCGGCCATATGGTTCACGCTGAACCCGAACGACATCACGAACCTGGTAAAGTTACGGCTGGCGGCGCACCGCGGCCGCGACCCCGACGAGGCCGAGGCCTTCCTAAGAGACCTGGGGACCGCGTATAAGCGGACGCGGCTGGCCATATCGGACCCGATGAGCTCGGCCATCTTCTTTCACCGGGAGATGACGCTCTTCTTCGAGCACTACGTCAACGTCGGGGAGGAGTCGGTGTTCGGGCACGTCGGCGCGTACTACGGGGCGGTCGAGACCAACGAGCGAGGCGCTCTCCACATCCACGGGCTCCTCTGGCTAAGGGGCAACGCGGGCCTTGGCGAGGCGCTCGGCGGCTCCGATACGGAGGAGCAGGCGGCGTACCGGGAGCGCATCGTCCGCTACGTAGATAGCGTCTTCTCCGAGGTAAGGCGGCCGCCTTAAGATGATATCCCCCATCCGTAGCAGGCCGAAGGGCCCCGAGCTGACCCGAGGCTATAGGAGCTAGACGCAGAAGGTTACTGCGCCGTGCAGGCGGAGCGGTCGGCAACGGCGGACATATCGTCGCGGCTCGACGACGTCGCGCGCTTCACGGACACCTTCGACGAGGAGGCCAACTTCTGCGCCGGCGCGACGCAGATCCACACGCATAGCGCGACCTGCGTAAAATACTCGCTCGGCGCGAGGGCGCGGAAGGGGGACCTCTGCCGGTTCAAGGCGCCGTGGAGGCTGGTGGAGAGGACGGCACTGACGGCGGACGGGGTGCTCGAGATCCGGCGGACGCATAGCATGGTGAACCGGTGGAACCGGGCGATGGCAGTAGGACTACGGCACAACCACGACATCTCGTTCATCGCGACGCAGCGCAAGACCATGGCCCTAATCTACTACATTACCAACTATGCGACGAAGGTAGAGGACCCCGTGTGGAAGCGTGTGGCCGCCGCGGCCGAGTTCCTTCCGCGCTAGAGCCGACGGAGAGGGCAACGGAAGTGGCGCCGACCGCGACGCCGGCCGAGGGGCGGGGCCGAAGGGGTGGCGACGGCGGCGGACCCCATAGGGGGGAACAAGACGAGAACGTTCCTGCTCAAGGCGGCGAACCGAGTATTTACGGAGCGGCCGCTGTCGCAGGTCGAGGTGATCGCGCACCTCCTAGGGTACCCGGCAGAATTTAGCAGCGGCTCGGCGTGGGCGTACGTGAACGCGAACCAGCTCTACTGGGCCGTCTTCCGCCGGTGGCGGCACCTCCGACGGGCGAGCGGCGCGGAGGCGACGGGCGACGCGCCGGACGAGACGGTCGTCGTCGAGGAGGCCGGCCCGAGGATCCCCCTCGTCGAGGCCTACCGGCACAGGGGCGAGCTCCTACGGGGCCTCTGCCTTTATGACTACGCATCGCTCGTAAGGCTAAAGCGAAACGGCCGCGGCGCCGACGGTGGGACGGGCTGGGGCGAGGTACCCTTCGCGGAGAGCTGGGCGTCGGGAAGGGCTGGGTGCAGGCGCTTAGGCGGCCGGGTAGCGGGGCGACCGTATGCCTCGACGGATACCTCAGCAAGGAGTTTAGCGAGGGAGACGACGAGTCGTGCCACCGAAGGTGCGCACCATAAGACGGGGAGCGCCCAAGGGGAAGGCAGCGCGGCTAGGGGCATCGGCTAACAGCGCCTAGGGCGGCGGTACAGCACCTGGCCCTATTCGTGCCGTGGGAGTCCTTCCTCGGCGAGGAGGCAGGCGACATCAACGACATCTGGGCGCGCGCGCGGGGGTCGCTGGCGCCGAGGGTCGCGCGGCTCGCAGACAATGTGCAGCTCCTCCGGCGGTCGGCGGAGGACGCGAAGCGCGACGCCAAGCAGTGGGCCGCCACGGCCGAGGAGGGCGGTATGACGGCGCCGCAGGCCGGCGACGAAGGAAGGGGGGCGGCCGAGGGGGGCGAGGAGGCGTACCGCGCCGGCGGGGCGGGCGACGCGGCGCGGCTCATCGACGTCGTCCGGAACGCCGCCGGCGCGGGACAAGTCACGGCGCAGTCAACGGAGCTGCTAGCGATGACGCAGCAGCTCTGCCGGTTCCAGCAGTCGGCGCTCGGGTCGGCGGCCGAGCTCGCGGCGACGGTAGTGGCGGAGGAGAGGGCAGGCAGGCGGGTGAACCTACCGGGCTCGGAGCTCTCGGGGGCGGCGCTGCCACGGCAAGAAGAGGTGCGGGCCATTAAGTCGCAGCAGAGGAGCGCGGCGCGGGAGCGGGAGCGAGCCATCCAAGGCATCCAGGGCGGCGGGGCGGCGGCGGGCGTCGGGGCCGACCGCGGCGCGGCTCTTCGCGGGGTGATGGGGGGCTTCGGCGAGGACGACATGGACGTAACGGCGGCCGACGGCGACGTAGACGCTGGCACGGCGGCGGGGATGCGCGTGCGGCTCGGCCCGTCGAGCTCGTTCGTCGCCGCCGGCAGGGAGCTGGCGGGGCAGCTCACGCTCAACGAGAAGCAGGCCATCGCCCTCGTAATCGTGTGTCGGCAGCTCGACCGAATCCGGCAGGGCGACGAAGCAGGCGGCGACGGCAGCGCTCAGCTCTGCCTGTTCATCGGCGGCGAGGGCGGCACCGGCAAGTCGCGCGTCATTGAGGCGCTCGTCGAGCTGCTCGCCCGGAGGGACCTATCGAGCCGGCTGCTGGTTACGGCGACGTCGGGGACGGCGGCAGCACGGATCAACGGCATCACACTACACTCGGCCTGCGGCCTTACGGTCGGTCAGGGCGGCCAGGCGGGAGGGCGACGAGGACGTAGACGGCGTACGGCTGCCGGGCCAGGGCGAGCGCTTCGTCGACGGCCGGTCGCGGATGGACTGGCAGGAGAAGGAGGTGTTGGTGATCGACGAGGTCAGCATGCTCGGGGCGCGGACGCTGCACGCCGCCAACGAGCAGCTGTGCAGGCTGCGGGGGTCGGCGCGAGACTTCGGCGGCATCCCGGTGGTGATCTTCTGCGGCGACTTCCACCAGTTCCGGCCGGTGCAGGAGCGGTCGATCCTGCTGCCGAGCGCGGCGGTGGCGTGGGACGAGGACGGGGCGTTCGCGGCCGAGCAGCGGCGGCAGCACGACAAGGCGCACGCGCTGTGGCGGCGGTTCACGACGGTCGTCATGCTAGACGAGCAGATGCGGGCCGCCGGCGACCCGGAGCTGCGGCGGCTGCTCGGGCGCATCCGCCGGGGGAAGCAGGACCGGTCGGACCTAGAGCCGCTCAACTCGAGGTGCCACCGGCCGGGCAGGCGGATCCCGTGGGAGACGGGCCTGACGGTGGTCACGCCGCTCAACCGGAACCGCTGGAACCTCAACCTAGAGGCGGCGCTCGCGTTCCGGGCGCGGCGGCGGACGGCGGCGCGCGTCTTCCTGTCCGAGCACAAGTGGAGGGAGGGCCTGCCGACGGAGGAGGAGGCGTTGCTAATGCTGGGCCAGGGCGACGATAGCGCGACGCCGGTGCCGGCCGTCTTCGTCTTCGTGCCCGGCATGCCGGTCGTCGTGAACCAGAACACGCACCAGGGGCTGAAGCTAGTGAACGGCGCCGGGTACACGGCGGTAGACGTCATCCCCGACCGGGCCTTCCCCGGCCACCGGGTGTCGGCGGAGCTGACGATGCACTTCGGTCCGCCGGCGGGCATCGTGCTGGCCTCGGAGACGACCAGGGCTTCCACTTCGTCGGGATGCCGGCGGGACGATCCTGCTGACGCCCATCAGCGTCAAGATCACGGCGCAGCGGAAGCGGCCGTGGCAGCGCAACGACGTCAGCCGGAGGGCCTGCCGTGCGCGGCGGCCTTCGCCTGCACAGACTACAAGGTGCAGGGCGGGACGCTGGAGCGCGTGGCGCTGGAGCTGCGGGGGGCGAGGATGACGACGGTCGAGGGGCGGGCGGTGCCGTCGCCGTGCGACCCGTACAGCCTGTACGTGCAGCTGTCGCGGTGCCCGACGCTCGACGGCATCATGCTCGTATCGGAGGTGCGGGAGCGGGACCTGGTGGGGAACCGGGTGCCCGAGGAGATGACGGCAGCGCAGGCCCGGCTAGAGGAGCTTAGCAGGCAGACAACGCGGGAGGCGGCCGACTGGCTCAGCGGGTAACGCGGGCGGCGTAGGCGTCTCGCTCGCAGCGGAGGAGATCCTGCCCTTAGGACGACTATCCTAGCACATAATCAGGGGGCGAAGATATCATCGGAGGTATGGGAAGGCGCAACGTAGGTAGATGGAAACAAGATCAAAAATCCGAAGAGTAGTTAACGGACATGGACGGGTGCGTGCCCAATATAGCCGAACCGCAAAAAGGCGGAGATTTACATTTTCGCACACATATACAGTACAGCCAAGAGGAAGAGAGACAGGCCGGCCGACTCTAGGCTAGCGGTAGCTACCGACGTAAAAGGAGTATAGGTCAAGCAAGGGCCAGGAGGACGGGCGAAGGGGGCGACGAGGACGAGTGCGATGTATTTTCAGACCAATAAGAGGAGAGCAAGCCGACGAATCAGATGGCGGCAGCTGACGAATCAGAGGAAAGACACCGGCAACCGACGAATCAGAGGGCGGCAACCGACGAATCAGAGGGCGGCAGGCGACGAATCAGAGACAGGTAAGGCAACCCTTCATGGGTTGCGCAAAGAGCCTTGAGGAACGAAGGCCGAAGATTGGAGAGACAAACAAGACAAAGACAGGGTGAGAGAAAGAACGCAAGCAGGCGGTAGCGCTAGGAACTAAAACATGCAAAAAAGGTAGGTAAAGAAAGCGGCCATTCGGGCACCATCCCGCCGCGGGGAAGAGGCAGAAAAAGCAAGAAGGCAAGTAAAGCGGTGATGACGATTGCGGGGTAAGCGAGAGGAAGGGAGCATAAGAGGGGCGCCAAGGCACGAATAGGAGAACAAGAGCAGAAGCGTCTACCCTAGCTACCGATCGAGCAGTTAGGAAAACAACTACAGCATGGCCACTTGCAACGTTTCCGTGGAGTTCTGGTGCGAATTCGGGGCCACGGAGCTGAAGTACAAGCATAGCATCCCGAAGACGCTCGTGACGCAGGTAGCCAGGCGAGGCCGAACCACGCAGCCAGTGCACTGTTCCTACAGTGGATAAGGCCGATCCTACGGGAGCACGAGGCAGCGTGTCGGAAGGCAGCAGGGGTGCGCTGCGAGAGCTGCGGCGGACTCGCAAAGGAGATTCTACAGAGCCCGATATCGTACCTACACGCAGAGAGGCCGTTTGTGCTCGTGGTCGTGTCGTCGTTCTGCGGCAAAGAAGGATGCGAAATTAGGACGAGGCAGGAAATGCAGGACAAGATGGCAGAGGCGGGGCAGGCGGGCGGAAACAAGGGCGCGACGCAAATGCAAGGGCAGGATGCGCAGAGCACAGAGGAAGGTCTGCCGGGTTTGTGGAGAGATGGCGGGGCGAGGAGGTGCAGCCGATGCCTGACGGTGGCGTACTGCAGCAGGCACCAAAAGGAGGACTGGAAGGTGCACAAGAAGGGATGCAAGGCAAAGGCAAGCTAGGGAGCTAGGGAGAGGAGGGAAGGAAAGTAAAAGGGACAAGGCATAACGCGCAGGACATAAACAAGGTCACGGAGAACAAATAGAGGCAGGCACTATCGTAAGAAATAGGTCGCAAGCTAAAGTTGTTGTTTCAAAAAGAGATAAACGTTGTAATGTGTAGAGTAATGGTAATTTTGCAGCGATAAGTTTCGTTAGGAATAGCATCTCGAGAGGAGAACGGTTTATTTTAGTAAAGGCAAGAGGCGTAAGAGAGCGATAGGTTTATAGTAGGCAGCTCATTTCTGCATGCGATAGCGGATAGGTCGAGCGGGCGGGTCGGAGGTGCTCGCGACAATAGAGTCAAGAGGGGAACCCGGCTTGGCTGCCGGAGCGGAACGGGCGGGACGCCGCTCGGTCGAGACGAAGAAGCGGCCGGCGGGGAGAGGAGGAGGGGCGGCGGAGCTGACGGTGTCCGAAGACGAGGAAGGCGGCGAATTCTGCTGCTGCAGCAAGCGCGCCCTCTTCATGGGCGTATCGGCAAGGGCCGGGTGGGAAGTTTAGTGTAAAAGAGAAGGGCCAGTGGCGATGGTGTGTAAGAGAAGTCAAAGGATTCTAAACAAAGACGCAACATGGCGTTAGTGGTAGGTTATATAAGGAGCCTTTGTAAAAGAGGGTTATAAGATGCGTATAGAGGAGAGTGCAATAAGAGAAGGGAGAACTTTAAAAGGCGGTCTAGTAAGATGTTGAGAGTTTTAAGACAAGCAGGACGCGCGAAGCTATATTCGAGGAGAAGCAGGCAGCCCTATTCGCAACACGTGTAAGACATGGTTTTAAACTTCAGCGGGCAAGTGTCTAGGGGCATACGGAAGCTTTGACTGATAAGAGCTGGATGACAAGAAGGAAAAGCGTAGCATGCAAAGCATAGGCAAGAAGAAGCCGTCGCGGCGACGTACATATAAGGATCGGCCGAGGCCGTCTAGCCTATCGCATATGGCAGCAGGCAATGGCGGGCGGGCTTAATAGAAAGGCGGCGCCGGTATAATGCAAAGAGCAGCAGCACGCATATAGACATAGTAGAGAGCTACGAGTAAGATATATAGACTTTTGTAGAGGATCCTATATGCGCAAGAGGGTGCCAGTCAGCAAGATAAGTGCAGGGCGAATAATCGAGGCAAGGATTTATACGCTGTTATTACACTTACGAGGATTTACGCCAGGGGCCTAGTGGCACCATAAGTAGGCAGGGCCAAAGAGGGCAGGTGCAAAAGAGGAAGACAAGACGTCCGTGGGGGCTTTGGTAGACCGGTGTCGCAATGAAGCCAGCCAACGGAAGGGACCAGTCCGGAGCGGGGGACGGGGCAAGCCCGGCGCCAGAAGCCTGCGCAGCGCCGTACACAGGACCAGAGTTCCAGCCGACCACAGCAGCGCCGGCACTTGCTAGCGGCGCCCCTCGGAGAGAGCAAGAAGAGGCGTCAAGGGAGGCGCCTCCGAGGCGAGGGCGGGGAAGACCGCCAGGACTAGGGAGATGGAGGATCAGCGCAGGCCGAGTCATGCCGCGGGATATCCAGCCTCGGCCGACACCAAGCGCGGCGGCAACTTGGCTGCCGCCGACACCGAGGGCGGCAGGGCACTGGCTGCCGCAAGGCGTGCCCAGCGCCGTCTCGGCCTCAGGGAAAAGCCAGCGCGCACCAAGAGAAATCCGGCCTCTGCCGACAGTAGAGGCCGCCGGTCCTCGCCGCCGCCGACGAGAAGTTCGGACGTTCCGCGGGACATTCGGCCACAGCCGACATGGAGGGCCGCCGGCCCTTCGCCGCCGACGAGAAGTTCGGACGCGCCGCGGGATATCCAGGCTCTGTCGACACCGACGGCGGCAGGGCGCCGGCTGCCGCAAGGCGGGCCTAGCGCCGTCTCGGCCTCAGGAAAAGCCAGCGCGCACCGAGGGAAATCCGGCCTCTGCCGACGGTGGAGGCCGCCGGGCCTCGCCGCCGCCGACGAGAAGTTCGGACGTTCCGCGGGATATTCGGCCACAACCGACTTGGAGGGCCGCCGGCCCTTCGCCGCCGTCAAGCGGGACTAGCTCGGCCGTAGTCTCGATCGGAAGCCAGCACTCGCCGCGAGCCATCCAGTCCCGGCCGGCCAGCAGGGCCGAGATCCCCGCCACAACTCCGGCCGCAGCCGGGCCGCTTGTTGGCGGCAGAGATAGCGCCTCGGCAGGTACGGTCGTAGAGCGAGGTAAAGGCGTGTAGCGGTGATAGCTAACCGGACGCAGGTAGATCGGCGATAAGACGGCAGGCGAGGAAGAGCAGAAGAGGAAACGCCATCTTAGTAGTGGGCAGGCCGAGCGGAAACGCGCCCGGGTCGGTGAAAGGTGCCGAGACCAAGGGAGCTGCAGGCCGAGGACCTAGCCAGCGCGCTGCGGCACCTCGACGAGGAGTTCGAGGCGGGCGAGAGGCTGGCTAACGAGCAGACGTGGTGTGCGCCGGTGCCGCGCGAGAGGCAGGTGAGGACGGTGCGGAAGTTCTACCGGGCGTTCCACGACGCTGGCACGCTGCCGATCGCGACCTGCACGCTATGCTACCGGAAGCGGGCCAAGGGGAGCTGAGGAGATGGCGTGGGAGGGTGGGAGGGGTGGTCGCGGAGCGGTGTTGCGGGGGGCGGGCGGTCCCCGTTCGGGTGCCAAGCCTGCTTCCCGGAGGGCAGGCCGGTGGCGGTCTGCGCAGAGTGCGCGCGATGGGCCGGGCGTGAGGGGGCGTCGCCGGCCATGCACCTCCATGGGCGGCTCGGCTGCGAGCACGCGTACCCCGACGAGCTAAAGGACCTCACGCCGCTCGAGGAGAAGCTCATCTCGCTCAACTCGTGCTACGGCTTCGTGACGAAGTATAGCATCCCCGGCGGCCAGAGGCAGAGCGTGAGGTACCCGAGGCACGTCAAGGGCCATATCACGGTGTTCCCGAACGACGTGCAGGGCCTGGCTGCTGCCAGGTGCTCCCGCACCCGCTGGTCCGGGTCATGGACGAGATCCACGTCTCGTGGCAGGGCGCTGAGAGGCCCGGGCCGCGGGACCTATCAGGCCTGCTGTCGGTAAGGCGGTCGGCGGTCGAGAGGGCGCTGGCCTGGCTCAAGGAGAACAACCCGCTCTACGGCGAGGTCGAGATCGACGCGGCGGAGATAGCCAGCTGGGGCGCCGCCGCACGGTGCCGCCGGTGGTGTGCGAGCGGCTGAGCGAAACGAGCCGTCGGCGCGGGAGAGGACGCAGACGGCGCAGGTGGTGCCGCCGTCGGAGCGGGCCATGGACGACGGAGGCGCGGCCGAGATCGAGGAGGTCCTCGCGATGCTAAGGCAGGGCCAGGACCCCGCCGAGGGGAGCCGCGACGTCGGGCTCACGTGCGAGGACGACGACAGGGACGGCGCTAGGCCCGAAGAGGACGGGGACGTAATCAATGAGGTAACGTCTTCCGGCATGTTCCGTTAGATGGGGCGCCAGATGTGGCCGACGCCGAGAAGATTCGCTTCGCCGCGACGCGGTCGGGCCCGAGGGAGCGCGCGCCAGCCCGAGGACGTGGGTAGGGACGGCGGCCAGAGGGGCGGCGGGCGACGGCGGCGACGGCGAGCCGTACATACAGGTGCGACGCGGCGAGGATTTCGCCGACTCGGCGGACGCCTCCTTCTTTGCAAAGGCCTTTCCGACCCTGTTCCCTTTGGCTTGGGCGGGCCGAGGCTCGCCGACGAGGACGCCGCGGGAGAGCGCGGGCCCAGCGTCGGGAACCAGGGCGCCCAGGCGGAGCGGGTTGCAGAGGGCCTTATGTCGACGCGGAACATGAAGCTCCAGGCATGGGCCGACGTCGTGCTGCGGCGTCACGGCGGCCGGTTCGCGACGCACCCTATCTTCGCCTTCCTTGTCTTTAACATGGGCGTGCGGTCTAAGAACCGCCAGGCCAGCATGCTAGGCGTAGCGAGGAAGAACTTCGCAAGGGTCGAGGGCCTACTAAAGTCGTTAACGGCGCAGAGGCTCGAGGCGGCCAGGCCGAGCTCGAGGCCACAGGTAAGACTAGCGACGACGGGGTAAAGAGCTCCTCCGGTCCCTCTCCGTGTTCGGCTACCGGCAGCCAATGTCGAGGAGAGCCGCCTTAGTATGCGGAAGAAGATACTATCCTCATCGTTAGGTACGGGTGCCGGCTATCTGGTTCACGCTGAACCCGAACGACATTACGAACCTAGTAAAGTTACGGCTAGCGGCGCACCGCGGCCGCGACCCCGACGAGGCCGAGGCCTTCCTAAGTGACCTAGGGACCGCGTATAAGCGGACGCGGCTGGCCATATCGGACCCGATGAGCTCGGCCGTCTTCTTCCACCGGGAGATGACGCTCTTCTTCGAGCACTACGTCAACGTCGGGGAGGAGTCGGTGTTCGGCCACGTCGGCGCATACTACGGGCGGTAGAGACCAACGAGCGAGGCGCCCTCCACATCCACGGGCTCCTCTGGCTAAGGGGCAACGCGGGCATTGGCGACGCGCTCGCCGGCCCGGACGCGGAGGAGCAGGCGGCGTACCGGGAGCGCATCGTCCGCTACGTAGATAGCGTCTTCTCTGAGGTAAGGCGGCCGCCTTAACACAAACCCCGATGCCCCTATCTGGGGCAGGCTGAGGGGCCTAAGCTGAACCGAGGCCGCAGGAGCTAGACGCAGAAGGTTACTGTGCCATGCAGGCAGAGCGGTCGGCCACGGCGGACATATCGTCGCGGCTCGACGACGTCGCGCGCTTCACGGACACCTTCGACGAGGAGGCCAACTTCTGCGCGGGCGCGACGCAGATCCATACGCATAGCGCGACCTGCGTAAAATACTCGCTCGGCGTGGGGCGCGGAAGGGGACCTCTGCCGGTTTAAGGCGCCGTGGAGGTTGGTGGAGAGGACGGCGCTGACGGCGGACGGGGTGCTCGAGATCCGGCGGACGCATAGCATGGTGAACCGGTGGAACAGGGCGATGGCAGTGGGGCTACGACACAACCACGACATCTCGTTCATCGCGACGCAGCGCAAGACCATGGCCCTAATCTACTATATTACTAACTATGCGACGAAGGTAGAGGACCCGGTGTGGAAGCGTGTGGCCGCCGCGGCCGAGTTCCTTCCTGTGCTAGAGCCGACGGGAGAGGGCAACAGAAGTGGCGCCGACCGCGACGCCGGCCGGGAGGGCGGGGCCGAAGGGGTAGCGACGGCGGCGGACCCCGTAGAGGAATAAGACGAGAACGTTCCTGCTTAAGGCGGCGAATCGAGTCTTTACGGAGCGGCCGCTGTCGCAGGTCGAGGTGATCGCGCACCTCCTAGGGTACCCGGCGGAGTTTAGCAGCGGCTCAGCGTGGGCGTATATAAACGCAAACCAGCTCTACTGGGCCGTCTTCCGCCGGTGGCGGCACCTCCGACGGGCGAGCGGCGCCGAGGCGACGGGCGACGCGCCGGACGAGACGGTCGTCGTCGAGGAGGCTGGCCTGAGGATCCCTCTCGTCGAGGCCTACCGGCACCGGGGCGAGCTCCTGCGGGCCTCTGCCTTTATGACTACGCATCGCTTGTAAGGTTAAAGCAAAACGGCAGCGGCGCCGACGGTATGGCGGGCTGGGGTGAGGTACCCTTCGCGGAGAGCTGGGCGTCGGGGAAGGGCTGGGTGCAGGCGCTTAGGCGGCCGGGTTGCGGGGCGACTGTATGCGTCGACGGATACCTCAGCAAGGAGTTCAGCGAGGAAGACGACGAGTCGTGCCACCGGAGGTGCGTACTATAAGACGGGGGGCGCCTAAGAGGAAGGCAGAGCAGCTAGGGGCATCGGCTAACAGCATCTAGGGCGGCGGTGCAGCACCTGGCCCTATTCGTGCCGTGGGAGTCCTTCCTCGGCGAGGAGGCAGGCGACATTAACAACATCTGGGCACGGGCGCGGAGTCGCTGGCGCCGAGGGTCGCGCGGCTCGCAGACAACGTGCAGCTCCTCCGGCGGTCGGCGGAGGACGCGAAGCGCGACGCCAAGCAGTGGGCCGCCACGGCCGAGGAGGGCGGTATGACGGCGCCGCAGGCCGACGACGAAGGCAGGGGCGGCCGAAGGGGGCGAGGAGGCATACCGCGCCGGCGGGGCGGGCGACGCGGCTCGGCTCATCGACGTCGTCCGGAACGCCGCCAGCGCGGGACAAGTCACGGCGCAGTCAACAGAGCTGCTAGCGATGACGCAGCAGCTCTGCCGGTTCCAGCAGTCGGCGCTCGGGTCGGCGGCCGAGCTCGCGGCGACGGTGGTGGCGGACGAGAGGGCAGGCAGGCGGGTGAACCTACCGGGCTCGGCGCTGTCGGGGGCGGCACTGCCGCGGCAAGAAGAGGTGCGGGCCATCAAGTCGCAGCAGAGGAGCGCGGCGCGGAGCGGGAGCGGGCGATCCAGGGCATCCAGGGCGGCGGGGCGGCGGCGGGCGTCGGGGCCGACCGCGGCGCGGCCCTTCGCGGGGTGATGGGGGGCTTCGGCGAGGACGACATCGACGTAACGGCGGCCGACGGCGACGCAGACGCAGGCACGGCGGCGGGGATGCGCGTGCGGCTCGGCCCGTCGAGCTCGTTCGTCGCCGCCGGCAGGAAGCTGGCGGGCCAGCTCACGCTCAACGAGAAGCAGGCCATCGCCCTCCTAATCGTGTGCCGGCAACTCGACCGAATCCGGCAGGGCGACGACGCAGGCGGCGACGGTGGTGGCCAGCTCTGCCTATTCATCGGCGGCGAGGGCGGCACCGGCAAGTCGCGCGTCATCGAGGCGCTCGTCGAGCTGCTCGCCCGGAGGACCTATCGAGCCGGGTACTGGTTACGCCGACGTCGGGGGCGGCGGCAGCGCGGATCAACGGCATCACGCTGCACTCGGCCTGCGGGCTTACGGGCGGTCAGGGCGGCCGGGCGGGAGGGGGACGAGGACATTGACGGCGTACGGCTGGCGGGCCAGGGCGAGCGCTTCGTCGACGGCCGGTCGCGGATGGACTGGCAGGAGAAGGAGGTGCTGGTGATCGACGAGGTCAGCATGCTCGGGGCGCGGACGCTGCACGCCGCCAACGAGCAGCTCTGCCGGCTGCGGGGGTCGGCGCGGGACTTCGGCGGCATCCCGGTAGTGATCCTCTGCGGCGACTTCCACCAGTTCCGGCCGGTGCAGGAACGGTCGATCCTGCTGCCGAGCGCGGCGGTGGCGTGGGACGAGGACGGGGCGTTCGCGGCCGAGCAGCGGCGGCGGCACGACAAGGCGCACGCGCTGTGGCGGCGCTTCACGACGGTCGTCATGCTAGACGAGCAGATGCGGGCCGCCGGCGACCCGGAGCTGCGGCGGCTGCTCGGGCGGATCCGCCGGGGCGAGCAGGACCGGTCGGACCTAGAGCTGCTCAACTCGAGATGCTACCGGCCGGGCAGGCGGATCCCGTGGGAGACGGGCCTGACGGTGGTGACGCCGCTCAACCGGAACCGCTGGAACCTCAACCTAGAGGCGGCGCTCGCGTTCCGGGAGAGGCGGCGGACGGCGGCGCGCGTCCTCTCCGAGCATAAGTGGAGGGACGGCGTGCCGACGGAAGAGGAGGCGGTGCTAATGCTAGGCCAGGGCGACGACAGCGCGACCCGGTGCCGGCCGTCTTCCTCTTCGTGCCAGGCATGCCGGTCGTCGTGAACCAGAACACGCACCAGGGGCTGAAGCTTGTGAACGGGGCCGGGTACACGGCGGTGGACGTCATCCCCGACCGCGCCTTCCCGGCCACCGCGTCTCGGCGGAGCTCATCATGCACTTCGGCCGCCGGCGGGCATCGTGCTGGCCTCGGAGACGACCAAGGACTTCCACTTCGTCGGGATGCCTGCCGGGACGATCCTGCTAACGCCCATCAGCGTCAAGATCACAGCGCAGCGGAAGCGGCCATGGCAGCGCAACGACGTCAGCCGGAGGGCCTGCCGTGCGCCGCGGCCTTCGCCTGCACCGACTATAAGGTGCAGGGCGGGACGCCAGAGCGCGTGGCGCTGGAGCTGCGGGGGCGAGGATGACGACGGTCGAGGGAGGGCGGTGCCGTCGTCGTGCGACCCGTATAGCCTATACGTGCAGCTGTCGCGGTGCCCGACGCTCGACGGCATCATGCTCGTATCAGAGGTGCGGGAGCGGGACCTAGTGGGGAACCGGGTGCCTGAGGAGATGACGGCAGCGCAGGCCCGGCTAGAGGAGCTTAGCACGCAGACAACACAGGAGGCGGCCGACTGGCTCCGCAGGTAACGCAGGCGCCCTGCATTTTCCACACTTCTGACGTAAAAGGAGTGTAGGTTAAGGGCCAGGAGGACGGGCGAAGGGGGTGGTCTGTGGAGGCGTGTGGTCTATGGCGGAGTTAGAAGCCGGGCCGGCTTGGGCACCTTCCTCTATGTGGTCTGCGGCGGCGTATGGTCTACGGAGGCGTTGGAAGCGAACTGCGCAGCTGGAACTAAAAGGGGCAGCAAGGGGGCAGGGCATTATTTATTTTTATTTATTAACGAATGAAAAGCGAGAACATCGACGAATCAAAAGCGAGAAAAGAACAACCGACGAATCAAAAGCGAGAACGCCAGCGAATCAGAGGGCGGCATTTGCGGGGGGGAAATCGATGGCGAATTTTTTTTCTCCCCGGGGAGGAACCCTAAGAACCTTTCGTCACGGGGAGGAACCCTAAGAACCTTTCGTCACTCGTTCCTCGTTCCTCAAGGCAAGGCATTGTGTCTAAAACTTGCGTCTTTTGTCTTTGCCCTTTTCGTTCATGCCTTTCTAGCGGGTTCTTCCTTCAAGTCTAAAAGTCGCCCCTCGTTGATCGCTGCTGCCCAGTGCCCTTGTCTTCTTGCCCGCCGGCGCGCTCCTCCGTCTTCTCCCCCTCGTCACCTCACCCTGACAACTCTCCTTGACTCTTCAGCGTCGCCATCCGACCGACGCAAAGCTTCCTCGACAGTCCTCTCGCTTAGCACCTCCAGCCTGGCCTGCGCGGCGGTCATCTCTTCGGGGACTCGGTTGCCCACCAAGTCTCTCTCCCGCACCTTGGACACGAGCGTGATGCCGTCTAGCGTTCGACAGCGCGATAGCTGCACATATAAGCTGTACGGGTCGCATTGCGAGGGCACGGCCCTTCCATCGACTTTCGTCGTCCGTGTCCCCCGCAGCTCCAGGGCCACGCGCTCAGCGTTCTGCCCTGCACCTTGTAGTCCGTGCAGGCGAAGGCTGCTGCGCACGGCAATCCCTTCCGGCTGACGTCGTTCTGCTGCCACGGCCGCTTTCGTTGGCAGTGTATCCTGACGCTCATCGGCGTTAACAAGATCGTGCCCGGCGGCATCCCGACGAAGTGGAGGTCCTTTGTCGTCGCCGATTCCAGTAATATCCCGCCGGCGGCCCGAAGTGGATCGTCATGTCGGACGAGATTCGATGCCCTGGGGACGCCTTGTCGACAATGACCTCCACCGCCGAGTAGCCGGCGCCGTTCACCAGCTTCAGCCCCTGATGGGTGTTGTGGTTCACGACGACCGGCATCCCGGCCACGAACATGAAGACGGCCGGCACGGGGATCGCGCTATCGTCGCCTTGATTGAGTACCATGATCGCTTCTTCCTCGGTCGGCAGGCCCTCCTTCCACTTGTGCTCGGAGATGAAGATGCGCATCGTCGACCGCTGCTGGACCCGGAACGCCAAGCTTGCCTCCATGTTTAGGTTCCACCGATTCCTGTTCAGCGGCGTCACCACGGTGATGCCAGTCTCCCAAGGGATCCGCCTGCCCTCGCGGTAGCACCTGAGTTGAGGAGGTCCAGATCCGTGCGGTCCTGCACACCCTGCCGGATCCGCTTCAGCAGCCCCTGCAATTCCGGATCACCGGCGGCGCGCATTTGCTCGTTCAACATGACGACCGTCGTGAATCTCTTCCACAGCGCGTGCGCTTTGTCGTGCTGGTGCCGCTGCTCGGCCTTGAACGAGTTGTCTACGTCCCACGAGATGGCCGCGCTCGGCAGGACGATCGACCTCTCTTGGACCGGCCGGAACTGCTGAAAGTCTCCGCAGAAGAGGACGATGGGGATCCCCCCGAAATCTTTCTGCGATCCGCGAAGCCGACAGAGTCGCTCGTTTATGGCGTGCAGCGTCCGCGCTCCGAGCATGCTCACCTCGTCGATGACAAGCACGTCCTTCTCCTGCCAGTCCATCCGAGACTGGCCGTGGATGAACCGCTCCGCCCGTTTTGCCAGCCGCACCCCGTCAAGGTCCTTGGCTGTGTTCGCGCCGCCCGCCCCTTGGTCTTTAGTGAACCCGCAGGCGGAGTGGATCGTGATGCCGTTGATCTGCGCCGCGGCAGTCCCTGACGTCGCCGTGATCAGCAGACGATTCGAAAGGCTCTTCCCACTGAACAGCTCGACGAGTGCCCCAATGATCCGCGACTTGCCGGTGCCCCCCTCGCCGCCGACGAACTGGCAGAGCTGGCCGGCATCGCCCCTATTCGTTTGTCGCATCAAATCGAGCTGGCGGCATATTATTAGGAAAGCGATCGACTGCCTCTTGTTCAGCGTTAGCCGTGTTGACAACTCCTTGCCCGCCGCGAAGAAGGAGGTCGATGGGCCAAGCTGGACGCGCATTCCCGCTTCTGCGTCGCTAGCCGTCTCGTCGGAGTCGGCTGTCGTCATTTCGACGTCGTCCTCCCGAAGCCGGTCATCACCTCCGCAACGCAGCTCGGCGATCGCTTTCCCGGACTGCGACTGTGGTTTGTACGCCTTGGATCATTCTCTCCTTTCCTCGACGCACTTATCTGCTGCGACTTGATAGCCTTGACCTGATCCTGCGGCGGTAGTGCGGCCCCGGAAAATACCCGCCCTGGCATGCTTATGCACCTCAACCCTTGTTCGGGAATCGCGATGGCCTCGAGCTCGGCCGTTGAGCAGAGCGCCGATTGCTGGAATCGACAGAGCTGCCGCATCATTGCCATGAGCTCCGGCGACTTGGCCGTCACCTGATTCGTGCCCACTGCGCCTCGGACGACGTCGATCAGGCGCGTTGCGTCTCCGATGTTGTTGGACCGATACGTCGCTGCAAATTCTGCGCCCGCCTCGCCTGTCTCGCCCTCCTCGACGTGGGCGACCGTGGAATCGCCATCGCCGGATGAGGCCGCCCATTGCTTGGCGTCGCGCTTTGCGTCTTCGGCTGATCGTCGAAGCAGCTGCACGTTGTCGACGAGACATGATATTCTCGGGGCCAGCGCCTCGCGCCCGCTCCCAGATGCTATTGATCTCACCTGTTTCTTCGCACAGAAAGGACTCCCACGGCACAAATAGCGCAAGATGCTGCACGGCTGCCCTTTAAGGGGAGGGGAGGTTAGCCACTCTGATGATGCCTGCCGGCAGGGCGGTTGCTATACACACCTCCGGTGGCACGACTCCTCGTCGTCGTTGTGGCCGAAGTCCTTGCTCAGGTAGCCATCGAGGCAGACGGTAGCATGCTTGCCCGGCCGCCTGAGCACCTGGACCCAGCGTCTCCTGGCGCCCATCCATCCTCGAAGGGCACCTCCCCAGGCCGCACAGCTCTCATCCTTACTGGTGCGTCTTAGTCTAACGAGCGATATGTAGTCGTATAAGCATAGCCCTCGCAGGAGCTCTCCCGGTGCTGGTACGCCTCAACGTGGGAGATCCTCAGGCCTGCTTCTTCGACAACGACCGACTCATCCAGAGTATCATCTATGGCCGCCGCGCCACTTGCTCGTCGGAGATACGGCCACCGTCGAAAGACTTCCCAGTACAGCAGAGATGTGTTCAGGTACGCCCAGGCGCTGCTGTTGGTGAACTCGGCCGGATATCCAAGAAGATGAGCGACGACCTCGACCTGAGATAGCGGACGCTCCGTGAACACACGATTCGCCACCCTCATCAAGAACTGTCGCGTCCTGTTCCCTTGGCGGCGTCATCGCCAACAGCACCTCCACCGTCGTCCTGTCCTCCGTTGGCCGTGCCGTCACCCGTTGAGGCGGCCAGGAGATCGGCCGCGGCCGCCACACGCTTCCACACCGGGTCCTCCACCTTCGTCGCGTAGTTCGTGACATAATACATAAGGGCCATGGTCTTGCGCTGCGTCGCAATGAAGGAAATGTCGTGGTTGTGCCGGAGCCCAACAGCGATAGCCTTGTTCCATCGATTGACCATGCTGTGAGTCCTCCGGATCTGCAACACCCCGTCTGCCGTGATGGCGGTCTTGTCGACCAACCTCCATGGAGACTTAAACCGGCATGGATTCCCTTTCCGCGCTCCTTTGCCCAAGGAATACTTGACACAGGTCGGGCTATGCGTGTGAACCTGTGTAGCGCCGGCACAGAAGTTGGCCTCCTCGTCAAATGCGGCCGAAAACTGCTCGGTGTTGTCCAGCAGGAGGAAATATCGGACGTCACAGATCGCTCCGCTTGCACGGCGCAGAACCCTTCCTGATCCAGATCCTATCTTGCACGTCAGCCTGGCCCCGTTTGTCCATCGGACGAGCAATTCAGGTTCTCAGTGACACGTCTTAGCTATTCTTACCTCGGAGAAGACACTATCGACGTATCGTATGATTCGCTCGCGATACGCCGCCTGATCCTCCCCGTGGATGTCGGCAAGCATCGAGCTGAGATGCGCGTTTCCGTGCAACCAGAGCAAGCCGTGAACATGAAGCGCCCTCGTTCGTTGGTCTCCACAGCGCCATAGTACTTGCCGATGCGCCCGAATACCGACTCTTCTCCGACCTTCACGTAATGATCGAAGAACAGCTTCATCTCCCGGTGGAAGAATACGGCGGCGCTCATCGGATCGGACATGGCCAGCCTTGTCCGCTTGTACGCACTCCCAAGGCCTTCTAGGAACTCCTCGGCCGCGCCGGGATCGCGTGTCCGATATGCCGCCAGTCGCAGCTTCACCGGGTTCGTAATGTCGTTTGGGTTGATGGTGAACCAGATGGCCGGAACGCCGTAGCCAACGATGAGCGACTGGATTTTCCGCCGCATATTGAGCCGAACCTCTCTCGACATGGGTTGCCGGTGGCCGTACAGCGAGAGGCTCCTGAGAAGCTCCTTCACGCCCTCATCGGTCGTCTTGCCCGAGCTCTCCAACTCGACCTCGCCGCCGCTAACCTTTGCGCGGTCATCGAGCGGGCAACGCGCTCGACCTTGCCGAAGTCCTTCCTCGCCACACTCAGCATGCTGACGCGGCGGTTCCTCGACCGCACCCCCATGTTGAAGACGAGAAATGCAAATATGTGGTGCAACGCAAACCGGCCACCATGGCGCCGGAGCACGATGTCGGCCCAAATCCGGAGGTTCAAGCTTCGGGAGGATACGATGTCTCCGCTGCCGCCCCTGCCTCAGCAGCTCTACCGGTGCCTCGCAAGTTGGTAGGGCCTTCCCGCCTCGGCTATGGCCTCTTCGGCCAGCCTTGGTCCCCAACGCCAAATGGGAACAGGGTCGGGAACGTTCTGGCGAAGAAGGACGTCTCAAAGGAGTCGGCAAACTCATCCCCCCGCGAGACTCGAATGTATGGCTCACTGCCATCGTCGCCACGCCCTCGACCCCACCGAGGATCCGACCCACGTTCTCGGGCCCGCGCGGCCGTCGTCGGCACCTGCGCCAACAGCGTCACAGGCAAACCGCAGCTTCTCGACATCCGCCACGTCTGGCGGTCCGTCCAGCCCAAACATGCCGGAAGACGTCACCTCGTTGATTGGTCGAACGTTCTGATCGGGGCTAGCACCAACTCCATCACGACCCGCGCCTTCTTCGTTGGGCCCGTGCCCTTCAGCCTCGCCTCCCGTTTCCTGCCTTTGGTTGAGCAGAGCGAAGAGTTCCTCGATCTCCACCGACCCCTCGTCGTCCATGGCGCGCTCCGTGGGCGGCACAACGTGCGCCGTCCGCGTTTTCTCCCATGCGGACGGCTCGTTCCGCTCCATGCGATCATACACCAAGGCCGGCACCCCGTCTATCGGGTCTCCCAACTCTCCATCTCCGCCACGTCGATCTCGATCTCGGCGTAGTGGGGGTTGCTCCTCTTCAGCCAAACAAGAGCCCTCTCGACGACCCGCCGCCTCACCGACAAGAGACTCGACAGGTCGCTCGGTGCCGGCTTCTCCACGCCCTGCCACGAAACGTGGATCTCGTCCAGTGCTTGCAAAGGGGTGCGGGAGCACCTGGTCGCCAGCTCCTGCACGTTGTTGGGAAACACTGTGATGTGGCCCTTGACGTGCCTCGGATACCTCACGGCCTGCCTCTGCCCGCCCGGAATGCTATATCTCGTGACAAACCCATAGCAGGAGTTGAGCGAGACGAGCTTCTCTTCGACCAGCGTGAGTCCCTTGAGCTCGTCAGGGAACATGTGCTCACAGCCAAGGCGAGTGTGAAGATGGACCGCCGGCGACAGACTCCCGCGCGCCAGGCATCGGGCACACCGCACACACCGACACGGGCTCGCCTTCGGAAAGCAGCTCCGGCATGAAAATGGTGAGCGGCCGCCCTCTGGCACGCAGCTTGACAGCCATTGATCCCATCTGATCTCCTCAGCTCTTTTCTCGTACGCTTGCGGTAGCACATCATGCAGGTCCGTATCGGCAACGTGCTCGCATCGTGGAACGCCTGATAAAAATCCCGCACCGTCGACACCTTCCTGTCGTGCGGTATTGGCGTACACCACGTCTGATCGTTAGACAGCCTCTCCTTCATGGCGAAGTCTTCCTCCAAAAAACGCAGCACACTCGCCAGGTCTTCGGCCCGCAGCTCCCGACTCCTCTGCCTTCCGATTCCACTCCGAATCTGTTTTCTCGGGCGCTCGTCCGGACCAGGAAGACGTTTTCTCTTCTCCCGCCTCCGGGGCCGGGCCGCCTCCGATCCATGATTTCTTCTCTCCGTGGCTGATTCGCTTCTTCGCAAGCCGTCGGATGCGGCAGCTTTGGCGACGACTGCCCGACTACGTGCGCATCCCCTGACACGCCATCCGGCCCTTTGCACTGGACAGGCACCGGGCCGTGCTGGCGAACGTTTTCCACGCCGAACCTTGACCTCAGTCCTTGCCCTTTCCAGCACTCTCCTCGTTCTTGCTGCCGATCAAACTGCACGGGCCCCAGCCGCCACCCGCGATGAGCCGCCCACCTCCCTTTGCTGCAGCCTCCGCCCGCTCAGCGAAGCGTCCGCTGGCTCTGCCGCGGCGTCGCCCACCCCACAGGAGACGGCCCCGGATGCTGCGCCGTACCTGCTGCGTTGGAGACACCCTGCGGCCTGGTACTCCTTTACCCGCCAACTCCGTCCCCGACGGCGCTTGGGCAAACCAGACGCAATCGCTGCTGCTAATTGCCCGTTTTCTCTTAAGTTGTCGAATACCGGTTCCCTAGGCTGGATGGATCGAAGCTTCGGTACCTCCTTCGAATGAACACTCGGGACATCGCCCGCCGCCGCCGTAACACGTTGCTCCTCATCTTCAGGATCTCCTCCTGAGGCAGAAAGTGCCGATGAGGAGCGGACGATCAGAGTCCGCTACCCCATATCTCCACGTTCCCTAGGCAACAGGGGCCTCGGAAGCTGACCCGGTGACTGATGTTGCGCGGAACTTCCGCTGCTAACCATATTATGGAACTTCCGTGCTCTGTTTGACCGCAAACCGCCTCGCGGCGGTCTTCTCGGCAACGACCTCGCAATTGCTTCTGCGTGCTGTCTCCATGCGGTGTCTTCAACCACAGGTTTCTAGGCTGAATCGGCCGGAACGTTGATGCCGCATTCGCCCGTGATTCGTATCTTCGTAACCGTCCCAGGCTCTCCCCCCGTGCTCTGCGGCCCCTCTCAGAAGCTGCCACCACATCTACACCGGCTCCTGTCGCACCATCTCCGAGCCCCGAACCCGACCCGCTCACGTTCTCACCTCTTCTCCATCCCCGACTGACAACGAACAGGCTTCAGGGTGAGCAACCGCCTCGCTTAACTTCACTGCAGGACTGTCCGCCATGCTGCTGCCTCCTCGACGTCGACTGCCGTAAATTGGCAACAGGCTATAAAGCTTTGGCTCCGGAGCACCTCCACTTGGACAGTCTCGCTTGTTGACGACGCTACTTCTCCCGAATGGGAAGCTCCCTAGCCATCACTTCCCTCATGGCCGTGGCGTTTCTTCCTTATAGCTTCCTATAAAATGCTTCCCTATGGTACCGAGGCGATGCAATACTACCCTCTATATTCCCCGTTACCATGCCTATCTATGTGCGTCCACCGTCCCGGCCTCGCCTGGTCTCCACGTGCGACCTGCTACCCCGGCTTTGCCAAAGCGACCCTTCCATCGCCGTGCTCTCTTTGCGCACTCCAGCGAATCCCTGGCCACTGCCGACCTCCGGCACATGGAGATGGCCGCGACAACCGCCTGCCGCACACTTCAAACCATACTCTTCAGCCCTTCCAACACCATCCTACCAACCTTGCGCATCAGTTCACCATCAATACCCGCCAATCCGCCTCGTCGAGCAACAGCCACAAGGCTGCCGGCGATAACATGTCCATGACGTCCCTCATGCAGCCGGACTACCCTTCTAGATTTGCTCCCTCGCCAGCACCAATGTCGCATCAACGGCCTTAATGCTAAAGCGATAGCCAGGACCCCTGCCTGTCCTCTTGTAGTCGCTAGCCACCGGAGTCTCGACTTGCAAACCCTCTTGGAAAGTTCTCGTGACCAACTCGCATCCTCCTCCTCAGGTCGACCCATATATCCGACTTCACCGTGTCCCAATAGTAGACTCGACACGGTCGGCACCCGCCTCGCTCAGCCGCACGCAATGCCCATCCAACTACCGACGACCGTCAAAAAGGGAGTCCTGCAATACTACCATAACCTCTTTCTTTCCTTCACTCTCATTCGTTATTGCCCCCTTTGCTATCTACTCCATGCAACGATGACACCGAAGGGGACTACTGGACTTTCTTTCTCCGCAGTCTTACCCACACTAACCTTACCGTTCGCCGACCTCCAACTTCTCGCAACATAGCCATCACCCCTACTCAACTTCCAACCCCCGGCTCCCTACTTCACTCACGACCACAGAACCAGATGGTCGAGACTGCTCGAGAACCTCGCCAGCTCATTCCCGCATACCCCCGCTTCTGATCTATCACCTAGGTAGCATTCACTGACTCTCAAGTCTCCCCGACCCGAGCCACGAGCCCTCTTTCGAGCAGCAAGAAAACCTGCTTTATAGGATGCCTACCTCTACTCTGCCTAACCCTCCTTTACACTTCCACGGTGACCACATCTGCCATGTTCTCACGATGTCGGCCTCCCAGCTCAACGTCGATACCTCGTCCTCCCGCGGCAACCTCTTGACAGCCAGAAAATGCTGGCGCCGACATGTCCATGATGGCCTTTGTCCAGCCCGGCTGCCCGTCTAGGTTCGCCTACCAGAATGAGCATCGTGTCAAAGGGCTCAACGCAGAAACCCTAGCGAGGGTCTTCCTTCCAACGCCCTCATGGCTGTCGACTCCAGAGTATGCAGCAATCCGGTCAGATCCTGACAATCCATCGACCTGCATCTTCTTGAGCCTTAATATTTCCATATACAACCAACAGATAATCCCCTCGGAATGGACCGAGCAGTGGTTCTTTATGGTCGGCCGTGTTCATCCCTTTGCCCTGACGTGGAAATCGAGCGACGTGATAGCTTCGAGTCGGAGGATGACAACATTACAGAATACACCATCCCGGCTCTCATCGTCCGCGACCACAGCTACCAGCCGTAGGTGTATGCTCCAGACCTCCGTCACCACTACCATCTCTGACGATGGCCACAGAGTCATCCTCGCACCCTCGGCTCGGCGGATGCCTTCCCAGCGATACAACCCATTGTCTCCTTCACGGGACCTGTCATCGGTTCCGGCCGCGACCTTCTGCATGGAAACTCGGCTGCGGCCCTTGACGACACCCAGCTGAGCTGTTGCGGCTTTGTCCAGCTCTCGACCTTTATCTGTCCTGGGATTCCGGGCAAACACCCTTCAAGGGCTTTCATCCCTTTCAACTTTTCGTCATCTTCCCATTCACGCCAATCCTTGGACCTCCTATGCAAGAAGATGACCGAGAGGCGCGATAGCCAGTTCCAGCCGAACGCTCTCCTCACCTGCACGGGCAAAATCGCCGGCTTACTCGATCACCAGATCATGACACATGCCCCGGCCTTCGAGCAAGACTATATCTTCATCGTCGTCCCCGATACATGGACTTTCCTTGACAGGGCCATGTCCAACCAGGCTTCTGCGACACAGCTACTGCCGACGACACCCAGGGCTCAGTCGGCAACCCTCGGACTATAGCGATGCGTTGGCCAGGTTTACCTCTACCAAAAACGCAATGCCGCCCCAAGCGGCGCCTCCCACGCCGCCTGCATCTAGGTCAGTCGATCTCTTATGATGACATCAAAGCGGTCATTGCCCGATCCCGACCAAACCCCAACCAAGAGACCGCGACTTTCTCCAGAAATTTCCACCATAGTCGCCGCCTGTGATAGTCGAGGCCCCGCCAAATCCGACACTTCCTCCCTTCTGTCCCACGAAGACCCGGAGACTCAGAGACGGACACCGAGCCAGTCAATCACCCAGCCACATCCGCCTCTGGCCCTATCAGACCTCCGGCGTCAATCTCTTCCCGACCGCACCGCGCCCGACATCCGCCCAAGAATATTCTGTAAAGCAACGAACGAAACAACACAACATGACAAGGAACATGTTTCATCATCCTCAAACTCAAGTGCGAAAGGCCCTAATGGGATATTTCCTTCTCCTCTTGCTCTCCTTTTCACAAAGACAATCCAGTCAAAACTTCTCCAATATACTCCTTATTCTGTTTATATCCACCACTTATAGCACCTGTAAATCCTCAGAGCCTTCCACTCGCCCACACATGCATTACCCACCCACAACTCTCTTCACCCCTGCCGCCTCTCCACGCCCTTTGCGCCTTTGCAAAGCAAAATCTCCTTGCAGCGGCCTAGGCTGCCTCTCTGACGCTCTGTCTCGATTTCACTCACGATAATGCTCTACGTCTCTCGCCGGATCTCCATCTCATATCTCATATCTCACTCTTCTTCCTGTCTTCCTCTCACTTCCCCTGTCTCCTATCTCCTGTCGCCAACTCTCTCCTCTCCCCGACTTTCTCCTGTCGCCATCGCCAACTTTCGTTCCGAAAGGCCTCTTTGCGCGAGCCGCGGCTGGCGAGCCTTCCCCTCGTCTAACGTGCCCCGCAGACCCCGCCCTCTCCCCCCAAAAGTTCTCCGCCCCTTGATTGGTCCCTTGTGATTGGTCCCTCCTTGCCTCCCTCCTCGTTGGTCGCTGCCCTTCCCCCGGCTTCTGTTGCCTTTTCGCGTGCCTTATCCCACCACTAGGCGCCTCCCACCCTGTCTGCCGCCTGCCGACTCTTCCCGCCTGCCGAACTCTTCATCGCGTCACCTAGCGCGGCCGCCTTGACTCTTCAGCATCACCGTCCAGCCAGCGCAACGCCTCCTCAACGGTCCTCTCGCTCAGTACCTCGAGCCTGGCCTGTGCGGCAGTCATCTCCTCGGGGACCCGGTTGCCCACCAAGTCTCTGTCCCGCACCTTGGACACGAGCATGATGCCGTCTAGAGTTCGGCAGCGCGATAGCTGCACGTACAGGCCGTACGGGTCGCACTGCGAGGGCACCACCGTTCCATCCATCTTCGTCGTCCGTGTCCTCGCAGCTCGAGGGCCACGCGCTCCAGCGTTTTGCCCTGCACCTTGTAGTCCGTGCACGCGAACGCTGCTGCGCACGGCAAACCCTTTCGGCTGACGTCGTTGCGTTGCCACGGCCTTTTTCGCTGGCACTGTATCTTAACGGTCATGGGTGTCAACAAGATCGTGCCCGGCGGCATCCCGACGAAGTGGAGATATCTCGTCGTCTCCGATTCGAGAATGATCCCCGCCGGCGGCCCGAAGTGGATCGTCATATCGGCCGAGATCCGATGCCCCGGGTACGCCTTGTCGACAATGACCTCCACCGCCGAGTAGCTCGCGCCGTTCACTAGCTTCAGCCCCTGGTGGGTGTTGTGGTTCACGACGATGGGCATCCCGGCCACGAACATGAAGACGGCCGGCACCGGGATCGCGCTATCGTCGCCCTGGTTGAGTATCATGATCGCCTCTTCCTCCGTCGGCAGCTCCTCCTTCCACTTGTGCTCGGAGATGAAAATGCGCATCGTCGACCGCTGCTGGACCCGGAACGCCAGGCTCGCCTCCATGTTCAGGTTCCACCGATTCCTATTGAGCGGCGTCACCACGGTGATGCCCGTCTCCCAAGGGATCCGCCTTCCTCCCGGTAGCACCTTGAGTTGAGGAGGTTTAGATCCGTCCGATCCTGCACGCCTAGACGGATCCGCTTCAGCAGCCTCTGCAGCTCCGGGTCGCCGGCGGCGCGCATCTGCTCGTCCAGCATGACGACCGTCGTGAACCTCTTCCACAGTGCGTGCGCTTTGTCGTGCTGGTGACGCTGCTCGGCCTTGAACGAGTTGTCTACGTCCCACGAGATGGCCGCGCTAGGCAGGACGATCGACCTCTCTTGGACCGGCCGGAACTGCTGAAAATCTCCGCAGAAGAGGACGATGGGGATCCCCCCGAAATCTTGCCGCGATCCGCGAAGCCGGCGAAGCCGCTCGTTCACGGCGTGCAGCGTCCGCGCCCCGAGCATGCTCACCTCGTCGATGACGAGCACATCCTTCTCCTGCCAATCCATTCGAGACTGGCCGTGGATGAACCGCTCCGCCTGTTTCGGCAGCCGCACCCGTCAAGGTCTTTGACCATGTTCGCGCCCCGCCCCTTGGTCTTTAGTGAACCCGCAGGCGGAGTGGATCGTGATGCCGTTGATCCGCGCCGCCGCAGTCCCCGACGTCGCCGTGATCAGCAGACGATTCGAAAGGCTCTTTTACTGAACAGCTCGACGAGTGCCTCGATGATTCGCGACTTGCCGGTACCGCCCTCGCCACCGACGAACTGGCGCAGCTGGCAGGCATCGCCCCGTCGGTCTGCTGAATCAAATCGAGCTGGCGGCATATTATCAGAAAAGCGATGGACTGCCTCTTGTTCAGCGTCAGCCGTGTTGCCAACACCTTGCCCGCCGCGAGGAAGGAGGTTGATGGGCCAAACTGAACGTCCATTCCCGCCCCTGCGTCGATAGCGGTCTCGTCGGAGTCGGCCATCGTCATTTCGACCTCGTCCTCCCGAAACCGGTCATCACCCTTCGCAACGCTGCGCGGCGATCGCTTTCCCAGGCGGCGGGCGTGCTTTGTATCCTTGGATCATCCTCTCCTCTCCTTCGAGGCACTTACCTGCTGCGACTTGATAGCCTTGACCTGATCCTGCGGCGGTAGTGCGGCCCCGGAAAATACCCGCCCTGGAATGCTTAACCGCCTCTCCTCGTTCGATCAGCGCCGTGGCCTCGAGCTCGGCCGTCGAGCGCAGCGCCGATTGCTGAAACCGACAGAGCTGCTGTATCATTGCCATGAGCTCCGGCGACTTGGCCGTCACCTGATTCGCTCCCACTGCACCTCGGACGACGTCGATGAGCCGCGTTGCGTCTCCGATGCTGTTGGGCTGATATGTCGCTGCAGACTCCGCGCCCGCCTCGCCTGCTCCACCCTCCTCGACGTGTGCGACCGTCGGGTCGCCATCGCCGGACGAGGCTGCCCATTGCTTGGCGTCGCGTTTTGCGTCTTCGGCGGATCGTCGAAGCAGCTGCACGTTGTCGACCAGACATGATATTCTCGGGGCCATAGCGTCTCGAGCCCGCGCCCAGATGCTGTTGATCTCACCTGTTCCTTCGCCCAGGAAGGACTCCACGGCACGAACAGCGCAAGATGCTGCACGGCTGCCCTTCAGGGGTGGGTTAGCCTCTCCGATAATGCCCGCTGACAGAGCAGTTGCCATACACACCTCCGGTAGCACGACTCGTCATCGTAGGTGAAGTCCTTGCTCAGGTAGCCGTCGAGGCAGACGGTAGCGTGCTTGCCCGGCCGCCTGAGCACCTGAACCCAGCGTCGTCCCGGCGCCCATCCATCCTCGAAAGACATCTCCCAAGCCGCCCAGCTCTCGTCGTTGCCGATGCGTTTCAGTCTGACGATCGATATGTAGTCATACAGGCATAGGCCTTTCAGCAGCTCTCCCGGTGCTGGTACGCCTCGACGTGGGAGATTCTCAGGCCTTCTTCTTCGACGACGACCGACTCATCCAAGGTGTCATCCATAGCCGCAGCGCCACTGGCTTCTCGGAGATGCCGCCATCGCCGAAAGACTTCCCAGTACAGCAGAGAACAGTTCAGGTACGCCCACGCGCTGCTGTCGGTGAACTCGGCCGGATATCCGAGAAGGTGAGCGACGACCTCGACCTGTGATAGCGGACGCTCCGTGAACACGCGGTTCGCCACTCTCATCAGGAACTGTCGCGTCCTGTTCCCTTGACAGGGTCATCGGTGGCAGCGTCTCCGCCACCGTCCCGCCCTCCGTTGGCCGTGCCATCACCTGTTGAGGCGGCCAGGAGCTCGGCCGCGGCCGCCACACGCTTCCACACCGGGTCCTCCACCTTGGTCGCGTAGTTCGTGACATAATAGATGAGGGCCATTGTCTTGCGCTGCGTCGCAATGAAGGAAATATCATGGTTGTGCCGGAGCCCGACAGCAATAGCCTCGTTCCATCGATTGACCATGCTGTGTGTCCTCCGGATCTGCAGCACCCCGTCTGCCGTGAGGGCGGTCTTGTCGACTAACCTCCATGGCGCCTTGAACCGGCAGAGGTCCCCTTTCCGCCCTCCTTTGCCCAAGGAGTACTTCACACAGGTCGGGCTATGCGTGTGCACCTACGTCGCGCCGGCACAGAAGTTGGCCTCCTCGATAAACGCGGCCGAGAACTGCGCGGCGTTGTCCAGCAGGGAACCAATACCGCCCGTCACAGATCGCTCCGCTTGCACGGCGCAAAAACTTTCCTGGTCCAGATCCTGCCTTGCACGTCAACCCGGCCCCACTTGGCCATCAGAAGAGTACTTCAGGCTCCCGGTGGCACATCTTAGGTAGGCATTCTTACCTCTGAGAAGACGCTATCGATGTATCGGACGATTCGCTCGCGATACGCCGCCTGATCCTCCCCGTGGATGTCGGCAAGCATCGAGCTGAGATGCGCGTTCCCGTGCAGCCAGAGCAAGCCGTGAACATGAAGCGCCCGCGTTCGTTCGTCTCCACGGCGCCATAGTACTTGCCGATGCGCCCGAATACCGACTCTTCACCGACCTTCACGTAATGATCGAAGAACAGCTTCATCTCGCGGTGGAAGAACACGGCCGAGCTCATGGGATCCGATATCGCCAGCCGTGCCCGCTTATACGCATCCCCAAGGCCTTCTAAGAACTCCTCGGCCGCGTCGGGATCGCGTGTGCGGTATGCCGCCAGTCGCAGCTTCACCGGGTTCGTAATGTCGTTCGGGTTGATGGTGAACCAGATGGCCGGCACGCCATATCCGACGATGAGCGACTGGATTTTCCGCCGCATATTGAGACGGACCTCTCTCATGGGCTGCCGGTGGCCGTAAAGCGAGAGGCTCCTGAGAAGCTCCTTCACGTCACCATCGGTCGTCTTACCCGAGCTCTCCAACTCGACCCTCGCCGCCGCTAGCCTTTCTGTGGTCATCGAACGCACGATGCGCTCTACCTTGCGGAAGTTCTTCCTCCCCACACTCAACATGCTGACCCGGCGGTTCCTCGACCGCACCCCCATGTTGAAGACGAGAAATGCGAAGATGTGGTGCAGTGCAAATCGACCACCATGGCGCCGGAGCACGATCTCGGCCCACGCCTGAAGGTTCAAGCTTCGAGACGATACGGGTCTCCGCGGCCGCCTCTGCCTCGACAGCCCTGCCTCGCAAGTTGGCCGTGACCTTCCCCGCGTCGACCATGGTCTCTTCAACCAGCCTTGGTCCCCCAACGCCAAATGGGAACAGGGTCGGGAACGTCCTGGCAAAGAAGGACGCCTCAAAGGAATCGGTAAACTCACCCCGCGAAACCCGGATGTATGGCTCACAACCACCGTCGCCACGCCCCGAACCCCGGCTAGGGACCCGACCCACGCTCTGGCCCGCACGGCCGTCGTCGGCACCTTCACCAACAGCGTCACAGGCAAACTGCAGCTTCTCCACGTCCGCGACGTCTGGCGGTCCGTCGAGCGCGAACATGCCAGAAGACGTCACCTCGTTGATCGCTGGAACGTTCTGGTCGGGGCAGGCGTCACTTCCATCGCGAACCGCGCCTTCTCCGTTGGGCCCGTGACCTTCACCCTGGCCGCCGGCTTCTTGTCCTTGGTTGAGCAGGGCGAAGAGCTCCTCGATCTCCACCGGCCCTCCTCGTCCACGGCGCGTTCCGTGGGCGGCACAACGTGCGCCGTCCGCGCTTTCTCCCACCCAGACGGCTCGTTCCGCTCCATACGATCGCACACCGACGACGGTACCCCGTGTATCGAGTCTCCCCAGCTCTCCATCTCCGCCGCGTCGATCTCGATCTCGGCGTAGTGGGGGTTGTTCCGCTTCAGCCAGACAAGGGCCCTCTCGACCACCCGCCGCCTCACCGACAAGAGACTCGACAGGTCGCTCGGTGCCGGCTTCTCCGCGCCCTGCCACGAGATGTGGATCTCGTCCAGTGCTTGCAAAGGGGTGCGGGAGCACTTGGTGGCCAGCTCCTGCACATTGTTCGGAAACACTGTGATGTGGCCCTGACATGCCTCGGATACTTCACGCTCTGCCTCTGCCCGCCCGGAATGCTATATCTCGTGACAAACCCGTAACATGAGTTCAGCGAGATGAGCTTCTCTTCGACCGGCGTCAGTCCCTTGAGCTCATCGGGGAACATGTGCTCGCAGCCAAGGCGACTGTGAAGGTGGATCGCCGGCGACAGGCTCCTGCGCGCCAGGCATCGGCCACACTCGGCGCACACCGACACGGACTCGCCCTCGGGAAAGCAACCCCGGCATGAAAATGGTGAGTGGCCGCCCTTTGGTACGCAGCTTGACAGCCACTGATCCCACATAATCTCCTTAACTCTCCGCCCGTACACTTGCCGTAGCACAGCATGCAGGTCCGTATCGGCAACGTGCTCGCATCATGAAACGCCTGATAGAAATCTCGCACCGTCGACACCTTCCTCTCGAGCGGTATTGGCGTGCACCACGTCTGATCGTTAGACAATCTCTCCTTCAAGGCAAAGTCTTCCTCCAAAAAGCGCAGCACACTCGCCAGGTCTTCGGCCTGCAGCTCCCGTCTCCTATGCCTTCCGATTCCACTTCGGACCTGTTTTATCGCGCGCCCATCCCGGCTAGGAAGACGGGCTCTCTTCTCCCGCCTCCGGGACTGCCTCTGTCCGCGCAGCGAGCCGTCCGCTGCCTCTGCTGCGCCATCGTCCACACCCACCTGTGCCCTTGGCCGCCGAACCGGTCCCCGACGGAGCTTGGGCAAACCCCATGCAATCGATGCTGCAAATTGCGCCGTTCGTCTTAGGTCTTGGAAAGTCGTATCCTTGGGCTGGATAGGTCGGAGCGTCGGTCCCTTTTCGAACGAACACCCGGGACACCGCCGGTCGCCGCCTTATCTCCCTGCCCGTCACCTTCAGGACCCTCTCCTGGGGCAAAACGGCCGATGAAGGGGTGGACTGTTAGAGCCCACTGCCCCCTGGTCTCCACGTTCTGTAGGCAACACGAACCTCGGAAGCGGACTCGGTGACTGACGTTGCGCGGAATTTCCGCTGCTGACCAAATTACGGGACTTCCGTGCTCTGCTTGACCGCAAACCGCCTCGCGGCGGTCTTCTCGGCAGTGACTTTGCGATCGCCTCTGCATGCTTTCTCCATGCGGTTTCTTCGACCGCAGACTGCTTAGGCTGAATCAGCCGGAACGTTAATGCTTCATTCGCCACTGATCTGTATCTCCCGAACCGCCCCAACCTTGTCTCCCGTGCTCCGTGCCCTTCTCGGAGTTGCCCTGTATCATCTCCGCACCCCGAAACAGGCACTCCCCGTTCCTACCCTCTTCTCCATCCTCGACTGACAACGAACAGGCTCCACGGTGAGCGGCCGCCTCGCCTAGCTTCCTGCAGGACTGTCCGCCATGCTACTGCCTCCTCGACGTCGACTAGCGTGGATTGGCAACAAGCTAGAAAGTTTTGGCTCCGGAGCACTTCCACTTGGATAATCTCGCTTCTTGGCGTACACTATTTCTTTCCGAGTGGGAAGCTTCCTAACGATCACTACTCTCATGGCCGTGGCGTTTCTTCCCTTATAATGCTTGCCTATGGTACCGAAGCGATGCAATACTACTACCCTTTGTAATCCCCATTTACCCTCCCTATGTGCGTCCACCGTCCCGGCCCTCGGCTGGTCTCCACGTGCGACCTGCTACCCCAGCTTTGCCAAAGGCGGCCCTTCCATCGCCGTGCTCTCTTTGCGCACTCCAGCGAATCCCTGGCTACTGCCGACCTCCGGCACATGGGGTGGCCGCGCCAACCGCCCGCCGCACACTTCCAACCATACTCTCCGGCCCTTCCAACGCCGTCCCACCCACCTTGCGCATCAGTTGCTCCATCAATATCTGCCACTCCACCTCGTCGAGCAACAGCCAAAAGGCTGCCGGCGATAACATGTCCACGGTGTCCTCGTGCAACCGGACTACCCGGCTAGGTTTGCTCCTCGCCACCACCAACGTCGCATCAACGGCCTTCATGCTAAAGCGACAGCCAGGATCCCCCTGCCTGTCCTCTTGTAGTCGCTAGCCACCGGAGTTTCGACTTGCAAACCCTCCTGGAGAGTTCTCGTGACCAACTCGCATCCTCCTCCTCAGGTCGTCCCCTATATCCGACTTCACCGTGTCCCAATAGTGGACTCGACACGGTCGGCACCCGCCTCGCTCAGCCGCACGCAATGCCCATCCAACTACCGACGACCGTCAAAAAGGGACCCCTGCAATACTACCATAACCTCTTTCTTTCCTTCACTCTCATTCGTTATTGTCGCCTTTGCTATCTACTCCATGCAACGATGACACCGAAGGGTACTGCTGGACTTTCTTTCTCCGCAGACTTACCCACACTAACCTTACTGTTCGCCGACCTCCAACTTCTCGCGACATAGTCATCACCCCTACTCAACTTCCAACCCCCGGCTCCCTACTTCACTCACGACCATAGAACCAGATGGTCGAGACTGTTCAAGAACCTCGCCAGCTCATTCCCGCATACCCCCGCTTCTGATCTATCACCTAGGTAGCATTCTCTGACTCTTAAGTCTCCCCGACCCTAGCCGCGAGCCCTCTTTCGAGCAGCAAGAAAACCTGCTTTATAGGATGCCCACCTCCACTCTGCGTAACCCTCATTTACACTTCCACGGTGACTACATCTGCCATGTTCTCACGATGTCGGCCTCCCAGCTCAACGTCGATACCTCGTCCTCCCCGCGGCAACCTCTTGACAGCCAGAAAAATGCTGGCGCCGACATGTCCATGATGGCCTTTGTCCAGCCCGGCTGCCCGGCTAGGTTCGCCTACCAGAATGAGCATCGTGTCAAAGGGCTCAACGCAGAAACCCTAGCGAGGTCTTCCTTCCCACGCCCTCATGGCTGTCGACTCCGGAGTATGCAGCAATCCGGTCAGATACTGGCAATCCATCGACCTGCATCTTCTTCAGCCTTAATATTTCCATATACAACCAACAGATAATCTCCTCGGAATGGACCGAACAATGGTTCTTCATGGTCGGCCGTGTTCATCCCTTTGCCCTGACGTGGGAAATCGAGCGACGTGATGGCTTGGAGTCGGACGATGATAACATCACAGAATACACCGTCCCCGCGCTTATAGTCCGCGATCACAGCTACCAACCGTGAGTCTATGCTCCAAATCTCTCTGTCGCCACTGCCCTCCCTGACGATATCCATAGAATTGTCACTCGCACCTCAGCTCGGTGGATACTTTCCCAACGATACAACCCATTGTCTCCTTCACGGGACCTGTCATCGGCTCCGGCCGCGACCTCCTGCATGGAAACTCGGCTGCGGCCCTTGACGACACCCAGCTGAGCTGCTGCGGCTTTGTCCAGCTCTCCACCTTTATTTGTCCTGGGATTCCCGGCAAAACCCCTTCAAGGGCTTTCACCCTTCCAAGTTTTCGTCATCTTCCCCATTCACGCTAATCCTTGGACCTCCTATGCAAGAAGATGACCGAGAGGCGCGACAGCCAGTTCCAGTCGAACACTCTCTTCACCTGTACGGGCAAAATCGCCGGCTTACTGGATCACCAGATCATGAAACATGCCCCGGCTTTCGACCAAGACTATATCTTCATCGTCGTCCCCGACACGTGGACTTTCCACGACAAGGCCATGTCCGACCAGGCTTCTGCAACACAACTACTGCCGACGACACCCAAGAGCGCGGTCGGCAATCCCTCGGACTATAGCGTTGCGTTGGCCAGGTTTACCTCTACGAAGAAACCCAAGGCCGCCCAAAGCCCCGCCTCCCCCACGCCGCATGCTTCTGGCCCAGTCGATCCCTTATGCTGGCATCAAGTCGGTCATTGCCCGATCCCTACCAAACCCCAACCAAGAGACCGCGACTTTCTCCCGAAACTTCCACCATAATCACCGACTGTGACGGTCAAGACTCCCCCAAATCCGATACCTCCTCCTTTCTGTCCCCGGAAGACCCCGCAGAGTCAGAGACGGACACCGAACAGGTCAATCACCAAGACACATCCGCCTCTGGCTCTATCAGACCTCCCGCGTCGATATCTTCCCGACCACTGCGCGCCCGACGTCCGCCCAAGAATATTCTCTAAACTTTAAAGCATCAAACGAAACAATACAACATGACAACATGTCTCATCATCCTCAAAATCAACTGCCAAAGGCTCGAATAGCACATTCTCTTCTCTTCTTGTTCTCCTTTTCATGAAGACGATCAAGTCAAAACTTCCCCAATATACTCCTTATTCTGTTTATACCTACGACTTATACCGGTAGCACATGTAAATTTTCCGAGCCTTCCACTCGCCCAGACATGCATTACCCACTCACATCTCTCTTCAACCCTGCCGTCTCTCCACGCCCTTTGAGTTTGCGCCTTTTTTCTCCCTCCAGCGGCCTAGCCTGCCTCCCCGACGCTCTGTCTCGGTTTCACTCACGATAATGCTCTACGTCTCTCGCCGTGTCTCGTATCTCGACCTCACTCTTCTTCCTGTCTCCAATCTACTATCGCCAACTCTCTCTCTCTCTTCTGTAGCCAACTCTTCTCCGGTTCTCTTGTCGCCAAATTTCGTTCCGAAAGGCTTCTTTGCGCGAGCCGCGGCTGGCGAGCCTTCCTCTCGTACTCAGTCAGAAAGCAAGGCATAAAACCTCCTCTGATTGGCTAATTGGCCTGGCCCGTGCTCAACTCGTGCGCGGATTGGTCGACTGATAACGTCACCAAAGGAAGGCCCGCAAAACTACCCTGAGCGTTGACTAGGAAACTAGCTTGCTTGGCAAAGTCTTCAGGAGTTTTCAGTTCTTCCTTTCTTCCATGCGGTCAATTTGTTGCGTTGCTATGCACGATTTTGACTGAATAGCCCCCGTGCCCCATACTCCTTACACTAAACTACATGGCGGCTGCTCCCCTTTTCTGTCGAACCTGTCAAACCACATCAGTTTGTTAACGGTATCTAGGCTCACACATGACCTCCGGCTGCCGGCCTACCTCTCAAGATTCCTGGCTACCCTGTCTCCGGGAAGCAGTGCAGTTTCCTCCCTGATCATTCAGACCTGATCTAATTACCTGAAAGACAGCCTCCCCATCGAGATCTATCACGGTATTACACGTAGGACGTCGCAGAGCCTCCCTGCCCGAGCGAAATCGAGCAGTCTAGGTGTTTATGGTGTGGATACATATACAGCCAGATGGAGGACGATATACCCCAGGCGGTTCGGAACTGCCATACCTGCAAGCAATACCTGCCCGAAGTCGAATTTCGAAGCGTCAAGGACCCTACGAAGTTTACAAGAGACTGTGCTAGCTGTAAGGCACGCCGAAAGGAACGGGTAACCGAATCTCGAGCCGCCGTTGCCGCAATGCGGAATATCGCCTTGAGGCTATCGCCACGCAGAACCAGGAAGAGGACGGATTCGCTAGCTAACCTGACGCCTCCAAAGCGGACTGCGCCAACGCCTGCGTCTGTGAACGGCCCACAACCTCATGTCATGCCTGCTTTATTCCGTGGCCAGGCGCCTGCACTGGGACTGCCTATACCTCCGCTGGGGCCATCTACCCTAAGTGCTGTTGGGGGACCTTCCCCTATCCCTCCTACCCATGTCCTGCCAACAGTAGTTCTGGGCACGCCGATTCAAGACACTGCTTCTACGGCACCTGTTGTGCAAGGCACCCTGTACCACAGGAATCGCTTCCTACCACTCCTTCATTATTGCCACAGTGTCATCGCCGCGGCCGTTATACTCGTCAAGGCACACAGCCTCAAGCGCGACAGTTTGGTCAGAGTATTGATCCGCCTTTTACAGGTGACCTTAACTTGCCTGCCCTTAGTGAGGAAGATCAAGCTCTTGTGAGGGAGTTCTATACTGCGCTGAATGACGACAAGATGCATAGTTGCATTCGTTGCCAGGAGCGTTGGTTCGATATGAAGCGAAATAGCTTGAAAATCTGCAGCCGCTGCATTGGTCGAGACAGGAAGAAAACCCCTCACGAGCCCTACTTCTTTAGCGCTGCGAACAACCTTGACTTCGGGAAGTCCCGGCAATCTACCTGATCTAACAATGGTCGAGGAGATGCTCATTGCTAGGGTTCACGTACACGTGAAGGTCCTGCAGGTACGTGGCGCTCAATATAAATATCGCGGTCACGTTGTCCACTTCCTTCGCAATGTTGGCAGGCTATTTGAAGAGCTCCCAGTCCTACCTGAAGAGCTAGATATCGTCCTCCTGCGGCCTACTAATATGGAGGGCGACGTCGCTTCCGGCAACAGTTTGCTCGCGATTTCCGGGTACGCCGCCCATGCCTGTTGGCCTGGCTGCATTACCTACAACGCCACCACCCGGGCTATCGCGATATCGCCGTGAGTCAGGATCGCCTGCACCGGCTTCCTCTTGATGGCAACATAGTTGCTTCCATTGCCAGCCAAGTGGCTGACATGCCTGACGGCGAGGTCCCCCAAGGGCCCGTTGAGGAGGCTGTGGAAGAGGATCCTAGCGACGCCGACGCATCAGCGATCCCGAATTTGCAAGTTTCCGATACCGAATTGAACGCTCTGCAGTCCCGATTTCTTGATGGTGCCCCTAACCCTGAGCGCATGACTGATCTGGGTATATGCCGCGTAGCGCGCAAACTCTCCACCGGATGCCGCTGCCTTCCATTCGCAGGACCCCTATCGACGAATTCAACCGTTCCCAGCCGCTGCTAACGCTCGCGTTCCCTACCCTCTACCCTGACGGCAAGGCCGACTTCGTGGAGCCTCGCCTACGGAGCATCACGTACCAGGACTACCTTGGCCATGCGATGAGATGGCATGACGGACGTTTTGCCCGCCATAAGACGTGGCCTTTCGTCGCCCTCAACACGCTGTTACGTGCGCAGGTCCGAAAGCGAAGTGACTACTTCGTCAAGCAACGCGACAGCCGCCGTCAACCCCTTACACGCGCTGACCTAGAGGAAGCGATGGCTGAGCCTGACGAGCCAGAGGCTCAGGACCTGATCCAGTCGATCACGCGCCAAGCCGCGGTAATCAGGGGCACCCGGCCGTATTGGTATAAGCAAAGAAAGGAATTGGAAGCATATGCCTACAATCTGGGCAGACCTGGCCTTTTCGTTACTGCAAGTGCGGCCGATTACCACTGGGAGTCCCTATATCGTCACATGCCTCGATTCCAAGAGTGGAAAGCAGCTCCTGAGGCGGCGCGCATGGTCCTGTCCCGGCAACTACTGCGAGACAACGCCCACATCGCCGCTTACCACTTCCATAAGCGTTATACGCTGTTTAGGACTACTGTCCTGAAGCAGAAGTTCAACCTAACGGACTTTTGGGGCCGTTACGAGTGGCAGGGCAGGGGTTCCAGTCACCACCACGGCCTATATTGGCTAAGTGGCCACCCAGACTTAGATCCTGACAACGATCAGTCCCGGGAGCAATTCGCCCGCATCTGGGGATATCACGTATCTGCTGTCAACCCAGAGCCTCAGCGAATACAGGCGCCTGGGAAGGGAATCCTGATCGGCAATCTATTGGAGCAGCCCCTTACGGTTCAGTTCCTATCAATGGTGGTCAACCGCGTGCAACGCCACCGCTGCAACAACTACTGTATGCAGCTCAATAAGCATACCAAGCAGGTGGAGTGCCGCTTTGGATTTCCTCACGGACAGCGCCTGCTAGCCTCCCTTGACAAGGTTCCTCATTCTAAGCACTGGAACTTCAGGGCGAGAGGAACGATGGCCAGATTAACCACTACAACCGCTTGCTTACCGTTGCGTGGCTAGCCAATACAGATGTTTCGCCCTGCACGAGCCTCCAGCAGGTAATCGATTACGCGGCCAAATACTGCTCCAAGTCGGAAAAGAAGAGCGAGTCTTTTGCCCAGATTGGGAAGGCTTTGATGTCCCGGGTCAAGGACCACAACCCCCTGATTTCCTTCACGTCAAAGCTCCTTAATCAGCTGGTTGCTGAGCGGGATTACTCGAAGCAGGAGGTCAGCCACTTGCTCCTCGGCCTGCCGTTACAGGAAGGCTCACGAACCTGCCTGTACGTTGACTGTCGTAATCCTGACAGGCATTCCCGCTCCTCCGTATTGATGGCGATGAGGTTGACGAGGCCCCAACGTTTTCGAAAAGTACTGTCAACGCCCGGAAGCCCTAGCGGACCTAAACTACGTCTCCTTCCTGAAGTGCTGGAATTTCCGCCCTAGGGACCCTTCCAAGTGGAAGCAATGGCAGCCAGGCAACGTTAACGGTAGGCCTCGTGTGCTGGTTTACTTTCCTCGCTATCAGGCTGCTCCAGAAGGCCAACAGTGGCTAGATTACTGCCGTGCAAAGCTAACATTAAACCACCCACATCGGCGGGTTGATGATCTCCTCACATTTGATGGCCAGCTTTTTGGTTCTCACGCTGAGGCCTTCTCCTATTGTTGGCAGCACCACAGTCATGGTGATGACCATTACGGTCGGCCAAAAGAGGCTCGATTACAGCCTCAAGATGATCAATACGAGGCTCTGCCTGTGGAGGAAGAATTTGATGACGAAGACTGGATTCGCCTCGCCGCCCTTTACCTGACAACCCTTACCCAGGAGGATCTTGACCTACTTGGCCGCCGCGATATCGACGTCAATTACGACTGGACACGGCATGTGGGTACTTATCCGGAACTTCGAGACGGCTACTGGAAAGACCTTATCGCTAGCCACCCCATGGCCAACGATGTCGAGGTCCTTGGCCTCACTGGCGTAATACGCTGAACCCACAACAACGGCTCGTGTACGACACATTCATGGGTCACTTCCAGGCGCAAAATCCTACTCAAATCCTTCTCCACGTTGATGGCGGTGGTGGCACAGGCAAGTCATTCCTTATCAAGGTGCTTTCTTCCCATCTTCAAGCAGCCGCCCTACCGAATTCTAGCCCTATTTGCCGCGTGGCGCCAACAGGCGTTGCGAGTAACCAGATACAAGGCAGCACCATTCATTCGTTGCTACGCCTCCCAGTAGGTGGTACTTTACCGACCTTCCCCAGCCGACGCAGCCGCCCTTCAGTCCCGCCTACGGCACGTCAAATACCTCGTTATCGATGAAAAGAGCATGCTAGGGCTTGAGCAGCTCGCGCGGATCGATTCCCGTCTGCGGCAGGCCTTTCCACAGCGTAGCCTCGAGTTCTTCGGTGGTGTGAGCGTCTTGCTTGTGGGCGATTTCTTCCAGTTACCACCAGTCCGACAGAAGCCCCTGTATTCGACTAGCACCAGCCTGTCTTCGTTGGAAAGGAGAGGGCAGGTGGCCTACCGGCTATTTGACCGCACCGTCTTCCTGACCACGGTACAGCGCCAGGTTGGTGATGACCAGGCCCAGTTCCGTCAGGCGTTACAGGAACTGCGTGAAGTCAAGTTATCTATACCATCCTGGAACCTCCTTAGCAATCGGGTACAGGCCAGGTTGACGCAGAGCGAGGTTGACGGCTTCAGGACCGCTTTGCGAGTGTATTCTACAAAGGCCCGGGTCAACCAATACAACCACGAGCATATGGTGCACCTCAACGCCCCGGCAATACAGGTCGAGGCAAAGAATCAAGGCAACGGCGCGGGACAGGCATCAAGCGACAGTGCTGGCAACCTATCTAACAAGTTCCCTGTTGCTAAGGGCACCAGGGTGATGCTCACGACTAATCTGTGGCAGCCAGCTGGCCTAGTTAACGGTGCTCAGGGTACTGTATACGATATCGCCTGGAACGCAGGCGCCGACCCGTTGGAAGACCCCCCAGCCGTTATTATGGTGGACTTTGATAGCTACGACGGACCGCCGTATCTAACAACTAACGAGGGCAGGAAAATCTCACCCATCCTCCCAGTCAGGCGAGACTTCCTTGTGGGCAACGAGACCTGCGCTCGCACGCAGTTTCCTGATGGTGGCGTTTGCTATCACTGTTCACAAATGCCAGAGCCTAACGAAGGATCAAATAGTTACTGATCTCGCTACACGCGACTTCCAGGCCGGCATTAGCTATGTTGCTGTCTCACGGGTTACGTCGCTGCAAGGCTTACTCCTTGAGGTGCCTTTCGATCGTCAGAGCCTCTATAACCACACGCCGACGGAAGGTTTACACGCCTGCGTTTCCTACGTACCGCGTTCACGACTAACTATAAGGCAGGGATGAAGATGCGCCTCGCTGACCAACAACGGCGTCAGGGTCAACAGCTGACCGACCCACCATATCCACCACGCTACCTTGACTAAACGGCATGTTCCTCTAAGCTGCGGGGAAAGGGGAGGTTCGATATATAGTATATAGTTATAGTTAGGTTGGGCCTGTTGGGAAGCAGCAGAGAGACTCCCTAACTATCAGTCAATTCCCTCAGTGCAGGTTTGAAGCGGTTTGAACAGCTGGTGTGCCCGCGGCAGGCGAATGGGGGGTTCTAGGGGGTCTCCCCCTAGGAAAGTGAATTGCAGGTTACGATATTTACCCTTCGGGCTGGATATTCAGCCGTTAAGCCCCTTGCCTTGGCAACTTAACGGGTGTTCGAAGTATTTTAGTCTATCTATACTTCTAACAAGCTAGTCGCACAACACCACGGCTATCAGGATGCTCGCGGTCGACTCAGCTGGACGGGTTGTGCACTGCCTCGGCCTCAGTTGATTAGAGTTTGGGACTTCCCCGTCCGCAGAATCATAGTTGCCCATCTCCATGCTAATGCGATACCTAGAATCGTCGTGGCTGTGCCGTTGCCGTCTTGACTGAGCAGTCCATTAGGTGTTAGACTGGTCTTGACTGGGGAGCCTTCCTTTGCCGTCGTTGCGAGTACTAACTAGGGTTGTTTAACCAAAAAAAAAAGGGAACGGTTCCTAGCTATCCTCGGCAACTTTAGTGCAGTTGGCTGACTAGGCGCCCCGCCTAGCTTCGGCCAACGGGTAAAACCCCGTAGTTCCAAAACCAACCTACTTATGCACTATTCCAAGGATAGTAAACAGTCATGAATGAGTCTTGTCACTCCGCTGAGTAAAGTCGAGGCTCAAACCTGACCTTGTCCCGGTCATCTATGCACTTGCAGATGATCCGCTCAACTGAAACACCCGCCGCGTATCCCTTTGAGTGCGCGGGAGGAGCAAAGAGGTCACGAACAGGGATCTCGGCCAATAAGACCACTAGACGATCAGGGGTACATTATCTTACTAGTGTGGAAAAGCTCTGATGATGCTGATTCTAGCTACTGGCCCCATCCCTAGTGGAGGGGGGCGCGCAGACTAAGAGACCTGTGCGAGACTGCAATCCCTGCAAATAAGGGCTGCACCTTTCTTTCACGTATCAGGCATGCGGGGCGGGTCGCACCCTTGCAGTTAACTTAAGATTTAAGCGTACTTTTTGCAAAGGTTCCGAAGATTGCCTAAGAACTAAATCGAGACCCACTAGAGCCAACCCACAATCCCCACCTTAAAATGGGGGCGGGCACGAGTAAGTTTGGTAGCTGTTGCCTGGCAGGCAACTGTCGCGAAGAACGGCCCATGGTCGAGTCAACAAGGTCACCCATGGGTAGCTAGGGCAGCAAGGGAGCTGATAACCAGGCCTGAACGAGGAGGCTGGAAAGATCCTCTTAAAAGACTGGAACGTCTCCAGTCAAGAGGCTGAGGGTCCCCAGCCTCCCTGAACACATTACCTTTACTACTCCGTACGAAAGAGGGATATAAATAGGGGCTTGGGTTTAGGGCAGAAATGGAGGAGGACAGAGACGAGGAATACAATGAAACTACACAATATGTCCATTCTGCAAACTTTCTTCGTGAGAGCAACAGCGGGCCAAAGGCTCGCAGGCTCGCAGTAGCTATCTAGCTAGCTATTGAAGGGAAAACAGAACGAGAGGCCAAAGAGCGACTAAAATACAAAGTGTAACGGGCAAGCCGCTTTAACGGCGGCTGCGCCGCCTAGCTTCTAGAACCTTCCATTGGCTCGAAGCTATAAAATGCCGTTATGCTCTTATGTAGTAGATTCTCTTTCTTTCTTCCTTTCTTCTGTATCTTGATAGTAAACAGCATAGGGACTAGTTAGTTGCATCAACTCACTAGAGGCCTTTCACACAAAGCGGTTGCGTAGTAATATCGCCACTTCATGAGTAATCATCCTAGGCAGGCTTGATATGCGACGCTGGACGACGGCTCGTAAAAAGTGGGACCTAGCTTGGCAGCTAGTAGCCCCTGATTGTCTCACGAAGAAAGTCAGCAGAAAGGGCATATTGTGTAGCTTCATTGTATTCCTTGTCTCTGTCCTCCTCCCTTTCTGCCCTAAACCCAAGCTCCTATTTATATCCCTCTTTCGTAGTATAGGTAATGTGTTTAGGGAGGCTGGGGACCTGGGGGTCCCCAGCCTTTCGACTGGAGACGTTCCAGTCTTTTAAGAGGAGCTTTCCAGCCTCCTTGTTCAGACCTGGTTATCAGCTCCCTTGCTGGCCTAGCTACCCATGGGTGACCTGGTTGGCTCGACCATGAACCGTTCTTCGCGACAGGTTGAACTTGCTTCACATGGAGACTTCATTCACGCAACGCCTTTTCACGTCTTGCTTCATTAAATAATGAGCCCTAGGTCTACTCATTCAGGGGTTCAAGATGAGTTGATTTCCGTTATCTGTGCCCGTTGTGGCGAGAAGAACCCGGCAAGTGACTTCGTAAGCAAACGGAAATCTGCTGGTACGGTAATAGTTACAATCTGCTAATTGCTTGGCTCGCGGAGTCGGCCTTCGGCTGGTTGTACCGCTTGCACCACCGCTCAAGTGCAAGGGGTGACGTAGTATTTTATAATGTATACAACTTCTACCGGTATACAAAATGCATTGGATAGTATACAAGGAACCCAACTCCTTGTAAGCTAAAATGCTGAACTGCTCTTCAGTCCATCATATATACACGGTGTCTTCAAGCTGCGTCCTGTCCCACGTCGTTTGTTCTAAGCAGTAGGAAACAGGTTTTCACTAGCTGTCTAGGCGGCGTTGGCTTTCTTGGCTTTCTTGGCGCCCTTCTTGCCCTTCTTCTTGGGGTCCCTGGCCTGAAGGGAGCCCTCGTCTTCACCAGAGAGCTCGCGCTTGGCTGCCTTTGCGCCAGCTGCCTGGGCGGCGTTGGCTTTCTTGGCGCCTTTCTTGCCCTTCTTCTTCTTCTTCTTCTTCTTGGGATCCCTGACCTCGACGGTAGCCTGATCAGCAGCTCCATTGGTCGCAGCGTTGGCATTGCTCACGCTGGCGATGTCTTCAGTGCGCCTAGCGTTGAGCGAGTGGCTGGGCTCGGTGATTTCTCGCTTGTCTGGTCCCCAGGCCTGATCGCCGGCTGGCACTGCCAGGGCGGTGCCGACGAGGCAGGTGAGGAGATAGGCGACGGCGCTGGCCTTCATAGTGACGAATTTGGGCAATATTGAAAAATTTCAAGGGGATTTACTAGATAATGGAGACTCTTTCAGTGCTTGGTGAGTATTCTCTTGTCTACAGAACTGTTTCTAGGGGAAATCGAGCCTCTATTTATACCCTCCGAGTGTTGCATCTACTTAGTCACGGCAAATTGTGGATGGGCGTCTCTGAAGCGGCCGCAGCAGGCAGGCCGCGTAGTCCTATGCTCCATAAATGACCACGAAACCGATTGTGCTTAGCTTCTAGGGCGTGATCCGTTAAACAGTGGCACGTAGGACAGCCCACCAGATTACCGACGGCTTAACTTAGAGGGCCTTTGGACCCTCCAGCCTGACGGAGGTGCGCGGGAGCCGTTCTTAGTACGGAGACAAGAAAGCCATCTGACGAGTCGCGGCATTTCTATTTGGAAGTTGGAGGGTTGAGCGGAGCAGAGAATGCCAGTCAAACAGTAGCACGATCATCCAAAGACGTGCGTATACCGGCGTGTAGAGACGCGAGCCGTCGGCTAGGGTCAAGGCCCCGTTGAACTCGAAGTTGAGCATGAGTTGGTGAATTCATGCGAATCGGAGTTTCAGGCAGAGACAAGAGACAACCAGTTTCTGGTAGCCCCGGACCCTTGCCGGTGGATCTGGCTAAAACAGGCAATGCGTAATAGTGGTGGCGGCAGTGGGCCAGTGGCGGCGCTGAACTCGTGTGCTTCGGATGGCACGGCAGAGACGGATCTGGACTGATCTAGTATCCGTATTATCTGCCTTCATTGTCGCAGGGGGTCCTGGGGACCGGCTTAAAGTTGCTGAGAGCCGTGATGAAGAATGGCTATCGCGCTTCAGCAGCGGCTTGTGTCATCTTTGGTGATGCTTCTAGTATGATATGCCTCTTGAAACGAGCAGAAGTTCCAACAGTCAGGGGCTCAGGGCAGTCAATCTAAGCTGACTGAGTAAGGCCAAGCAAACCAAGCTGCCCGTTCTCCCTAGTGTTTGACCATCGTATTGGGTGGGCAGCGTGACGTTCCTGACTTAAGAAGTTAAGCCCCTTGAGGGATTGGAGAGTCATATAACTAACTCCCGAAACGCACGCTTAATGCTAGAACAGTGTATATCAGGAACATCATGGCCGTGTACCATGACAATGTGCGCGAAACATTTTTGCGTGGTGCGCCGGTCGTTCCGACATGTAACAAGGTTAACGTACCTCACTGCGTCATGCAACGCACCATGTCATGCAACAGATTGTCCGACTGGCCAGTCGCAGCGAAAATTAATCCTGCAGCTGTCGTGAAAACGGGTTAACGATCTAAGTCCGAGGGTTACCTAGTCGGGCTGACTCTAGCAAAGGTGACTGAGAAGGATGAATAATGTCGTTGGTAAGCGGTGGTATCGAACCTTCTAGATGACAACGTCATCTAGGCGGCCTGGGTGGCGACATCGCCACCACAGACAAGTGACAGAACTATAAGAAGTCACTTTCTGTTAGAGAGGAGGAATAACAGAAGGACAAGGAACTTAATCTATTCATCACTTGCACCCTCTCTTCGCGAGAGCAGCCAAGTTCCAGACTTGCAAATAGATAAATCATAATCAAATCAAATCAAATCAAATTTATCCAAATCAAATCAAATCAAATTGCTCCTGCGCTGAATCAAATCAAATCAAATCGTGTCGAGAAGAAGGTCCGAACGAATTGAGGTCTCTAGGTCTCTCTAGGTAATACAGCTTGAAACCAGGTAAGAAGGGAAGTCTGCAGACTGTTCTTTCTTCCTCCTAGACCACTGAGGGGTCCGGAGGATCTCCTATTCGAACGGGGACCCTTTGAGGAGTCCGGCATAACTATTACTGGCTCGGGGACCTCGAGAGACTGAACTATCGATCTCATAGCTAGAAGAGCTATTCGATCGGGGAGATGGAGCTGATGTTGCTGACGTAGATGACTTACGCGGCCTTCAGTAACTGGCAAGAAGTGCCCTCTTCCTGCTAGAATGTATACTATACCTGAAAACAGGATATCAACTCGGGAGAAGCGTGGAGTGATACAAAAGGGGCTGTTTGGACGGGAAAAGGGCAACTGGGGCAGATCAATCAACAGATGCACATCACAGACTATCAGATCATCTGGGAATCTACCTACGAAAAGTCCCTTTATTCACTTCTATACCCACTTTTGATCTCTCCTTCGCGAGATCTGTTTTTCCTTCAAAAGCTAGCTAGATAGCTACTGCGAGCCCGCGAGCCTGTCACGGCACCAACCTGGGTTCGGTCACGTGCCTCCCTATACTTAGTCTAGACTCTGTTCCACCTCCGTAGTTTGCCCTCCTCACAGCACAACATAGATCTTCCCCGGCATCCTAGGTCTGCCCCGTGATAGAGCCTTAGGCCCGCAGGCCCGCCGCGTCATAGCCCTACGGGCTGCATACGCGTAATGAATCAAAAAAAAAGTGTGGCTGATCCAGCCATGATCTTCCAGTGAAATCTTCCGAAGTCTCCTTTTTCAACCGATCCTCAAGTTGCTCAATGTGCGGACCGTGGACCTTTTCCCACGAGAGTACGGTCTCGACCAAAGAGGCTTCCGCGCCTTTGGGGTAACGCTCGCAGAAGGAAGGTGTCAAAGTCTTTTGTCCGATAAAAGAGGATCTTATCGACACCGGCCTCGCGCATGTCAAACAGACTCTTCCAGACCCGACGACATCGACGCTGGTTTGCATCGCTTACTCCATAGCCGGTTTCGATCATGAATCTTTTGGTTGCGATCTTCTCGGCCATTTGTGAAGTCACTCAGGGGTCCCTTTGACGTAGGCAACTTGGTCGGATCAAGACATTTTGCACCTTTCTTGATGATTCCCTAGTAAATAGACTGAGTGTAGCGATCTAGGATATCATTGCCCGCGTAGACGGCGTGCTCCCTCTTGACGGCGTGCACAGCTTGACTGTATTTGAGACCAGCGAGCTGCTCAATGAAGCTCCGAATCTTCGCAAGGTTTGTCGTCACCGTGGTAGTTTTACTGAGATGACCATACTTGCCCAGCGCGTACCCGCTCTGTCACACACAGACCAATGCCATAACTGTCAATTGCGCACCACTTGTTGGAGCGCGCGTTCTACTTTTGGTGCAATAAGCCCTCCTGATCAATTACATACATCGGTTGTAACCGTTCTTCAAGCCTCCATCTTCTGTCGAGAAGAAGGTCCGAACGAATTGAGGTCTCTAGGTCTCTCTAGGTAATACAGCTGGAAACCAGGTAAGAAAGGAAGTCTACAGACTGTTCTTTCTTCCTCCTAGACCACTGAGGGGTCCGGAGGATCTCCTATTCGAACGGGGACCCTTTGAGGAGTCCGGCATAACTATTACTGGCGCGGGGACCTCGAGAGACTGAACTATCGATCTCATAGCCAGAAGAGCTATTTGATCGGGGGGATGGAGCTGATGTTGCTGACGTAGATGACTTACGCGGCCTTCAGTAACTGGCAAGAAGTGCCCTCTTCCTGCTAGAATGTATACTATACCTGAAAACAGGATATCAACTCGGGAGAAAGTTCGAGGGATATAAAAAGACTGTTTGGACGGATAAAGGGCAACGGGGCACAGATATTACACAGACCTCCTGGTCATATGAGAACCTACCTACGAAAAAGTCCCTTTATTCACTTTTATGCCCAATTTTTGTTCTCTCCTTGGCGAGACAGAGTTCTGGCAGTCTTCTCACATACAGGCAATTTGCGCACTTCTGCTTCTCAGATGCCTCCTCATCTTAGCCGACCCTCTTGTCACGAAAAAGAGAGTCACCTGCTGTTACAGGCGTACACGTCAATTGACGCATATGGTACAGGCAGGCGCAGGCTTCCTGACACCTCTCTTCACCGAACCAAGTCATCATGAAGCACCCGTGACCTGATCATGGAGCGGAGCAGGCAGGGAAATATGTTATCCATGGTCTCTTCCAGCTGGATACTCAATAATGGGGCAACTGCATGCATTTATCACCCGCGTCTGTATCATCCGAACGCTCTCGACGTTGGGTTGGCTGTCGTTGCTCGGGACTGCCATCGCCCGCTCGGCCGCCTCCTCCTGTCGCCTGCAATGTCTCAACCCAGTCCACTTGCCACGGCGTCGCGCAATTGGAATTGGGGCAGGCCTCTCCGAAATAATCAATTGGGGCTCTTATAAGGCAGGTATAACATCTGAACTCTCCACAAGAGTCCTTAATTTCTGTGCGGTGATGCTTGTCGATGGTTTCCTGGTGAACCCTCCGCAGGTGCCGACGTAAATCCTTTCGTTGGCCAAACGGGGCTGAGCGGGTACAGTCGAAGTAATCGCAGCAGAACAGATCCTCGCGGAATTTGCGATGTTTAGATTGCTTGCAATGTGAGCGCTTGTAATGTCCATCCAATTCTTCGCACCGCTGAAAGGGTGGTGTTATGCATCGCGGAAACAGGCAGCAGAAGGATGCCGCGTCTCCACCTTGAGAGCTGGAACGGTCAGTATCAGCTAACGAACCAGAAAGCGGAGGGGTGATTACGGATTGCTGTTGTTTGCATGTGACGATGTGTGTCCGTCCGGATCTGAAGCTTCGTCGACGATAGAAGGGGGTGTGAGGTTGTGCTGTGTGAACTGATGCAGATTCGGAAGTGACGGGCCATTCAAAATGTCATCATCGTCAATCATCGTCGCAGTCAGGTTGAAAGTGGGAGATATTTTCCAGGCCAGACAGCGATTTTTCGCGGCGCCCATCACGCATTTTCGTAGAAATGCCGATGCAAAACACTGCGCGTGATGAGCAGATTTGCGCGAGCGCAGTAACGGCTTGAGGCGTGTGCTGGGTCTTTTGTACGGCAGCTCTGGACTTACGACCGAAGTTAGCGTCTCATCAGCCCGGGACCACCTCCGAGTAGTACTGTATTGAATCCGTCCACCCAGCAATATCGTTGAGGTGGCCTCTGGACGCCCAGTCGCGCCCTGGGTCGTACTTGACTGCTGATGATGGGTCCAGTTTTCCTTGCCGTACTTGGGCGGGTACCCGTTCCCCCCCCCACGTGAGTTGGTGAGCCCAAGCGAATCCCAATAAAGTGGGGGCGGGCACGATTAGGTCTACCCCGTCGTCGTGACTCCTTCTGGAACCTCCCCACAGCCCTCGCCCACCGTACACATGGCCTCCATGGCGTAGTGGTGACACGTCTGGAGTTTCTGCGCTGCAGAGAGGTCGGTTCGAAACCGGCTGGAGGAACCCCTGAGTGAACAGGGTACACCCGGGTTCCCGCTCGTCATCAGGGCCAACGTCATGAGAGAACACCAGTTCACAACGTCAAGTTCAAAGAAAGAACCGAAAACAAAAAGTTAATTGCAACAGAAGAATCCGTCAAGTACAATAGGCGTACCAACCACCATCAATTACTAACACAACCAGCTTCAGCTTCGACAAATCGCGCTTCAGTTGCTGAGGATAGGATGCTGAACACTTGGAGAAATTGACCTTCAAGCAGGTCTGTCATGGAGCGAACAGTGGAATGGTTGGCGCAGCGTAAGATGATCTGTGGGGCTTGAGGTGTCATGCATCAGTGTATCGAACCGTCAATAGCCAGAACGTCTAGGCCCTATGGGAAGTATCCTCCGGGCGAAATAAATCCATACCATACCGTACACATCAGCCAAGCAATAGAAGAAAGACCCCGGCCCTAAAAGAGGCGCAGGCATGAGTCAACCCGACAGATAGCTGCGAGATGGGCCAAGCGGATGAAGAGGCTGAAGCAGACTCTGGAGTCTCCAAACGATGGGACTCGATCGCGACGACCGTCCTACACAGCGATTCCCCCGCTGGCCCTCCGAGAAGAGTCGAAGCCTTCGACAGCCGGCAGGGCTCAAGTCCGGTTGAGCATATTGCGCCTTGTGGGCAGTAGTGCGGCGAAGGTGAAACAGTGTCTGCCCTTGAGCGCCGGCTTGACTCGCTCCTCACAATTTTGGCCGGGAAATTGCGGCGCGGAAAGACTGCCTCTGGCACAAAGTTTCTAGAAGCTGGGATGATGCGAGTAATGACAGGCGGCTCATGGCCGAGGCCGACACTTCAGGAGTGGCAAAGAATAGGTAGTCCAGTCTCACGCCCTCCGCGCTCACGCCAGGCAGCCCATGTCGACTTTTCAACATCTTCATATTCCTCGGCTTCCCGGCTCTCTCTCGCCGGCAGACTGGAAGTATCGTGATGCAACTGAGCCAAAATGGGCGACCCCCGAGTTGAAGAAGCCATGGCTTCCGGCCGTTTGCCGCCGCGAGTCACCCGCGAGGAACTTGAAATGAGCCAAGACGTGGCGGGCATCGTCAGCATCTCTGTCGTCACAGCCCTGGCCACCTTGGTCGTCATCTGCAGACTGCTCTCGCGGAGGTTCATCATCAAGCGCTTCGGCTTCGGCCTGACGACGGAATAGCGCTGGCGTCGCTGGCGAGCCGCCCTGATGGAGGAGCCGTGGCAAGGACTGGCCAGCCGCTGACTCCCTTCCCGCACAGGTCGTCTTTATTCCCTTTGCGGCCCTTTGTATAGAACTCATCAACCTGGGCACCGGAAGAAGCATCGCCTTTGTCCGTTTCGCCATCGACGACGCCACGTGGGTGAGACAGCAGATTTTCGACTCGATTGCGCACTTGGTCTACGCCACTGCCCTCGTCCTCTGCCGCATATCGGGCCTCGCCTTCTACTACCGTATCTGCGCGCTGCACAAGGGGTTTCTCGTCGCCATCCGGATAATATTCGCCGTCTTGGTCATCGGTTACCTGGCGCAGATGTGCCTCATCATTTTCCACTGCAAGCCCGTCAACATGCTTTGGGCGCCCACCTCATTCGAGGACGAGACCAAGTTCGAATGCTTGGAGTGGGATGAGATATACGATAATACGGCGCCATCTCAGGCATCTCACTGGCCTGCGACCTGCTACTCTTTGGCCTCCCCATGGCCATGCTCAAGATCTTGGAGATGCCGCGGAAGCAAAAGGTTCAACTGGCCTGCATCCTCTTGCCAGGCATTGCGTAAGTACTGGGTACACCGGCAACTGCCAAGGCGAGGCGATTCTAACCGCATAATGCAGCGTCGTTGGCATCTCCGTCAGTCGAATAGTCTTCGTGATTGGCTTTGCGGCGATACGACTGCTTGCAGAGACTAACGCGAAGCTATCAACGAGACTACGGCATGTTGATATCCACCGGCATTGGTTACGCCAAGAGACTCAAGAAGGAAGAATTCAAGTCCGTTGGGTTCCTACGGCACAGATGAAAGCAGACGGCCTAACCAAGGCACTCCTCGTCAGAAACTACAGAAATTCCAAGAGATGATTGGAATAGTTGACTTAAAAACCCGGCTTCAGCTTGAGACCCGGATGGAAGACCTACGAGACCGGATTCTAGTAAGACGGTTAGGAGAGAGGCCCTTGACCGCATAGGAATATTAGGGGAGGTCTCCCGGCCACGACTACACGGTAACCTCGTTGAGGACCTATAACCCTTTGGCTGTAGCTTTGACCCGTTGGGACGGCTCATAGCTAAGGGGGTGTGTCGAGAAGAAGGTCCGAACGAGTTGAGGTCTCTGTTACGGCCAGGCACATACGAGCCTTGACGGCTATAAAGATGTATTGGCACTATGAACAAAGACTCAAAGCTAAGGAGCAAGAAAGGAAGACTAGACTACACGACCGAGCGGGCCCTTATATAGACACGAGGTCGCGCGTGGGCACGTGATGCTGCTTGGGCACGTGACACTGGTGAGGTGCTGCGCTGGCGGCTCTACGCTGGCGCCCAGGGTCGTGACACTGCCCCCCGTCTAAGGCCTTGATATGCGTATCAAGGTAGTCAGTCGTGGCGGCGGCTTCTTGGTTTCACGGCTTTCTCTGCTGTGTCGTCATCGTCTCGTTCCTCGCAGCCCTCCTCCGCTGCAGCACATTCGATCCAGTATTGCAGGTTGACGGGCGGCCAGCTGAGCCGTCACTTGGGCCATCGTTGGCGGGTCTTCGATTGAGGCCGACGTCTCCTCTTGCAGCTGGAGAATCGGGGTCGAGTCTTGGTCTTGGTCTTGGGTCGAGGGGCCTTGATCAGGCACTTGCGATGCCGTACGGACTGACTTCCTTGTCGGGGGTCCGTAGTCGAGTTTCTTCGGCATCACCTAGTCAAGGGCGAGTCGGGGTCGAATCCAACACGAAGCGAATCGGTGGGCCAAACCTCCTGATCACACACAGGAGGGTCAAGTCGACAGGCGGAGGTTGTTCCTTTCCAGTCTTTAGGAAGAGGAACGGGTCGATGCGCTGCACAGTCCTTAGTGCGTGCGCGGGTCAAGGCCGAGCCGAGCTGCACACGCAGACGAGTCGACAGGTGCCTCCAGTACCTTCGGAGGGCTTGGTCGAGTGTCCTCACGGACAGTCAACCCTCTGATCACATACAGAGGGGTCGGAAGTGATTCGCAACGCAGTCCTTAACGAAGCGAATCGGTCGGGCTCCTGATCACACACAGGAGGGTCGGTCGGTGTTGAGTCGGGGCACAGTCCTTAGTGCAACGGGTCAACGGTCGGTCGGAGTGCACGAGTTTTCAGTCCAGCGCGAAGGACCAGGTTGTGGGTGCCTATTTGTTTATCGCGGGGCACGCGAAGGTTGCCTATATTTGTTTCGCGGGGCACGCGAAGATTGAGCTTTGAGTAGTGTTACGGCCAGGCTCAGCTCAAAGAACGATTGGAGCTGCTCCTTGACGTGGAAGACTGTCTCTTTTGTTGGTGCAGCGACTAGCATATCGTCCACATAGAGGATCAGAATGCAGCCTCGCTTTTCGTCCTTGAATAGACAGAGATCCGCGTCAAGGGGCTCGAATCCAAGGGTCTTCAAAATGGGCGTGATTGTGAGAAACCACCAAAGTGGGCTCTTTCGCAGGCCGTATAGAGCTTTCTTCAAAAGACAAACTCTACTTGTACCGTCCTCGTAGCCTTCTGGCTGCATAACATAGATATTCGTGCCCTCAGGTATGTCCGCATTCAAAAAGGCTGTAGCGATGTCGAACTGATAACATTCGAGGTCGAGAATTGCTGTCCATATTAAGAATATTTTGACTGATGTCGTGCTTGCAACGGCAGCATACACATCCTGGACTGCCCAGCTGTCGTGTTCCTCAAAATTCCACAGACAACCCAGCGGGCTCTGCCGACCAGTTCTCCTGTCGGAAGTTTCTTCTCGTCGAGAACCCATTTTCCGGGAAGTAGTTTTGCATCGTGGGGTAATTCTTCTAGTGTCCATACACTTCGATCTTGGAGGTACTTGTACTGCTTGTCAAATGCTGGTTTCCACTTCGTCTCCCAATCTGGGGACACTCGAGCCTTTCTGTATGACTTAGGAACGGGTAGCCTTTGCAGCGAGTTTGCAAGGCTTTCCGCCTTCATTGCTGTCAAACAAAGTGTTTCTAGACGGTTTATCGGAGAGACTACGTCTGGGGGTAACAAAGCTAAAGCCTGATCTCCCGAATTGCCGCGATGAAGCTTTTGATAGTACCCTGCGGGTCGCTGCGTTTTGACGACTCGGTCGAGGTAAACTCACGACCGACGTGGTGTAAGTCTCGCTTGTTTCTGGAGGGATTGGCCGTTCATCAGCCAGTCCGTCAATTTCCTGGCTGTCTTCGGAGTCTGACAGAGTATTCACAGAAGAATCGTGGGATTCATCCAGCTCTTGCGTTATCTCCGGCGTTGGCAGATGATGGTCTTGCGTTTCTTCGATGGACGGACCCTTATCAGTCGTCCTTCCTCCCGGTTCGATGGTTGACAGCGAATCAGATATTCGCTCAACGATGGTTGCTCCAGCTTCTTCTTCTTGAACTTCGTCGAGAAGCGTAGCTTCGTACTCAATTGTATCGACTTCTTCGGCGCTTGCCGACTTTTGTGGTTCCTGGAGGAGTTTCTCGTAAAAGCGAACATCACATGCCCGGACGATTCGATTCCGAGCTGGCACGTAAATGTGGTAAATTTTGCCATGAATGCCTTCCCAGCCAACTAACTTTCCTTCTTCAGCTCTTGGAGCCATCTTCCTGGCCTGTACGCGCCGTTCTTTCTTGATGTGTACGTATGCAACACAACCAAACGTGCGTAGGTGGCGAATGTAGGGTTTGTGAAGTTCCTCGTTAACTCGGAGAAAACTGGCAAAGACCTCATGAGGTGAGAGTCCTTGGTTAGATTTGCACGGAAGCAGGTTAAGAACTTTGACGACGGATTCTTGAGCATAGGGCCACAAGAATTCCGGAAGCTTGGAGTGAATCATGATGCATCGAGCGAGCTGTGTGATCTTCGATCCAGCCCTCTCTGTCAATCCATTCTGTCTGGGTGTACCAGGCACGGTCGGTTTGAGACTGATTCCGTTTGCCCGGGCCCAGGGTATCAACTCTGTTGTCCAGTTGAAAGACACATCATTGTCCATGCCATATTCTTGGACCTGATATCCAGTTGTTCGTTGAATGTAAGCATCAAAATCTTTCGTAGCTTGAAAGAGCTCGTCTTTGTGTCGAAGAAATCGAACCCAATGGTATCCACAATGGGCATCTACTGCGTGCCATGTATAGCGAAATTGGCGATGACCTAGTGGCTTGTTCTCGATGAGGTCGATCCGAACGAGACTCAGCGGTCGGGCTGGTCGCACAGGCGGCGTACGACTGACGATTAGGGCAGACTTTGCGAGGTGGCATGTCCTGCAATGGTGTTCCTTTGCTTCCTGTTTGAGATTTTGATCCCTGCCTGTTCACAGGCCTTGAGAACGATTTCTGGCGATGCATGCATCAATCGCTCGTGCATGACTTGATAAGATACTGCCAGGAGCATGTTGCCCTGGTTTTGTTGTCGAGTCGTCGGCGTTTCCGATCGGATGACTGCCACATTGTTGATCCAATCGATCATGGCCATCTCCGTCTTGGAGTCCTTGTGGATGATGCAGTCTTTGAAGCCGTCGCGAATCGCTCCATCAGCTCTCAGCTGACCTGAGCTAAGAAGATTGATTGGCGCGGTGGGACAATAGACTGAGCGGCCGAGATTCATCTCGGTCACCAGTCCGTCTGACCGTTTGGCCCGTATGTAAGCTGTGCCTATCGCCTTGGCTACTAGATCCCCCCCGTTGGCTGACGTGAACGAGAGTTCCTGTGGCAATTCCTTAATATCCTTAAACCATTTTAGGTCGTTAAAGGTGTGATTGCTTGCTCCCGAGTCATCAATGATGCTGTCACGGGTAAGCGTCTGACTCTTGAGGGCATGCTGAACAGCTCGGCTTGGTTTGGTTGGCTGAGCCGCCTCAGGCGTGATCGACATTCCGATGAGGCCGCTGTTGAAAGTAAATGCTGCTTGAGAAGCATTCTGATTGATTGAAACTTCTTCTCGGGCAGGCTCGACGTTCGTCTGCCTGTTTCTCCGGCGACGGAATTCTTCGAGTTTTTCCGGGTGCTTTGCAAAACACTCCGCGTCTCCGCCTTGGTGATGTCTTCTGCAGAAGGAACACATAGGTAATCCAACCCAGTGCGATCTGTTGCAAGTCGGGCAGAATCTTCTAGTCTGCTCAGACTGGGGTTTTCGAGATTGAGCGGAGGGACCTGAGGTGCGTTGAGTAGCGGATGCTTCGTTGCTGTTCGTGGATAGTGTTGAGAGCGCCATAGCTGTCTTTTCCTTGTTGGCTTCAGCGTACATCTCTGTCATGAGATTCTCCCACGTCAGAGAGCCTTTGTTCATGTCTCGTTCAAGGAAGGTATACCACTGGGGATACACTTCGCGAAGTCCTCTGATGGTGAACCACAGGCATGCTTTGTCGTCAAAGCCGCAGTTCAATTCTTTTGTGCGTCGCTTTAGGTACTGAATGCGGGTTTGGTAAGCCATCAAGCTGTCGAAAGTCTTGCGGCTTATGCTGCCAAACTCGGCTACGAGGTCTCCGGTCGCATCTGCGGAAACCTTCGGAATTGCTCGTTGAATGAGTTCATAAAGAACCTTTGGATCCTTCTCTGTGAATCGGCTCCACCCGGCCGCTTCGAGGGTCGTCTGAACTGGTGAAATAGAACCTTTGATGATCAGCATGACCTTTGCTCGGTCACGCTTCCATTTTCCTCGTTCTGCTTGGTCCACGGGCTCCGGGACTTCTGCGAGGATGTAATCTTCCAGATCCTGGACCTCCAGGGTCTGAATGAGCATATCCTTCCATTCTTCAAGATTTGACTCTCCCTTGAGAATGGGAATTTTGGGAAGTTGAAGAGAGGCTTCAGTCATTTTGGCTGAAGATAATCCAGATAGTTTGCCTCAGTTGGAGTGCAAGTTGTTCAGGCGATGTCTTGCCGTGAACTGGAGTTGGCTCCGATACACCTTGTTCGGAGCCTAAGTTGAGTAAGTAGAAGCGCGAGGGGTCATAACCTGTTGTCCGCACCTGCGGATTGGAAAGGATGAGTGAGCAATCTATTGATGCTTGTCTATCTAGCTACAGATGTGATGATGATCCGAGTCTATATAGACTCAGGTGACGGAGTCGCCATATCCATGGAACCTTCCAGATCCCACTGGAGTCCTCCAACATTATCCTTTCTTGTGCTGCCCCTACCTCATGAGTACCGGAATAACAGTCTATCGACACTTTCCATTTCGGCGCTAATACTCTTAGGACCAGGGATGCTCACTCCCTCATGTAACCCAAGAGGCCCCCAAAAGTTTGTATCCCCACTCAGGCTTCGACAGTACCGGTAACGGAGTATATATGATTCATCTTTGAGGCTGTGGAAACTTTCGCGGAGTCTATTATCGTGCTTACACTTCTTGCAATTGTCAGTGATGATCTGAAAGGATTGGACTCCAAGTTGGCACGGCTCGTCGTGGCTGCATTTCTCCAGCTTAACCTTGTTGAGGTGACCGCATCTAACCGAGCCTTGGGTGATAACATGTGATGCCATCGTCTTTTGCGGGTAGCTTGGCAGCGCTTTTTAGTTGCAGGATGAAGACTTGCAACGGCGATGACTATGTTCATATATAGGCCATTCGATGCCTTATATCATCGTCATGCAGGGTTGAAAGCCACTCCACTCAATCCACGCAATGGAATCCACTGGCTTTCTTTCAGTGGATTGGCCAATCCGCTGAATCCACTGTCAGCCGCCGTGGATGGATTAAGAATTGTTCTTCTGTTAGCGATTCCCATAAGGGATTTTCCGATGATCTGCCGGATCCGGGGATCCGCCGCCACTTACACCGACATTTGTCAGCCAAGGCGTGGCGACCAATCTCGCTGTTGTCGACGCTTGGCAAGATACTCGAAGCGGTCGTGGCCGAGCGCATCTCGTATGCAGTAGAGACCTACGGTCTTCTACCCGCGAATCACTTCGGAGCAAGAAAACGACGATCTGCCGAGCAGGCGCTGCTGCTGCTACAGGAACAGGTTTACAAGGCTTGGCGCAACCACAAGGTGCTCAGCCTGATCAGTTTTGACGTCAAGGGCGCCTACAATGGAGTGTGCAAGGAAAGACTGCTCGAGAGGATGAAGGCGAGAGGGATACCAGCCGAACTGATAAGATGGATAGATGCGTTTTGTTCCGGGCGAACAGCCTCATTGGTGGTCAATGGGTTCGCGTCGGAACAACGGGAGCTGCCTCAGGCAGGCCTTCCTCAAGGGTCACCGCTGTCACCGATCTTGTTCCTCTTCTTCAACGCGGACCTGGTCCAGAGAAGGATCAAGGCGGAAAGCGGGTCGATTGCATTCGTGGACGATTACTCGGCCTGGGTAACCGGGCCTACCGCGGAAGCGAACCGAGAAGGGATTCAAGCGATCATCGACGATGCACTTGAGTGGGAGGCGCGCAGCGGTGCAACTTTTGAAACAGAGAAGACGACCATCGTCCACTTCACGCGAGCCACGGTGCGTAACAGCGATAGGCCGTTTCTGATCAGAGGCCAAGAGGTCCAACCCAGGGAAAGCGCAAAGATTCTGGGAGTGATCATGGATAACGAGCTGCGATTCCAGCAGCACATGGTGAAAGCGGCCGCCAAAGGACTCAGCGCCGCCATGGGCCTGAGAAGGCTGAAGATGCTGTCGCCAAGAGTGTCGAGACAACTTTTTGAGGCAACAGTCGCGCCAGCCATGGACTATGCCTCTAATGTCTGGACACATGCCCTCCGTGCGAAACACGTGAGTTGGATGAACAAAGCACAGATGATCGGGGCGCAAGCCATCACAGGCGCGTTTCGTACGGTCGCAACGACCGTGGCCATGGCCGAGGCCAACATTCAAACGGTAGAGGAACGACACAGACAGGCTACGACAAGACTTTGCATCAATCTCCAAACCCTGCCGGTGACACATCCGCTGGCAGCCTTGAGAAATTGTGCGACCAGGAGGTTCGTGTCGCCGATGCAGAAGATTGTCACAGCGGTGCAAACGGTGC